CTAGAAACTCTGTGATGGAGTTCATGCAATCTGCAGCAAGATACATCCAGCATCTGAGGTCGACATGCCTCTCATCTTCAGTTGGGTGTGAAGCCCGAGGATAGTCATCCAAACCCGAGGAAAGAGACTGCACAAGATTTTTTTGTCAAAGTGACTATGATTAGGGTGTTTAGAGCCAGGTTTAGAGTATGGTTAGGTTTTCATGTTTTTTTTTTTTTTTTTTATTAGGGTTATGCTTAAGTTATAACAAGACCTAAATAAAGGTCTCTGTTGATTAATAAGAAACCAACTTCCAAGAATTAACCTTAAAAATCTCTAAAGAGAGTTTAGGGTTAAGAGGAACCGTAGAGTAGCTACCTGAGGGTTTAGTTGCAGAGTTGTTAAGCTGTCTCTGCCATGCCAAAAGTAACTTCCCAATACCTTCCCTGTTGTTTTAATCAAGTGAAACAGAAACCGTTCAACGTAGGAGTAGATGAAGTACACACAAGAATTCTTCAGTGCGACTTGTTTGTGGTAAGTCACTTAGATACTTAGAAAAACGAAACACAGAGAAGTGGACTAGAGTCTCCATGTTTTTTTTTACCTTTCTGGGATGTATTGAACCATTGAAACCATGCACCTAGCCGTACAAAAGCTCGGTCAAGGAATGACCATATATCATCTCTTTCTTCCTGCTTAAATTTGTCTGTCCTTATCCCATTTATCAGATCTGGAAAAGGAAAAATACAAAGAGAATGATCTAATCTCATAATTTCAATCCAAGAGTATCCAGCAAGGTGAAGCACTACTACTCTTGGAGGACAAAGTCCTTATTTTGTAGACCAAGTGCTTGTCCCTCAAACAAAAACAAGAACCATAATCAAAAGACAAAGATGTTTGAAAAACACTATATATATATATATATATATATTCATACCGCGTATCACCAAAAGTAGTGTAGGTGGATTGCCATTAGTTGGGATCTGAACAACGTACTCCTTTGGTATCTTACTGCAGCAAGAAAAACACTTAGGAGAATTATTGATAGCACAAGAAACAATAATAATGGTTATTGAGGTTAGTAAAGAGTATATTATACAACAAACCTCAGAGCTTCTTCTCCCAAAATTTGCTCACGCGGTATCCATCCATCTATATTCATCAGGTCTAACCAGTTTCCAACTATTTCCAAGGTTATACGGATATTCCAGCGCCTGAATCAAGTACACACACAAGCAATCCAAATACTTACCAAATCTTGATCCTTAAAGAAACATATCAAGAAAAGGCTTTTGATTATTTTAATGATCTTGATAAGAACAAACCAGATCAAGAGTTGATGGAAACCTTCATCCCACAAAAACCCCCGAGGAAACACAGGCCGGCTTGGAACTGCTGTGTATAACTCAGCTGGCCAATATAGCAAGAAACCACTTTCACTTTTAGGCTGCTGCAACTGAAAATAATAACTCTATGAACCTGTTTTCTTTTTTATTTTAAAGAAGTTGGACATAGTGTGAAGCGCAAAAAAGAGCAAGAAAAAATGAAAACTCACCTGAGTACTTTTAGGAACCTGAATTTTTGATTGACCATAGAAGTAACCAATGCCACCAAGCATATTCCCAATTGCAGCTTTACCAACCACCAAAGTTTCAGAATCAAGCTGGAATCAGAGCAAGTATATTTAGCTATGATACTCTCTCTATTGTCTTGACTCAAGTATTTTCACAGTCTCTGGTCAAGTATATCCTCCATAAAACAAGATGTTTTGATGTGCTAAAGATGAGCTATAACATTGGCATATCTCAAGGGTTTAGATTAAGAAAAAAGAGTATAATTAATCACACACCTTTTCAGAAAGGTGGAAGCATTCTTTAAACTTTGCCTCAAATGCTATATGTTTCTCTTCAAGTAGATTAGAGAGTGGCAAACCTAGACATAATAATTAAAATTGGAAACTTAGCTCAATCATCATCAATACTTGGAAATAAGAGGAGGTTGATTAACCTGTAAGACTCATTACACGCTTTTCAACGTCAGAGGTTTCTCCTTTTATCCCAGAGACCAAGGCAATATCTATAGTAGATTGCGTCGTCGCGGAAATCTGCATGAAGAAAAAATAGTGGAATGATTATGAATGAAGAAACAATTACAATCATAGAATTCTTATGTTTTTTTTAAAATAAACTCTGTATTCACAAAATCTTGATCAAGACTGATTACCTGAAAAACATAAATGCTGGAAGAATTCTCTGATGTGTCAGAGAGCTCAAGTCGTCCAGACTTGCTTTCCTAAAATACAAAGCGTGGTAAAAAAACATAACAGTTTGGAAACTTGCAAAGCTGAGATATAACCTGTGCAGCAAGATCTTAACATTAAAACCAAAAACAAAACCTGTGCAGCAAGATTTTTCTGAACATTATCAGACAGATTGACAATATCAGGCTTCTTGAAACCGCAGTAATGTGTTCCAAGATGATTCTGCAAATAAAGAGCATTTGTTAGAACAACTAAGATCCCATGATCTCTAATAAAAAGCATTGCAAATAAAAAAGCTACCTCTGATTTCAAATGCATCTGCCAGTTTCCTACATCTGCACGTGAACCCGAAGCTAAAATAGAACTGTCTTTAAGCTTTAATACATCTTTGCCTAGATTTAGAACATTTCCATCTTCATCAGCTATATAGAAGAAGAGATTTGCATTTCTCTTTACTTCATCATTCAACCTATTTTCCAAACATTAAAATATGGCTACTACAAATTAATTTAGGCAACTATTATGATAGCAGAGACACATTTAAATTAATCAGTAATTTACATACCCTGTATTTTTGACATTGATTCTGACTGACCAATCTCCTCCATAACCAAGGCTTCCCTCTTTAGACTGGACAAAACTTGTCTCCAATATCATATCTTGTTCAAGAAGCTCTTGCCTCCCAAAATCTATCCCATTGTGTTCTCTCCAGCCAAATGACTTGAGATCGTCAGAGTTTTCACAGAAATGTCTCATCACATGCTTCCCATTCCCATCTTTCTCACCGAGCCACATCAAGCCAGCGACGAGGGACTGAGGAGTTCTGCATTGTGATTGTAAGAGAAAGTAACACAGTTTCACATTATATGGGAATGGTTCATATATAACAAACTCATATACATAGGCATTATAGTCAAACAAATGAGGTTATAGGAGTTTTAGAAAGTAAAGATGATATAGTACTGTTCTTTTCCTATTTTTCGTTTATCAAATTGCAACATTTATGTGAAAAAAAAAACTGATTCACATACAGATCATCTCAGACAAACAAAGGGAAACTCTGTCAACAATACCTAGCACGAACTCCAAAATACACCTGAGGGCGATAAGTTCCCCAATACAAGCTTTCTTTATGATCACCTTGAAACTGGTTCAAGAAACTCCAAAATTCAAGAACAAAAAACAAGAAGTCAAAGCAAAAGCAAATGATTGTTGAGACTTGAGAGCGTACCATAGGTAAATCCATGAGTTTAGGACAAGGAAAAGGAGTGATAACACGAGGTCTCTGGGATTGATCATTGAGCAGATCTCCCAACGGTAATTTGATTCCACCAGGTTCACTCTTATGGCTTTCTCCGGTCATCATCTGAGTATCGGAGTATAATTTGTATATATAAACTAAGCGATGAGAGAAAGAATTGTGAATGATCGTTGAAGCCAAGAAATGAGAAGTGAAGTCTCTGGAAGACTTTTAACCAAAACTCTGGTTTCTCAAGTTTTGACCTTTCTTTTTGTTGTTGTTGTCACATTCTTTTAAGGTCTTTTATTGTTTTTAGACTTTTTCTAATAGTTTTCTTTTTAAGTCGTGATGGGATAGTGATCATGTTGACAGAAGAATAACAACGCATTTTAAGACAAAACCGTGCTCTGCATGAATGTATTTTAACGTTTTGTTTGGATTGTAATGCTAATTCGGACCAGATTGGCTCAGCAGCTGTCGGAACTCGGAAGCATCCAATAACTGACTTGGAGGATTGATTGCATAGTTTTGACTGTTTGATTCAAGAATAAGTGAAAATTGATAATTCCTGCCATGATTTATAATTGAGACAGCTCATTAATAGGTTGATGAACGTGTAATGACTAATGACGTATATATGGGTCAAAGTTTATGCTTTAAAAAGTAGAGTTTTTCTTTCATTTGGGGTTCAACTTGGTGAAAAAGATTATAAAAAAAATAAAGGATCCAACAAGAAGAGTCGCTTTTATTAATGACACTCTCGTGTCTTCACTTCACTACCCAGTACCCACTTCGAATATCCCCCCTAATCTCTCTCTCTCTCTCTCTCTCATTCTCTTTGGTTGATGTTTGCTACAACGCCAAAATCTATTAGTAGAAGAATAAAACCCTAATCACTGACTTCTCTGTGTTCATTTCGATTTCTCATCTCTTATAAAGCTCTCGGTTTATTTATATCCGGTACGTTCGCAATTAGTGAAAAGTCAAAACCGTAATATTCTTGTCTTGTTGTTGCGAGTTTCACACGTGTGTTACTGTTATTTTTCTTCTTCCAGCATTTTATTTATTGATTTATTTATTACTTCTTGTCGTTGTTGTTGCAAATTTTCGTGTCTTGTTCGCGTTTCAATTGTGATCATAGATTTTTGCGGGTTTTGTGGAGCTGACACACACTTCCCTTCTCATTACCCTCTTTTTCTCGCCCCTCTCTCTCTCTCTCTCTCTCTCTACCGTTATGCTCGATTACTTGCCTCTTTTCTATTTTTCTTCCGTCGTTTGATTTTTCTGGGTTAAGACTCTCTTCTTAAAGCAAGGTAAATCTCCTGAATCGATTTCTCTTAATTTCTTAAACCGAAAATGATTCGTCGCGGTTCTATGAATTCCCCAGAATCTGGGGAAAAAGGCATTCATGATGCGTGGTTATGCCATTATGGATTGATTGATTCATCTTGTTTCCAAAATTGGTTCTCATCTCAGGTCTCGTATAAGCTGTGGCTTAGAGTATCCAGGTGAGGTTGGATTATGGATTTAAGCGAGCTCGAGGAAAATTTGTTCGCGGCTAGCGATGCCAAGGTATGTAAATGTTTGAATCATCATCATCATCACTCTCTTTCACAAATCGGTTCTTGTTGGGAATTACAGAGAAATCATATACATTTTGATGTTGGAGAAATCAGAAATGTGATTCTCCCCAATAATGTCTTGTTTCTCTATGCTTTGCTAAAGATTGTGGCATTGCTAAAAAAAATTGCAGTTACATAGAGATATGTGCAAGGAGCTGTCTGCAGTTTATTGCAAAGTACTGTCGATATTCCCATCCTTGGAAGAAGCAAGACCTCGGAGTAAATCAGGGATTCAAGCCTTGTGCTCCTTACATATCGCTCTCGAGAAGGCAAAGAACATTCTCCAACACTGTTCTGAGTGTAGCAAACTTTACTTGGTCAGCTTTCTCTCTTTCCTTGGACACAAATATTCTCTCTTTTGTGTGTTTTGGTCTCTTGAATTTCCTCCATCTCTCTTGCTAAACAGGCCATAACTGGTGATGCTGTTCTCTTAAAGTTTGAGAAAGCCAAATCTGCACTTATAGACAGTCTAAAACGCGTGGAGGACATTGTTCCTAGCTCAATTGGCTCTCAGGTGATGTGATGTCTCTTTCACTGCACAACATAATCTAAGGCTCTGGTCTCTCTCTGCTAGTTCCTAATTTTGATACTTTGATTTCTTCAGATATTGGACATTGTTGGTGAGCTAGAGCACACCAAGTTCTTGCTTGATCCATCAGAGAAAGAAGTCGGCGACCGGATCATCGCACTGTTGCAACAAGGCAAGAAGTTTGACAACTGCAGTGACAACGCCGAGCTTGAGATCTTTCACCAGGCAGCTACTAGGCTCAGCATAACCTCTTCAAGATCAGCTCTAGCGGAGAGGCGTGCTTTGAAGAAACTCATCGACAGGGCACGTGTGGAAGAAGACAAGCGTAAAGAGTCGATTGTGGCTTACCTCTTGCATCTCATGAGAAAATACTCAAAGCTATTCAGAAGTGAGATCATGGATGAGAATGACTCTCAAGGTTCACCGCCATGTTCCCCAACTGGTAACGAAGATCGTACTCAAGCGTTTGGGCGTCAACTGTCTAAGTTTGGTTCTATTAACTTCAAGCCAGTGAACAGTAGGAGATCAGGAGGACAGACGCCCACTCCACCGGAAGAGCTGAGGTGTCCCATATCTTTGCAGCTTATGTGTGATCCTGTCATTATTGCTTCTGGACAGACTTACGAACGTGTCTGTATCGAGAAATGGTTCGGCGATGGACACAACTCTTGCCCCAAGACTCAGCAGCAGCTCCCACATCTTTCCCTGACTCCAAACTACTGTGTTAAAGGTCTGGTTGCGAGCTGGTGTGAGCAGAATGGGATCACAGTCCCTACTGGACCACCAGAGTCTCTCGACCTCAACTACTGGAGACTAGCCCTGTCTGATTCTGAATCCAACAATTCAAAGTCTGTTAAAATCGTTCCTTTGGAGGAGAGTAGTAGTATTGTTTCGGAAGGACAAGACAAAGAAGAAAACAATGCGCCTGATTCTGATATCAATGTTCTAGAGAGGTATCAGGATATATTGGCAATCTTGGACAAAGAGGAGGACTTGGCTAAAAAATGCAAAGTTATGGAAAATGTCAGGCTATTGCTAAAGGATGATGAAGAGGCCAGGATCCTCATGGGAGCCAATGGGTTCGTTGAAGCCTTTCTGCGGTTTCTAGAATCAGCTGTTCACCAAAACAACGCAGCTGCACAGGAAACTGCAGCTATGGCTCTGTTTAACTTAGCAGTCAACAACAACAGGTTAGTTCTTCTGCAATGTCACTCTGTGATCATCTCTCTAATATCATCATCGTTCATTGACATAGATCGTTCTTCGTTTCGATGGAGTGCAGGAACAAAGAGCTGATGCTAACTTCAGGAGTCATCCCACTGCTGGAGAAGATGATCTCTTGTTCCCACTCCCAAGGGCCAGCAACTGCGTTATATCTAAACCTCTCCTGCCTCGAGAAAGCCAAGCCAGTGATTGGCTCAAGCCAAGCAGTTCCCATTTTCGTAAACCTCCTTCTTCAAGGGGAAAAAACCGAAACCCAATGCAAACTTGACGCACTTCACGCCCTCTACAACCTCTCCACACACTCACCCAACGTTCCCACTCTCCTCTCATCAAACATAATCAAAAGCCTCCAAGTTCTTGCGTCAACAGGTGACCACTTGTGGATAGAGAAGTCATTAGCCGTGTTACTAAACCTAGCCACTAGCAAGGAAGGGAAAGAAGAGATGATATCATCACAAGGCATGATCACCACTCTCGCAACGGTGCTAGACATCGGTGACACGGTGGAGCAAGAGCAAGCCGTTTCTTGCCTTGTGATCTTATGCTCCGGAAGCGAGTCTTGCATCCAGATGGTGCTGCAAGAAGGAGTGATTCCGTCTCTGGTTTCGATCTCGGTGAACGGAAGTCCGAGAGGGAGAGACAAGTCGCAGAAGCTTCTGATGATGTTCAGGGAGCAACGGCAGCGAGAACAGGCGTCGCCGAACAGAGATGATGCTCCGAGGAAAAGCGTATCGGCACCGTTGCCGATGTCTGTACCTGGGGCAGCTTCAGGTCCAGAGTCGGAAGGGAAACCTTTGTCTAAATCAATCTCTAGAAGGAAGACACTGACAAGACCATTCAGCTTCTGGAAGAAAAGCTACTCGATCCACCATTGAGAAGATTGGAGTGTGTCACATACTCACATTTCACACACTCCTATGTAAAGTTTGCTTTTATCTTTTTACCTCTTACAAGAGGTCATCTGCAGAGAGAAGAAAGAAATATGTAAATGCCATTTTTGCTCACTGTTCCTCTAGTCATAAGTCATGTAGATAGCTTATGTATCAGGTTTTTATATGAAAAAACCATAACTTTCAGTAGAAAACAAAAGTCAGCGACTACATTCAGAGTCAACAACTAACCTTAAAAAGCATAGCTTCTTCGTAACAAGATATCTTATGAAAACTATGGAACCACGTATGTATGAATCTGAGAAAGTTTTATAAAAAAAAGTTTATTCTTTAAAAAAAGTAAAGAGTGGGCCCCACCAACATCTCTGCCACCGTCGTCTCTGCGCGGCGTCTCCGTCGTCGCTGTCTTCGAATCGTTTCCTAAAACCCAATCAAAAGGTTTTAAGAGAGAAGAAATCATCTCTGGATTTGCGGGTTTATCTTTCATGATCTTAGATTCTTTCTTCTTCTTCTTCGTTAATATGTGTTGCAGGGGCTGAAACCAGGCTTCTCGGCCATGGCATTTCTAGGGCTGATTAAGAGGGTTACCAGAACAAGCAGACACAATTGGAGGGTCAGAGAGTACCCATTCCAAAGAAGGGAGCTTTCAAACGCAAGCTCCTTTCATGGTGAAGATGCTAAGCTTCCTGTTCTGATCGTCGGCGCTGGACCTGTAGGCCTCGTCTTATCCATCCTTCTCACCAAACTAGGTACAATTTGTCTCCCAAATTTCTCAAATTTTGACTTCAGGAATTATTTCCAATTACGTTTTGCGCTTAAGTTAACTTCTCTGATCGAATTGAGTTCTCACCTTAATGTTAGGGGTGAAATGTGCTGTTGTGGACAAATCCACAAGCTTCTCCAAACATCCACAAGCACATTTTATCAACAACCGATCTATGGAGGTTTGATTTTTGTGTTCCCCCTACAGGTTAATTTTGGTGATTGAAAGAACCTAAAGTTCTCAGTTTTCAAATGCTTAGATATTCCGTAACTTGAATGGATTAGCTGAGGAGATTGAAAGGTCACAGCCTCCTCTAGATTTGTGGAGAAAGTTTATATACTGTACGTCTCTCTCCGGTTCAACTCTTGGCACAGTAGACCACATGCAGCCTCAAGGTGTCTTCTTCCCTTCATCTTTCTTGTGAAAATAGTTTTCAATTGAGATAAAAAACGCAGACCTTTCACACTAGTCCTTGTGTGTGTTTACAAATAGATTTCGAGAAACTTGTCAGCCCTGCTTCAGTTGCTCACTTCTCACAGTACAAATTGACAAGCTTGTTGCTTAAGCGGTTAATAGACCTCGGCTTTCACGTTCCAAGTTACAAAGAGTCAGATGGTCTTGAGCTTGACTCTGCTGTTGCGAGACAAATTCTGATGGGTCATGAGTGTGTGGCGATCAATGCTAATAACAAGGAAAGTGTTACCGCAACTGTTTCTTTTCTCAAAGGAGGCAAGTGTATGAAAAGAGACATTCAATGTGGTATACTGGTTGGTGCTGATGGTGCTGGGAGCTCTGTAAGAAGGCTCACAGAAATAGAAATGCGAGGGGAAAGGGATTTACAAAAGCTTATTAGTGTCCATTTCATGAGCAGAGAGCTCGGTGAGTACTTGATCAAGAGCAGACCAGGGATGTTGTTTTTCATTTTCAACACCGGAGGTATAGGAGTTCTCGTTGCTCATGATCTTCAACAAGGAGAATTTGTTTTGCAGGTAGCTATAGTCCTCTTTCCCATACTTTAAATCTCAATTTATCTAGTTAAGTTGATGTTGTTATACTCTGGCGTGTAATCATTTCTTTCTTTCTTTTTTACTGCAGATTCCATACTATCCACCTCAGCAGAGTCTATCTGATTTCAGTCCTGAGGTATTTACTTTCATTAGCTAGAGAAGAAAGGATTCTCACTTGTGAAAACTTTTTCAAATGCGTATATTGTTTGTCATGTGTCCCTGAGGTACTATTTTCTTGTAGATGTGCAAGATGCTGATATCCAACTTGGTGGGACATGAGCTTTCAGACTTGGATGTAGCTGATATTAAGCCATGGATCATGCATGCTGAAGTCGCCGAGAAATTCATGTGCTGTGAGAACAGAGTGATACTTGCTGGTGATGCTGCTCATCGCTTCCCGCCTGCTGGAGGTTTTGGTAAGTGTTCCAATTCTTTACACAATATGGTCAGCTGAGATACTGTGATACCAATGAATGCCGCACACTTGAAAGTAGTTGATCTGAAAGGACCCTTGTTGTAGATTCAATCAGCAGTCTTGGAAAATAGGCTGATAGTGAATTACATGGTTATTGCAGGAATGAACACTGGAATTCAGGATGCTCATAATCTTGCATGGAAAATAGCAGCTCTTGTTCAGGGTTCTGCAAAATCTTCAATTCTTAATACCTATGAAACAGAACGTAGGCCGGTACTGTGTTCATCTTTTTCTAACTTTTTCTTCCTCATCCTTTTTTCTTAAGTTGATCCATTTACAAGCATCTTATTGTTGCTACTAGATTGCCCTATTCAATACTTCACTCAGTATTCAGAACTTCAGAGCAGCTATGTCGGTTCCTTCAGCGCTAGGCCTTGACCCAACAGTTTCAAACTCAGGTAAAGACTAAAACTAGCTTGTCTTCTTCCTCAGTGCATCGTTCTGTGGTCAAGTTTACAGCAATGATATCTCTATGGTGCTGTAGTTCACAGGTTTATAAACAACACAGTCGGTTCCATCCTTCCAACTGGGCTGCAAAAGGCAATCTTGGATAACGTCTTTGCACTAGGTCGTGCACAGCTTTCAGAATCTCTGTTGAATGAGAACAATCCGCTGGGAAGTCAGAGACTTAGCAGACTAAAGAATATCTTCGAAGGAGGAAAAAGCCTTCAACTTCAGTTTCCAGCCGAGGATCTTGGTTTCAGGTATCATCATCACCTTTTAGAACTAGAGTTCTCACTGTAAACTAGGGCTGGTTGCTTTTGTATACTGATATTCAGCAGTTTCATGGCTCGGAGAGTGTGATCTATAATGTTTGAATCATTTTGTTTCTGGCATTATATCTCAACAAAAGTTTTTGTAACAGAAGCTACTTATGTGTACTGTATAGGTATCTAGAGGGAGCCATCGTTCCTGATAACGAGTCTGAAGCTGGTGATCCCAAAGTACCGAGTGGTCGTAGAAGAGACTATGTTCCTTCTTCTGAACCAGGTTCAAGACTGCCCCATATGTACGTGAGAATACTGTCAGATTCCACAAGAGAGGCTGTTGTTTCAACACTAGATCTTGTTTCGACAGAGAAAGTGGAGTTTCTACTCATAATATCTCCATTACAAGAGTCCTATGAGCTAGCTCATGCTACATTCAAAATGGCTAAAGAGCTTATGGCTAATGTAAAGGTATGCGTGGTCTGGCCTAGTAGTAGCGACGATGCTGTTGAAAGGGAAAGCAAATCGGCATTAGCTCCATGGGATAATTATGTCGACGTTATGGAAGTTGGAAAACAAAATGGTGAAGATGCTTCTTGGTGGAATATTTGTAAAATGTCGGAGAGAGGATGTATTTTAGTCCGTCCTGACCAACACATTGGTTGGCGTGCGAAGTCTGGTGTGACTTCGGATCCTACTCTGCACATGAGAAATGTCTTCTCCATCATTCTTGGTAAACAATGAACATAGATAGACTCCAGTGACAAATCACGTTTTTAGTTTTGTTCCACATGAGAAACGTCTTCTCCATCATGCTTGGTAAACAATGAACACAGGCTCCATTGAATATGTAGGGCATAATACAGTTCCACAATTATTTTATATACTAATCATTCCAAATAAAATCACGTTTTTTTTTTTTTTTAGTAGTGGTGTTACAAGCTTTCTTTACAAGAATAAACTGGTAACAATGTGTGGAATGGTGAGAGGAAGCTAAAAAATAAGAATAAAAAGTGAATCAATCAAAACTTGTTGGTTTTGATTGTGAAAATCTGCTTCGATCAGTCTAGTGGTGGCTTGTATAGGCATTGATGCGGAAGTGTTTGTGGCTATTCGTGTTGGTTAGCTTTTAACTAGTAGCTATCCTGGTAAACAAGTATCCAGTGACTGCTGTGACGCTTCCAAGCATCCCACCGGCAATGACCTGATCTCAACGGAAAACAGAGTCTTGATAAGAGCAAGAAACTGATTCTTCAAGAATGCTCATCAAGGTGAGAGATTTGTCTGTGGCTTGTGATAACCAGAGTTTATAGTTGTTCAGTCACATACCTGGGGAGGGGTATGACCGAGAAGTTCACGTAATGGTCTGCTTTCAGCCAGTGGATGCTCTGCAGGAAGTTCGTATACAATCTGATTGAGAACCTGCAAAATGAATCAAGAAAGACCCACAGAGATCAGGATACCAGAGCTCAAATGCATCATGAAACCATCAATAGCTAATGAAACACAGAAAAGTTGAAGCAGCAAATCAAACCTCAGCTTGGCGACCAGCATGTAGTCTTACACCAGTAGCATCATACATGACCTACAAACCCAAAATCACTCACATGTAAGTAGCAAAAAGAAAGTGTTACAAAGATAAAAGATGGAGGTGACCAACTTACAACTGAAGCCAAGATCAAAGCAATTGCAAAATGTGATCCACCAAAGCCCTCTTGTAGACCGATTGCCACAGCGAGAGCTGTAACGGTAGCTGAATGTGAAGAAGGCATTCCTCCGGAACCAACAAGCTGTTTGAGATCCCATCTCCTTTCTCTATACCTGCAGAAGCTTGGAATCATGTAAAAGATCCTCCTTTTTCTTCTCTACGTCTATTAGAGATTCCAAGGACACGCAAGATCTATTTGGTTTCACTAAGAGAGTTTCACACAAGAAAGTCAACGGTTCGTACGACTTTTTTGGATCTACCGTTTCAACCTATACTATGAATTTGAATCAAGAAATTGGCCAATACAGAGAATGGACATATAGCATTCAATCGGAGTCTGATAAAAGAAAAAAATAAAAAACCTTAGCATAAATGCGCGAATGATTAGAGAAGGTACCAGGAGGTGAAGAGTTTGATGAATTGAGCGATGGTGAAAGACGTGACGGCGGAGATGAGAGGGTAATTCGTGAAAATGGAGAAATAATGAGTCGAAGACGTTGCTGTATCCGTAGTTTCCTCCATGGTCGATGATGATTAGATCTCGTCCGTCAGGCTTCAATGGCGCGATTATAGCTACGATCAGCTAGAGAAAGAAGAAGAAGAAGATGATGATGATGAAACCGAAACGACAATATCCATAAGACGTCTACCAATTCCCCTTTTGGATTTCAACACGATTGTTCGTCTTTCAAACTTCTATCCAATGGCGTCTACGTAGAACGTTCAATCTTCTTCGTCTTCCTTTTTTTTCTTTCGCTTTGACCAATATTTTTCTTTGAAAATAGAACACTCGTCCAAGTATGATTGGTCTATTTCTTTTTTAATATTAATTTTTTATTCAATGTAAGAAAAATTGATATGAGTGTTTTGAGTTTTGAGTCTTTTGACAAATGAAAATATGAGATGTATTTTTTCTTTTAGTTACACAACTTACAATGTATAATGAACATTCATCCAAGATTGTATATTTTTCGTTTATTCAATGTAAAAGAAAATATACAGTTCAAGATTGGTGGTGGGAGGCTGTTTCTCCGACTTTTTTTGGAGTTGATGAGTTGTAGTGGTTCCGTTTTTACGTTAATCTTTATAGGTGATCTTCTCGGTGAGGTTTTGAAGGCTGGCCTTCGGTTTGGATGCTAGGGGCAACTAAGATGGGGGACTCAAGTTGCTTGGAACTTTAGCAGCAACACAAATTTCTGGACTTTCTGTTCGTAGTTGGTATTTTTTTTCGGATATTTTCGGTTCTTGTATTGTGTGCTTAACTTATAATTTGTTCCCTCTTTGTTTCGCTCTCGTAGTTAAAGTTTGTTCTTGTAGTTTTTTGGTCTTTCTGTCTTCTAGTTATTTCGGTAACTTCTCTCTCAAATTTAAAATTGATATCAAATCTTCACATTTTACTAAAAAAAAAAAAAATCTTGGATGGACAAAACACTGGACCACCGTGGTGGTTTTCTGTTGCAATGCTGGGCTGAGCCTGAAATTTGACAACACTTAAAAAAACATCACTTCGTCTAACCATTTTTCCGTGATTTTGAGATATCAATTACATGGAAAATCTGTAAGCAATCAGCCCAACATTTAGATGCTGCATTAGATGATGGTGTATCAGAAAAGCGGAGGATTTGAATAAAGCGGCGAAGCTACCTTGTCAAAAGACTTGCTAAAACGGATCTTAAACATATATTTGCGTTTGAACAAAAAAAAAAAAACATATATTTGCAAGAAGCTAAAGGAAAAGATAAGCACCAAGGATACGCTTAAGGAACTGAGAAGATATTCGAAGATCTTAGGTTTATGTTTCAAATATTTTATATATAAAGGACTTGGGATCAAAGGGTTAGCTGCAAGCTAGCTTGAGGAAGATTATATGTAAGCTTCTCTCATACTGATAAAATACAGAAGATGAGAGGTGAGTGTTTGATAGTTGTATTGAATCACATGCAGTTTTCATTTATGAATAGATCTAAGAAATTCATAAGTTTAAATCGTTGCTGATTAATTTATAAAATTTATAGTGAAAGGAATTTTGCATTTGTGTGTTTATAAGTTGTTCACTACATTAGTGTGTTAAATACTGTACAAAAATGTGAATCTGATGAGACTGTAACTTTCGAGTCTGGTCTAAATCCCATTCCCACCTGCTCCAACTATAAACAAACAAACAAACCCTCGTTTGTATCGCTTTTTAAAAAATTATAAATTGTTAGGAAACAAAAACAAAAAGAGAAAATATTTCAGACTTTTCTTCCCAGTGAGTCGATCTTTACGAGGTTCACTCTTTTCTTTCTCTCCACTCTCGCCGTGCAACAAACCGATTCGCCGGAAATTTCTCCGTTCAAATGGCCACCACTGTCGCAGGATCGGGGCTCATCTCCTTGAAAGTCGCCGGGAAGCTCGCTTACCGTGAGATCTGTCATATCCGCCAATGTGCTCCGCTTCAATCCGCGATTCCACATTTCGGAATGCTGCGATGTGGATCGCGACAGCCGTTTTCATCAACCTCTGGTACAATCAATTCCTCCTCCCCCTCTCTTCTCCTCTCTTCCTTGTTTGAGATTTGATTTCCATTCTCATTAGATTTATTATATCAATCTTTATCGGAACGCAAGTTGTGAAAGCTCAAGCGACCGCTGTTGAGGAATCAATAGGCGAAGCTGCTCAGAAAGTTGAATCTCCGGTTGTCGTTGTGACTGGTGCCTCCAGAGGGATTGGTAAAGCAATTGCTCTATCATTGGGTAAACAAGGCTGTAAGGTTAGGGCTAACACCATCTGCATATTGGATTTTGGTTGTACTTGTTAGATTTCGTCTCTATAGTCTCCAAGCTTTCAATTAGTAAAACCACACTCGTTTTAAAAGTTTGTGAGTTATGAAGATTTTAGCTCAGGACTGCTTACAGTTTCTTTTAGCGTTATCATGATGGAGACATCAACAGATTGCGTACACTGTCTTGTGCTGATAACATTGTGCGTTCTGCTGCAGGTCTTGGTGAATTACGCAAGGTCAGCGAAGGAGGCTGAAGAAGTTTCTAAAGAGGTGATTCATTCCCTGAATCTTCAATCATTCTCTGCTGCTTTGGTTTTGCAGCTCCTTCCTTGTTTTCTAGCTTCGGGATATCGCTTTAGACTAATAAATCATAGGTCTTATGTCTGGAGGAATGTTGTTATTGCTTTGGAAAGAAATGTGACACCTTTGAGTTTAACAATGAATCCTTGAAACAGTTTTGGTCTCTGGGACAAGAAACGGATTACAATTTCATTTTGTAGAATGTTTCATAATTCTGTTTCTCGTTGCTATATGCTATTAGTGTTTTCTTCTACCATGTAGCCTTATTCCATGCCTTGTCTCTGACATTTGCTCTCTATGGAACTGTAGATTGAAGAATATGGTGGCCAGGCTATTACCTTTGGGGGTGATGTCTCAAAAGAGGCTGATGTGGAAGCCATGATGAAAGCCGTAAGTGATCAATTGTACACACCATCTTACAATTGTCCTACATCTTATCATTTTTCCTTTTGTATTTTTACTTCTTCAGGCTGTTGATAAATGGGGAACCATTGATGTCCTGGTTAACAATGCAGGTATATCAAAGTCTTGATTTTTCCGCTGATTTTCTTTACTTGGTAAAATACTGACATGGCTACATAAATTTCAGGAATTACTCGGGATACTTTGTTGATACGGATGAAGAAAACCCAATGGGATGATGTGATTAGTTTGAATCTTACTGGAGTATTTCTCTGTACTCAGGTATGTCTTCCTGCGGTCATGCTGAAATTTTATGATATTCAGAATCTCATCTCAGCCACTAAAACTTGTTTTCTCTCTGTAGGCTGCAACAAAGATCATGATGAAGAAGAGAAAGGTATTTACTTCTCTTCGCAATTGTCTCCATGCGTTATCACTTATTATAAGCTGTTTCACCGCCTTCCATGCATCAATTACTATGATTTAAAGACAAGCGTAATTTATGGTATAGTTGTGCATACGATCTTGCAGGGAAGAATCATCAATATAGCGTCAGTTGTTGGTCTCATTGGTAATATTGGGCAAGCAAACTACGCTGCTGCTAAAGCTGGAGTTATTGGGTTGTCCAAGACTGTTGCCAAAGAGAATGCGAGCAGGAATATAAATGTATGACCTCCTCTTTTGTTTAATTCCTCGGAAAATCCTATTTCTAAACTTGATCCGTTGATAACATGCTATACTATTACAGGTCAATGTGGTTTGTCCCGGATTCATTGCATCTGACATGACTGCTAAGCTTGGAGAAGACATGGAAAAGAAAATATTGGGAACAATCCCATTAGGTAAATGGAGATTTCAAACTATTTTACATGTGTTGCTGGTTAATATATGTCTGATACAAAGCAAACCGGTTTAATTCTCAGGACGTTATGGACAACCAGAAGATGTTGCTGGCTTGGTAGAATTCTTGGCTCTCAGTCCAGCTGCTAGTTACATCACCGGACAGGTTAATTCTTACTCCTATCAAACGAAAATTTTGGTTTCTGAATATGTTACGCTAACAATGGTTAAAACCATTGGTTGGTTTGCAGACATTCACCATCGATGGAGGTATTGCCATATAGAGCGGCTTTTGTTTAGGCAAAAACAATGTTGTGGACAGACAAAGTTGAGTTGTTTTCTGGCACTTGCTCGGATTTCTGTTTTGCGGATTCTGTTTGGAGAGAGATCTTTAAAAAAAAAAACTCACTGCTTGAGCTACGTTACGTAAAATGAATCAAAGAGCTTTGTTAATTTGTTGGTTTCTCTGTTAGATAAGAAATTACGGAAGCATGTTTTGCTCTTGGTCTGCCATTTGGTAGTAGTAAGCCCCATATTACAACCACAATTACAAGCCGTACGTTGAATTCTATACTTTTTGTATTTCATAAACTTATTAATCCAACTAACTCACCGTCACGGATCAAGTGCCTACCTTGCAGTTGTATCCATAAACCATAAAGATTTTGTTATAGGAAACTAATAAATGTATGTACCAAACCATTTGTAACATTGCATCTAGACTAAATGATCTAGTGGATCAAATCTCTGTGCGTACACGCATAAAGTTACGAAATAACAAAAGAAAATCGGAATTTGGAGTTTAATATAAAAGTCTGATAACAAAAAAAATGCAGAAATAAACACAAATTACGAGTCTTGACTCTTACTATACTAAAAACTTGAAAGTAATAAATACGGACAGTCGTAGAAAAACAGACGGGCCGTGATTTATTTCTTAACCTATTATATGTTTTTTTGTGTGGTAAGATCTAAGAGAAGAACTTGTAGGTCTTGGCGCTGACAATGATGGTTCTGAGGCCACCAATTGGAGCTAGGATCGTCAAAAGAACTCCAATTACAATGCAGAACTGCAAATTTTTTATTTGCCCACGAGACCAAACCAAATGAACAAAATTTATCAGTGTACAAGACAACAATAAATATGGAAGGATCATTAGTAAAAGTAACATACCCAGTTTATTGTCCAAGATAGACCAAACCTCTTTGGTTTCTTGAGAATGAGCCAAATAATGCATGGAAGCTGCATGTTACAAAATGAATGTGTATTATAATTTTAAATTTCTACGAAAGTTAATGAACCAAATGAATTGTTTAGTTGTACTATACGTAGTAAGTTGTTGGGGCGAAGGCGAATCCTCCAAAGAAGCCAAGTAGTCCACCGAAAAACGGGACACATATCGCAATAATCATCGTGAAAGCTGCAAAAGCATGGCCCAAATATGAGGAACAAATCAGATAAATGGATGTATATATAGTCGCTCGAGTGATCGTTAAAACGTATAAAACAAGGAGTCACTTACCGACATAAAGGCTGCGAGTGATGAAACGGAGTTTGAAGGAAGGATCAAATTTCATCTTCTTGACCAAAAATGTCTCGAGCATGTCAAACACCGGCATTGCAAATATCTGAATCACCACAAAATAGTTCATAGAGAGCAAGTGTCAATATATATTTGAGGATTATTCTTAATTCAGTCAGTGATAAAAAAAATGTAAAAATAAACAATACAAGACCTGATAGCTTCCAATGACATGGACAACCACAAACAAGTTAGCCATAGCGATAAGCCAGACAGGTTTCTCCAAAGTGATGAGAATGTTGTCGTCGACGCTGTTCCCAAAGATCCAATATCCAAGAAACGCTACAGGGAAGTAGCAAATGGCGACTACTATGTACGCTACAACGACTCCTCTCCACATGGGAACCTTGGATGGAATCTCCGGCGTCGAAGGGATCGTGGCCTGAATCTCCAACACGACGTTGTGACCTGCGTAAGCAAAAGCCACATCTCCCAGCGCGTTCAAGAAGTTGAATACTTTTCCCGCACTTGTCGAGGCTCTAGACGAATACTCTACATCTTGATGCACACCTTTGTGCACCGATGCACCCCATGCAATAGTTGAGTAACTGTAAAAAAAAATGCATCACAAAACCATATCATCAAAAACAATATGCGATCACCAAAACTTCAAGTGGCAATAAAACCAAGAGAAACTTCCTAAAATGGTTCAATAACTTTTAATTGACAAAAAAAGTTTTTGATTTTGTTTTGTGAAAAAATGTTTACCATAAAATTAAAATTTTACGTTTGGATTCATTTTGGTCCAAATTAGGGCTTAGATTTCTTCATTTATGATAACGTTTTGAATCATTTTTACGTTGAGTTTGTGAAAATGTATGTCTATTTTAGGAATAAAAACATATATTTAAAAAAAAAATCTCTATAACCTAATTAATATTGTGTTAAAGAGGCTTACGTTAAGGACATAACGGCAGCCGCGAGTGAGATGATGGAGATGGAGTTGAAATTCGGTAGATGAGAGATAACAAAGTGGATAGAAGCAAAGATCATGATCCAATACGTAGTTCTGATGTCTTTGCAATCGGATCCGCAGAGAAGCTGATGGACTTTCTGCAGAGATTTGCCTCCGGTGACCATATAAACGATGTCGACGCCGACCTCCACGATGAGCTGTTGAGGTACGACGATCCAGAGGCCAAGCTTATCTCCAAAAGCGTGTTGCCCTAGCTCGTGATATCTGTCAAACCTTTTTCCGGGGACGATCTCGTGCATCTCCACCATTTGCCACAGTGTGTATAGTGTTATCACCCATGACATAACCATTATTGTCACTCCAGGTCCCCTGTTAATGTAATCACACGACAAAACAACAAGTCAGCAGATCAGTGACGTGTTCAACAAGTTTTAAGAGATTATTGATTGATCTACAAAAAAATGGGTACGTACCATCCGAGATTGGACATGGCGTAGGGCAAGCTGAGGACACCGGCGCCGACCATGGCGGTGACATTGTGGAAAGCAGAGTACCACCACTTGGCGTTTCTTGAGGATGTGACCGGTAACCAATCGTCGACCTTCTTTTGCTTCGCCGCCGCGATCTCGCTCTCTAACATGTCGTTGTTATTCCCCACCATGGCGTTTCTGATTCTCTCTAGAGATAGTCTAAGAGAAGGTTTTAGGAGAAAATGAAGATAAGAGTGTGGAGAGGATATTTAAGAGTAGATCGAGATTCGAGATTCTCTCAAAATTTACGATTTTATCTGCTTGATTATTCAACGTATTTTTTGTTTTTGTAATAAATAGATTATAGATTCAAGTTAGTTAGTTGGTTATATATATACTTTTATATTTTTTTGGGTCTTTCCCCGTGATATAAGGCAACAAGAAAACCGTTTCATTTTTAACAAAAAAAAAAGAAAACCGTTTCATGCTTAACTCGCCACTACAAATTTTTTATTTATTTAACATAATTTCTTTATATATTTGCATTAATTATTAATTATTTAAAAAAATCTTTACATCACTTATTTAAATGACTGTAAAGTGGTGATGGAAATTATTTGCATCGATTCTAACAATTGATTGATGTATATATATGTCAATTGCTAAAACGGATGTTAACTTTTGTAATAGTTACTGTAATTGATGTTAAATATTTATATCAATTGTATACTAATGTTATCAATTTTCATAAGTGATTCTAAATATTAGCGGAACTGTGAAAAACAAAAATAAATAAATAACAAATTTATTTGTTTAAATAATTTCCATCATTATCTCTTTTTCAATAATTATTATTTTCGCTTTAGCAAAACATAATTTACAATATCTAATACAACTTTTGTGGGCCACAATGGGCCGACTCACGGACCTAATTTCCTCCCAATGGGGAAATGAACCCCACATGAGGGAAGGTGGAGTCGAACTCCATATAAGATGGATACAGAGGTGATGCACTACCGCTGGCCCACTTGCTCCTCTTGAAATAGAAGACTTTTGTGCTCCAAAATTGTAGGTATACTCAAAATTATTTTCTTTGCCTTCATTACAAAAAAAACTACTTATGCACTAAAAGAATGAAAAACAAAAGGCAAAAACTATTTTAAAACATAAGAAAATTCTGCAAAAGAAAGAACAAACTTGGTAGTGATAATATTATCGAAACACATACCTTAAAGTTTGAGGTGATAGTCCTTGCAGTTTGTCTCAATATTAAGCTCGTCTAATCTTAATCATGACAGTCCGATCCATATCTCTGCCTAGGAGCCTCATCTATTTATGCACTATAAAAGTTGGATAGCAGATATTGTGGTCTTAGGGTGCGCCAAATTCTTTCTGCAACTCCACCTTCTCCACCAAGCACAAGGTATCTCACAGACAGAGATACCTTGATGTATCCTTTATCCGCTGGACCTAGACTGTTACTCATTTTACACAATGCTACCAGCTCTCCATTGAACATCTCAACAGAGATGACAATGAGGGCATGGTAACCATTGCAGTAAAGTCTTGGTAATGTTATCGGTGGCCTGTAGTAGATGTCCTTTCCTATTGTCGACTGATAAAATATTTCATTTTTGATAGTTTTATAACAAAATATGAATTTGCATCTTCATGTCGAAGGTTACGTAGTCGATGGCGAATTACAGATTCTTTGCTCAAACAAAAAAAGAACAAAAAGATTCTTTGTCCAGCCAACGGGACAACTAAAAATAGAGAGAACCCAAAAATAAGCAACCAAGAAACTTATAGACAATATTGTGTCAAACCAACATTGCCTAAAATAAGCAAAACAAGATCTTTGTCTCATCCCATAATTGTTTCCTAAACCTTTTCATTCAACAAAAATCTTAAAGAGAGACGAAGATGGATTCAGGACTATCTTGGGCTGATCAATGGGACTACAACTCTGACCCTCCTCCAAATAAAGAAGACGACAAGAAGAAGAAGAAGAAAAAGGAAGACGGAAGCAAAAGCAGTTTGGGGAAGACCATACTTGGTTTCAAATGGATGAAGGAACTTCGCAAGAAATCTGATAAGTGATCATTATTAGGCTAATTGTTTTAGTTCCAAAAGGATGTATTGATTCATTTGTTCCTTGTGATTAATCCATTAAGCTCTACGTCTCTCTTTAATTTTACCCGATCTTTAATAGTTTAGAAAGTTTCTTGGTTGCGGATGATTATCACGAGCCATAAATCGCGTTGGTTCTTTATCAAACAAGATGCTTACTAACAATTCAAATTATAAAAAATGCTCTTCTTTTTCTTGCTGATATGTGCTTAAGAAAAGACGATATAATTGATGATGGTTGTTGAGCTTATTAACCATAAATTGTGTATTAGATTATTCATTATTGGGTGCATTGTTGTAGTAGCCATATTATATAACACAAAATAAAAAGAATTGCTATTTCATGACACGGATGGACAAACAAGAATATACTTTTTTTTTATAAGATGGTTTAAGCATGTTTTGTCTCGTCATGCGTAAGAATCTTTAACTATTCCTCTCTAGGTATCTAAAATATGAACATCATTAGAGAATATGACTGGTCTTTAGTGATGCAAGAATCTTTAGCTAATCTCACCAAGAATCTTCATTGAAGTGATTTAAAGAGCGTTATTTTGGTTTTACCAGACAGTTCTTGTATGTAAGACAATGAAGAAGAAAGTTGAGATCATATCAAGAGAAATTATTAAACCGTCTTCTCCAACTCCAAATGATAAGATATTTCTTAATCTTTCTCTTCTTGACATCCTCAGCTCACCAATGTACACAGGGGCACTTCTCTTTTACGCAGCGGATCCTCAGAACCTTCTAGGTTTTTCATCAGAGGAAACTTCCTTGAAGCTGAAGAAATCTCTGTCAAAAACATTACAAATCTTTTACCCTCTTGCCGGAAGAATCACCGGAAGTTCCGTCGAATGTTATGACGAAGGAGCTGTGTTTATAGAAGCTCGAGTGGACCAGCTTCTCTCGGAGTTTCTCAAATGCCCTGTTCCTGATGCATTAGAGCCACTCATTCCTGTTGAAGCTAGGTCAAGAGAAGCAGTTACATGGCCTGTGTTGCTGATCCAAGCCAATTTCTTCAGCTGTGGAGGATTGGCTATCACAATTTGCATCTCTCATAAGATCACTGATGCAACCTCTTTAGCAATGTTCATCAGAGGATGGGCTGAGTCCTCGAGAGGCTTTGAGATTACAATGATTCCTAGTTTCACCGCTTCAGATTTCTTTCGTCCACCTCCTCATCATGAGCTTCCTTCAAAACCGATGGATAATAAAGCCGAGGTTGAAGAGACGAGTTTCGTAACAAAGAGGTTTGTGTTTGATGCTTCAAAGATCAAGAAACTCAAAGCAAAAGCTTCAAGAAGTCTTGTCAAGAATCCAACACGTGTTGAAGCCGTCACAGCTCTTTTCTGGAGATGTGCTGCTAAGGCTTCTAGACTGAGGTATGCAGCTCCAAGAACTTCAGTGCTGCAGATAATAGCGAGCTTACGAGGAAAGGTAGATTCTTTGTCTGAGAGCACAATCGGGAATATGCTTTCTCTCATGATTCTCAAGAAAGAAGAAGCTGAGATAGATGAGATTCAAGATTTGGTTAATGAGATAAGGCAGGCAAAGGAAACCTTCAGCTTACACTGCAAGGAGATGTCGAAATCATCGTCGAAAATTCTTGAGTTTTGGGGAGAGATTGGTAAAGCATATGGAGGAGGAAGTGAAGTGGACATGTGGATGAGTAATAGCTGGTGTAGGCTCGGTATCTACGAGGCTGATTTTGGATGGGGGAAGCCGGTTTGGGTGACCGGAAGAGGCAATTCTAATTTCAAGAACTTGATGTTGTTGATTGATGCCAGAGATGGAGAGGGGATTGAAGCTTGGGTCACTCTTACGGAAGAAAACATGTCCATCTTTGAATGTGACGAAGAGCTTCTTGAATTCTCTTCCTTAAATCCCCCTGTTGTCATCTAGACAAGAACAAAGCTCATTGCATACTTGTCTCAACTCTCAAGAGATTTACAAATGGGGTTGCTGCCTCTTAATTAAGAACAAAAGTTCACTCTATGCTTCTATAGTTTCTTACAAAGATAAACGTAGTGTTTGGATATCGATCCAAGCTCCATATCAGAATATTACACAATGATTGTCTTGCATATAAGTATCTGCATGGTACCAATACTATAAGAGAACACAAATCTTATTAAGCACGATGATTCGAAACAAAGTTCCATTGAACCCTATTACAAGTCATTGGTGATGAATTAAGGAAATGAGTCAAGAAGAGCATAAATAGATAAATCAAGGAAATGAGTCAAGAAACTCGAGGTGTCTCCTTTGGTATCTTCTTGAAGTTTCTTCACGTACACTCCATCTATCTTTCTTATCACATCTCTCATCTGCTCCACAACAGATGGCTTTGCTTCACTGTGTTCATTGATTATAAAAATGTTTTTTTCTCTACCATGAAAACAAAGATTGTCATCCGTTTTAAGAATATTAATTTGAAAGCCACTTTTGATTAATTTAATCCAGGATCCAAGATCGGGCATGCTATGGGCCAAAACATGTGGAAGTTGCTAATGAACGAATGGTAGTTTATATACTTCTAATCACGGATGAGATATTCAGGTTTAATCCAGGTTTACAAATTACTCAAACTTTGGTCAAGGAGTTCCGACGTAAAAACAAGGAAGAAGTAAGTAGACTCTATAAAGTAATACTGGATAAAATAATAAATACTATAAGATAATAAATTTTTCCGGTCCTAATTCAGACCAATATAAAAAATAGCAAAATGCGATAAGATGATAAGATAATAATACTTTTGAAACTCTTATGTAAAAATATAGTCCCAACAACAAGGTAAAATAATAATTATAAAACTTAGACATATATATTTAAGGCAATCTAGTAAAATATCACTCCAATGTAGTTTGTCTTTTCTGAAAGTTGGATTCCCGTTGGAGCTATTTGAATAAAATTTAGTAAACTATGACTCCAAGACTACAAAGTTTAAGGAAAATTTGAATAAAGAAACTGAAAAAATATATGTCTATAAAGTTTCTTGTTTTTGATTGAATATTTATATAAAATAATAATTATTATTATTATATAGATAAAATAATAAATCTATAAAATAATAAATTTTTAAAGTTCCAACATTATTATTTTATAGAGGTTTTATTTTATGTGAATTTGGTGGAGTCGGTGAAAGATTGAGGAGAGAGACTTTTATATTTTCGTTCATGCATGTTTCAGGGGAACGTGAGTGTATCAGATTTTGATTTCTTGGTAATGAATTTGCCATCTATCCATGTGTTTTTTTTTTAACTAATTGATACCTAGAGGTGTTTATGGAAAATTAGTTCAGAAGGAACTGGAAGCACAAAGGCAGCTCGCATAGATTACGGTACTGGCTCATTAAGATCGTCCGTTAGGTGACTAGACAAGTATAACACTTGTTAGAGATCACGAAAATACAAGTTTTGTACTGTCTTCAGAATACGTTTCTCTTCCTCTCCACCGGACGAAAAATCACACTACAACAATAATAAATCCGATCAAACGACAGCTACATAAATAAAATAGAGATAAAAAAATCCGCCAAAACTATTTCAATCTGAATATAATAAAGCTAATTAAGATGGTCCATTTGCACAAAACCTAAAACCCCAGAGCGCATTTTATACAGATCGAGAACGCAAATGGAGAACAACAAGATGGAAATGTTGGCGGAGACACAGATCGTGAACGAGATGCCGGCGGCTCACAACGGCCTCGGATGGAGAGCTTATTGCCTTCTTGTTCCGCACATTCTCCAAACCTCAGACCTGTTATGCCATAGCCCATAACACTAACGCGTCAATTCGAGCATCTTCTCCGATTGCAGGATGAATTCTGGCTGACGATTGGTGAACCCGACTCCAATTGCTGGATTAAAACTAAAACTCATTATCTAAGTAATTTACTGATGAATTGAACGTAAAATTATTATTCAGTAACTTCGATTTAAAAAAAAAAATTGTTAGAAAAATCATCTAGGCTACCTCGAAATGTTTAAGCTTTCTAGTGATAATCTGTTGACCATACACCAATGTTTGTATCATGGCAACATTGTCACCATTGTACGAATCAACGGTACAATGAAAAATTATTGCAGCTTATAAATCTGGCCAATTTTCTCATGGTACAAAACTAGTTCACATCTGCCTAAACTTTTCCCTCCAGAGCAATTGAAGTGGCGGAGCCAGCGTGTGTGGACGTGGGTCAAGTGACCCACCTGGATTTTTTATTATTTTAAAAATTTATCACTATATTTGATAGAAAATCTGATGAAATGTGATAAAATGTGATCATTGACCCATGTAATATATATTTTAGTTCATTGTGACCCTCGTAAAAAAATTTCCTAGCTCCGCCACTGATTATCGAAACAAAGCATTTTATATGGTCTTGCTTAATTGTCACTCGATTTTTCTATATATGAGTAAACCATAACCGAAATCAAAAATGATTGAAACAAACAAATAAACCGAATTGAAGACATACATTTTTTGTTAATCTTGTAAACTAAACATCTGTTTTTAGAAAACTGAATCCAATCAAAAACTGAAAGATCCAAACAAAGCCATAAAGAGTATCCAGTTTCTAATGTAAGGAATAATTTATTCCACATTAGTGTGGTATTATAGTTAGTAGTTTTAAGGGAATGTTATAGTTAAAGAATTTGGTAACCAATGAACTAAAAGATTAAGAAGTTTAATGCTAATTGAGCTAATGAGGGATATGTGTCACACATACATGAATCAAGAACTCTTAAGTGACAACATTTAGGTTTATGTGTCACTCAAAGACACATTAAGGTATTATGTGTCAGTTAGTTGAACCATTAAGGTTTATGTGTCACTTAGTGGCAGTATCAAGGTTTGTGAATCACTTAGTGGCACCATTAAAAGGTTAGGTGTCATTCATGTAATGTGTTAAAGGATTAATCATCAAACACTTGTCACTTATTCCTTTAATCTCAATTTTGATGGACAATTGAGATTAAAAACTAAAAGAAAATCTGATGAGCATGTTGGTCCTCTCCTCCCCTATAAATAGATGTCTTTGGTCCATCACAAAGATACACCAAGAAAAACACAACACTTAAAGTATAAAGTTTGTAGGGAAGAGGAGAGAAACCAAATCTCACACTTAAAGCAAGACTTCCATCTTCAAGGCTAGAAACCTTCCTAAACACTTCTTTCTACCATAATGAGTGGAGGTATTCTCTTAACTTTCTTTATTCTATCATGTGATTATTTAGATGTTTAAAGATTTTGGGGTTCATGTTAAATAAAGTTTACATGCATGTTTAAATGATATTTTACATGCATGATGATTTTCTAACATGTGGTAACAGAGCTAATGGTTTTCCAAAACATCTTTTTAATTCATGAAGAATAAGATAATTGTGTTTAAGAGGATTTAATGAATTTTCTCATGATAAATTTACTGTAAAATGAATTTTGCATGAAAATAGGTTATTGCATGATTTTGAATCTATACATAATTGATATAGATTATTAAAGTGAAATTAAAGGATTATAGATATCACCACAGTGATTTTACCTTATAAAGATTTATATAAAAAGTGATTTGTAAATGTGTAAAGTAAGTATATCCACAGATAACTTAGCTTTTAAATTACATCACTTATAAATGATTTTTTTGAATAATATGACCTTAAAAAGAATTATGATGATTACCCACAGGAGCATCCATAATTTCTTGTCATATGCATTCAATAATTGAATTATGATATGTTGTGTTTTGAAGCCTAATTAGGATTTGTCATATATCTAAAATTGCAGCATCATTTCCTCATCATTTGTCATCAATGGCATCTGTTGTTCCTGTCCTCAATGGAAACAACTTCTCAGAATGGAAAGAGAAAGTTGAATTCACATTAGGAGTACTAGATTTGGATTTGGCACTTCGTGAAGAAGACCAGATCCACTAACAGATGATAGTACTGAGGAAGAAAAGGCTCTCCATAAAGATTGGGAGAAAGCAAACAGATTAAGCATCATGTTCTTAAGGATGACAATAGCAAGTAACATTAAAACTTCCCTTCCAGATGCTGATAAAGCTAAGCTTATCTTACAGCAATAGAAGAACGGTTTAAGACTGCAGATAAATCCCTTGCAGGGAAACTTATGGCAGATCTTACAACATGAAGTATGATGGGACAAGGTCTATGCATGAACATTGCATTGAAATGACCAACCTTGCGGCTAAACTAAAGAATTTAGGGATGAGTGTGGACGATTCATTTCTCGTCCAGTTTATCCTAAATTCCCTTCCTCCTCAGTATGGACCATTTCAGATCAATTATAATACCACAGATGAAAAGTGGACATCTAATGAATTGACTGGAAAGTTGGTCCAAGAGGAGTCAAGGCTTGGCCGTGAAGGTATTAAAGTTGCCCATTATGTTCAAGGAGCTGGATCTAAAGTGGGAAAAGGCATCAAAAGAGCCATAAAAGAGCACCACCCAACATGAGCGATTCCGATCAAGCTAATCAGAAGAAAAAGGCAAAGAAAGATGATAGGTGAAACTTTTGCAAAAAGGTTGGACACTTTCAGAAAGATTGCACTAAAAGAAGAGAATGGTTCGAAAAGAAAGGTAATCCTATGGGTTCCATAAGCTTTTTCGAATCTAATCTTTCTCATGTTTCTTCTAAAACCTGGTGGATAGATAGCGGTGCTAATGTACATGTAACAAATTCCATGCAGGGATTCTTACGATCCAAACCATAAAGCAAGTGAAAACTACTTAATGATGGGAAACGAGACAAAGCGCCAGTTGAAGCTATTGGCACTTATCGTCTCATTTTGGATAGTGGGTTTTGTTTGGATTTATTTCAAACTTTGTATGTACCTTCTATTTCCCGTAACTTAGTTTCTGTAAGCAAACTTGATATGGCTGGTTTTAAATCTACTCAAGGAGATGGTTGTTTTAATCTATTTCTGAACTCTAATCGAATTGGTTCAGGAATATTAGTTGATGGTCTTTATATGTTAAAATTGGCTGATCAACAATTTGAAACACATCTCTCCATACTAAAAGTGGATTTAAACGTAAAACATGTACTAATGATTCATATTTCTTGTGGCATAAAAGATTGGGACACATTTCCATTGAAAGAATTAAAAGATTGGTAAAAGATGGAATCATTCCAAATCTTGATTTTACCAATACTAAAGATGTATAGATTGCATTAAGGGTAAGCAAACTAAACATACAAGAAAGAAGCCACAAGAAGTACACAGCTTCTTGAAGTCATACATACAGATATTTGTGGACCATTTGATGTTCCAACTTTTGGAGGAGAAAAATACTTTATTACCTTTATTGATGATTATTCACGGTATTGTTATCTCTATCTTTGCATGAAAAATCTCAATCTGTGGATGCTGTACAAGCATTCATTACTGAAGTTGAGAGGCAATTAGATAGAAAAGTGAAAATCATTAGGTCAGATAGAGGTGGTGAGTTTTATGGCAAATATGATGAAACAGGACAACATCCTGGACCTTTTGCCAAACTTCTCCAAAAATTAGGAATGTGCCCAATACACAACGCCTGGTTCTCCATGGCAGAATGGTGTGGCAGAAAGGCGTAATCGTACATATATGGAAATGGTTAGATCCATGATGAGTCGGACTAACTTACCAATATCCTTGTGGATGGATGCATTACGTACTGCAGTATATATCTTGAATAGGGTTCCAAGCAAATCAGTTCCAAAGACTCCCTTTGAACTGTGGAAAGGCTGGAAACCTAGTCTGTCTCATCTCCAAGTTTGGGGATGTCCAGCTGAAGCAAGAATATATAATCCACATGAAAAGAAGTTAGATTTCAGAATAGTCAGTGGTTTCTTTATAGGTTACCCTGAGAAATCTAAAGGATATAGGAAACCAATAATGTCAGATTCTATGAAGATGGCGATATTAGTGGGAGTGATAAAGTTAAAGATGTGATCATTCAAGAAATAAGGGTAAATATCTTTACCCTTAGTTCATAAAGATGGGAACCCTTCTGTTGTTGAACCGTTAAACAACGAAGAAAACCCGTAAATGATCACCCACTCCATGATGAAAATATTGTCAATAATGATTATCAAGCACAACAAGAATTAGCATTAAGAAGATCAACTCGTACAAGAAGATCTGCTATTTCTGATGACTATGTGCTTTATCAAGTAGAATCTGGAGAATTGAATATTAAAGATCCGGTTTCTTATTCACAAGCCATGAAAGATGTTAATTCTGATAAATGGATTGATGCCAGTAAAGAAGAAATAGACTCAATGGTTAAGAATGGAGTTTGGGACATTGTTCCATTGCCTGAAGGACACAAAGCAGGTCGGGTGTAAGTGGGTCTTTAAGACCAAACTCAACTGTAATGGCAATGTTGAACGATATAAAGCCAGACTTGTGGCCAAAGGGTTTAATCAAAAAGAAGGCATTGATTATGAGACATTTTCTCCCGTGTCAAGAAAAGACTCTCTCAGAATTATCTTGGCGTTAGTAGCTCAATATGATCTTGAGTTACATCAAATGGATGTGAAAACTGCCTTTCTTAATGGAGACTTAGAAGAAGAAGTCTACATGTGTCAACCTGAAGGCTTCATAATTGAAGGTCAGGAAAACATGGTCTGCAAATTAAAGAAATCAATATATGGACTGAAACAAGCTTCGAGGCAATGGTATCTAAAGTTTGATGAAATCATTACGAAATTCGGTTTCAAAGAAAACATTGCTGCGGATCCATGTATATACCTCAAGATCAGTGGGAGTAAGTTCATATTTTTGGTACTGTATGTTGATGACATTCTATTGGCCAGTAGTAATCTTGGTCTATTACATGAGACTAAGATGTATCTCTCTAAGAATTTTGAGATGAAAGATATGGGTGAGGCATCCTATGTGATAGGAATTGAAATATTCCGTGATAGATCACTTGGAATTTTAGGATTGTCTCAGAAAGCATATATTGACAAAATTCTTGAGAGATTTGGTATGATGTCATGTTCTTCTAATAATGTTCCTATGCAGAAAGGTGACAAGCTTGAACTTAAGCAATGTCCGCAGAATGAAATGGAACAAAAGAAATGCAAAATTACCCTTATGCATCTCTTGTGGGAAGTTTGATGTATGCTCAGGTCTGTACAAGACCTGATATTAGCCATGCAGTCGGTATGTTGGGTAGATTTCAAAGTAACCCAGGACTTGCTCATTGGAAAGCTGCAAAGAAAGTGTTGAGATATCTAAAAGGAACAAGAAATAACATGTTGACATATCGAAAATCAACACATCCACAGATGGTTGGATTTTCGGACTCAGATTTTGGTGGATGCCATGATTCTAGGCATTGCACTCTTGGCTATGTGTATCTCCTTTGCGGAGGTGCCATTTCATGGAAAAGCCAAAAGTCGCAGTTGATTTACACATCCACTATGGAAGCTGAGTATGTTGCATGTTATGAGGCTTCTATTCAGGGATCTTGGTTGCGGAATTCGTCTCCGAGTTTAAGGCCTTAAGTTTTGTTGACAAACCTTTAACTCTTTATTGTGACAATCAAGCTGCAATCTTCTTCTCTAAGCATGATAGGATATCTAAAGGAGCCAAGCATATGGACCTTAAATATCTATCATTGAAGCAAGATGTTAAAAGAGAAAAGTTTGTCATTGAACACATAGGCACTGAACTCATGGTTGCAGACATATTTACAAAAGCATTACCTCCTAAGACATTTAAGAAGCATGCTGAAAGTATGGGTCTTGAGGATAGCTCTTAATTATGTTGTCTGTTTATGTAAAGTCTATATATGATCATGACTTGAGCTCTAATGTATGTTAATGTTATGACTTTTACATCTTTTATATATTCTGTATTCACGTGCACACATCATTGTTTGTTGAATTATAGTAACAGAATATGTCTTTGAAGACATAAAAGAGACCATTATGATAACTTCTACTTATGGTCTACCTATGAAGATAATCAATGTAGTAGTACATGGAAGGGATCATGTTGCAAAATAATGTGTAACCGCCATGACTCTCATTGATTATTGGATTAGCTAAGACAATAATGATGACCAAATGAAAATAAGATTATAACATCTTACACCGGCCTTATGTTTCCCGTAAGTAAAACTGTAATTCACTATACTATAGATCAAGTGGGAGAATGTAAGGAATAATTTATTCCACATTAGTGTGGTCTTATAGTTAGTAGTTTTAAGGGAATGTTATAGTTAAAGAATTTGGTAACCAATGAACTAAAAGATTAAGAAATTTAATGCTAATTGAGCTAATGAGGGATATGTGTCACACATACATGAATCAAGAACTCTTAAGTGACAACATTTAGGTTTATGTGTCACTCAAAGACACATTAAGGTATTATGTGTCAGTTGAACCATTAAGGTTTATGTGTCACTTAGTGGCACTATCAAGGTTTGTGAATCACTTAGTGGCACCATTAAAAGGTTAGGTGTCATTCATGTAATGTGTTAAAGGATTAATCATCAAACACTTGTCACTTATTCCTTTAATCTCAATTTTGATGGACAATTGAGATTAAAAACTAAAAGAAAATCTGATGAGCATGTTGGTCCTCTCCTCCCCTATAAATAGATGTCTTTGGTCCATCACAAAGATACACCAAGAAAAACACAACACTTAAAGTATAAAGTTTGTAGGGAAGAGAGAGAAACCAAATCTCACACTTAAAGCAAGACTTTCATCTTCAAGGCTAGAAACCTTCCTAAACACTTCTTTCTACCATAATGAGTGGAGGTATTCTCTTAACTTTCTTTATTCTATCATGTGATTATTTAGATGTTTAAAGATTTTGGGGTTCATGTTAAATAAAGTTTACATGCATGTTTAAATGATATTTTACATGCATGATGATTTTCTAACAGTTTCTACTGACACTTAAAGCTGAAAAGTCCGAACCAAAAACTGGAAAAACCATTTTTGAAACCTTATTACAAGTCATAGGTGATAAATCAAGGAAATGCGTCAAGAAAATCACAAATTATTCTAAATCCTACACTAGTAATCAACCCAAACATACATAGATAGAGGCATTTTCATGGAAAAGGAATAAAAGAGAGGCATTAAGCACAAGAGAATGAAATCCGATAGACATACTCAAAAGAAAAATACACCAATTCTGTAACACCCCCGATTCGATCTATAAATAAATCTAATCAAGAGCATTACAGATGAGACTTAGGCAAGTCCAGACTTGAGTCCCGGAGGGGATCCTTGACTCATATCCGGTCCCGCCCAACTCCCTTACCACAATATTCAATATACTAAGGCTTTGCAACCCGTATTATGAATATTATGTTGTGTTAGTTCGGACAAAACAAATATCATCCGAACAAGCCATCTTTTAATAAAACATAATTTTTATTCCCATTTATATTTTATTAAAGATGAAATTTTTAAATACAAATAAAAGAGTTTTAACCATGGCCTAATGCCCAAATAAATCAAAATAAACTAGGTGTGGGGTTTTAAAGTCATTAATCTTACAAATTAAAATTTTACAAAAGCCAAGGGAAATCTACTCCAGTGCCTTACGTTCCACGATACTTCCAGGTTGATCTAGGGTTTCCTGAAAAACAAATAATCATCATAAGTAACCTAGTGTTACTTAGTGAGTCTAGGACCCTCTATACAACAAGTTTTTCCCCACACTAATCTAAGAACAAAGTACTAATAAAGTACGCATAACTCATCTAATTGGTAACACACATAGTCAACCAACGAGATGAGAGAAGCGGAAGCAAACAAACACACAATAATGCAATATGCTCTACATGACCCTATATGCATGCAATAACATCCCATGTTATGAATGCATCCTAATATGCATTTTTAGGCCTCTAATACATGCTGATACTCCCCTCACGCGATATCCGTTCTAGAAATCACACAGAAGACTATTACCGGAAATCTCGCCACCGTTATCCGTTACAATCACGGAACTCACGGTACTTGTGCTCAAATCACCTGATAAGAACACAAGCTTAACTCATACCGTCGTACTACCGTTCGGCCAAGGGAGCTACCCAAGTATATCCGAACCTTCCCGCACCGCAGGGTATGAGGAGTACCAAGACATGCCCTAAGATCATGATTTACGCCAAAAATCAAATGATCTGTCTACTCTATGAGTCACTAGGACTTATGCAAAAGATCTATAGCCCTTGCTATATTTCTTCAATTAATGGATCATAACCTCCTCGTTATGTCCCATGGAACCTATAGCCCTTGCTATGTTCCACCCATATGAACCCATAGTTTTACTATGTCTCATATGCACTCAGATTTATAATTCTTTGAATTAAAATCCTACCAAAAATCAAAAGAAAACAAACAAAAATAAAGAAATAAAAGTTACTTTGGGACTCTTACCCACAAGTAACAACTAAATTTCTAGTTGTCATGTAGTCTAGTCATGAAAACACCTTTGGATCGCATGTTTCATGAGTTCGATTATACATGCAAACCTAGAAATTATAAGAAAAACAACTAAGCTTTTATGAGATCTAATCGGATGAAACACCTTTGGATCGCATGTTCCATACCGAGATCGATTCTCATAAAAACAACTCACTAAACTAAACTATACTACCGAGACTCACAGATTTAACGATGGTGTAGACGCTTGACACTCCAAACTCTATACCGTCGCTCCTAAGCTCTCGTTCTACTTCTACGAATCTCACCTTACTATTTCTTCACTCTCTCACTTTTTTACTAAACTTAAGGAAGAAAATGAAGAACAAAATAGTTTACAATGGTGAGGGAGGGGTATTTATAGTGGCGGAGGAGACATGTGTGGGTTGAAGTCTTCCAATAGTCGTGTAGCACCTTGCAACATGTAGAGGTCTCTCTTGACACTTGTTGTGAGTTCATTACTTAGGGAGTAAGGAATGTAGTTGGATGACACTTGTTGGTTCTTCTTACACTTGTAAAATGGAAGGTTCCATTTGTCATAGGAGTTTGGACATCCAACTCCCAAATAACAAGTGTTGAAACTCCAAAAAGCACTTTTTGTCTTCTCGCGACACTTGTCAAAAAGTGACTCTCTCGGCCAGCTTTTTGTCCGCTCGATCGAGTTGGCCGAGCCTTGCTTGGTCGAGTCGATTGTTTCTCGGCCAAATATGTTTTTGGCCGAGGTTTCTTTCGGCCAATTTCGTCTATGGCCGGCCGCGAACAAAAATAACCTCCTTGGGCGCGAAATGATTGGTTTCGCGTGTTGGGCGCGTTGGGCGCTCCGGCCGCGCTTACGTCACTATGAGGGATATTACATTCTCCCCCACTTCAAAGAATTCGTCCCGAATTCTCTATGTATGTGATGGCCCGCCTTCTTCCATTTGTGTTGCTTCTTCCATGAAAAACTCCGGTAGTTGGCTCGAAATCTTTCTTCGTCTTCCCAGGTAATGACCATTCTGTTCTGTCTGCCCCAGAAAACTTGTATATGAGGAATGCGCCGATTTTTGAGTTCCCTAACTCTTCTTAGACCGATCTTGATGGGTCCCACCGGATAAGTGAGGTCTTGTCGAAGGTCTTCTATTCGTTCCGGTTCGATGGCGTTTGGATCAGCTACATGTTTCCTCAACATGGAAACATGGAAAACAGGATGTAGATTCATTTCTGGAGGTAGTTCTAATCGGTAAGCTACGATACCTACTTTCCCGATGATCTTGTATGGTCCGATATAGCGTACTGCGAGTTTGCCAATCTTTCCAAATCTATGCTTCCATTTCTGAGCTGCTACCTTGAGATACACCATATCTCCTCTTTCGAATGTGACTTCTCTCCTCCTTTGATCTGCGTACTTCTTCTGACAATCTTGAGCTTTCTTCATGTTGGCTCGGATTTCCAGTAGTCGATCCATGGTGTGATCAACTATTGGTGGTCCAAACACTCTTCTTTCTCCAATCTCCGTCCAACATAATGGTGTCCGGCATGGTCTTCCATATAAGGCTTCATATGGAGACATTCCTATGCTGATGTGGTGACTGTTGTTGTAGGAAAAATCTATAAGGGGTAAGTAATCTTCACACACGCCAGACCAGTCAAGTATGCACATACGTAGCATGTCTTCCAGTGTACGTATGGTTCTCTCCGTATGACCGTCTGTCTCTGGATGAAAGGCTGTGCTGAGGTTGAGCTCCGTTCCCATTTCTCCTTGTAATGCCTTCCAAAATGCTGCTGTGAATCTTGGATCTCGATCTGACACTATGTCTGCTGGCACTCCGTGTAGCTTGACTATCTGGTTGATGTTGAGTTCGGCTAAGGTTTCCACCTTGTCGGAATCTCTGACTGCGAGTAAGTGTGCCACCTTAGTTAGTCTATCCACAATAACCCAGATTGAGTTGTTCATTCGTCCTCTGGCTACTGGTAGTCCGGTAATGAAATCCATTGATATTGAATCCCATTTCCATTGAGGTATAGGTAGACTTTGTAGTAATCCGCCGGGTATTCTATGCTCCGCCTTGATTTGTTGACACGTTTGGCATTGCGCTACCCACCTTCTGTAACACCCCCGAGCCGAGATAAAAAAACTCGCGGCCCGGGTGGGCGCCACAGTATGCCGGAGCTCGCCATTCAGGATCCGATTCAACGACCAGAAAACACATCAAAGGCCGGAGTCAGTCCCCGTCCGGTGAGTCCCGACCCTCTCGGACAAGGGCCTAAGGCTTGCCAACACGTACACAAGCCCGAGAGTTGTGTTGTGTTAGTCCGGACAAGACTAATATCATTTGAAATAGAGACGAATTAGAGAAAATACTCGAATACATAATATAGAAAATAAAAAAAGTTTTACAGAGTGCGAGGTCAATGCCCATAAAATGCAAATATTTTACATCCGGATTATCGAGTTTTTAGAAAACAAAACAACGGAAAGAAAATCGTTAAACCGCGTTTAAAATTCATGAAAAATCTTATAAAGGTTTTGCAATAACACTTCCAAATCTACTCCGGTGGGATATCGTCCAAGCATCTACAAGCACAGCTAAAACAATCCAGAAAAACAAATAATCATCATGAGTATTCTACTAATACTCAGTGAGTCTAGGAAAAGCCCACTAAAAACAATCCCCAAATGAAAAATCCTAAATAATCCAAAATAACAAGCAAACTCACAATCCAAATGACACCTAAATGTGTCACTTTTCTTATGAGGGTAGCCGGGTAGTTCCGAAGAACCAATGATTTCTACGAGTAAAAAATCTTGTCCTAAAACTAGACTAAAAACCTAGACTTTGACTCTAATCCTAGACCTAGACCTAATTCTAATCCTAGACCTAGACCTAATTTCTAATCCTGGACCTAGACCTAATTCTAATCCTAGACTCGATCTAAGTGGGAAAAATACCTAATCCCAAGCCGACGCTTGGTTACTAGAGGCCCCTATGGTACACACGCCCCACACTCCCCTTTGCATTACCCGAATCTAGCAAACACAAAGTCACACTAAACCGGAACTGCTATGGAGTTAACCCCTGTTACTTTCCAAGTCAGCCAGATTAACCCGGATTGGTCCTGTCCTCCCCGCAGACAACCAATCCACCCAGTTCGACAAGGCCCACACCTGACGAAGTAGACTTTTTTGTATCACACCGTCGTGTGATCCTCGGCCAATGGAAGCCAACCAGTCTCTCCGAGTTTTCTACCTGTTCTCCTCATCGAGAAAGATCGAAGGTCGGGCGAATGCCGTGTGTACCTCCCATAGCCGCCTAGGCTATGAGACATTCTAGACTCGATCTAACCTAAGGGAAATCGTATAAGACATAACCTACTCATCATTCCTATACGATCCCGACTAAAACTACATGGATGATTACACCGTCCCACGGCTTATCAACCATGACCAATGAAGAAAACGTTGCATGTGATAAAATCCCCGATTCTATCACACTACCCGTTCTTGATGAGCATGCAATCCAACATGCAATACTCATCGCATTATATTATTTATTTGAAAATATAAAACCATTACTCGGCTTCCTAAATTATAAAATTGATACGACATGCTGTCAAAGACATATACACCTAACGTACCAATATTTATAAAATGGTTTAGCTTTTCCTTGGCTATTTCCATATAAAAATATAATGACAGCACACTCATACGATTTCTAAGTAACCCGATGCATCGAATGCATCCTAAAAGATGGATCTAGTATTACTTCACTCTAAAACCATAGTTTAGTAACACTAGATCACTCAACGTGCATAAACACATTAGTACATATCCTAAGATCTATGTAAGAATAGTTACATTCCATGTACACTAACACAAGTAGAATTCTCCCTAATTCATACTCGGATCTATAGTGTAGATGAACTATAACTATCTTACCCTAATAAAACAAACAAGTATGAACCGCAAGCTTGATGCTTAAACGATCCACACACCTGCATCACACGTTAGTCTTCCTAATATCTACTTACTACCGGCGCACACAATCACACAAATGCCGATAGTAAACCTAATCTACCGGGAACTCACCAAACTTTCCACGAGATGAATGCTCCTCAAGGGATGAGCGAAATCAACACTTCACTTCTACTCTCACTCACTCTCTCACAATTTAACTAGAAGAAAAGGAAAGCCAAGGAGATAAAATGAGCGTGAAAGAGAAAAGGAGTCCTTTTTATAGGCACATTGGGCGTGGGGAGCAAGGAATTTTGGAGGCGCATGAGTGACACTTGGCCAAATCTTTCTTCACCTGAGAAGTCCCATCGTCTTGGATATTTGGTAGTGATTGGGGTATTATGTCGTGTCTTGACATGTGTCGAGTCTACTCCCATAGCCTTTTTATAGGCCACTTGCACCTATGTTGATTTAGCCTCCTTTTTGTTGTTGTTGCGACAGTTGTAGACGTCGGGTTCCTCCTTTCAATTTCCAAGGAAGTATGTTCCTTCCCACATCATAGGCTTTTCAGCCTATAGGTTTAGGAGTGGCCACGTTTTGGCCATGTATTCCTTCTATGCTTGCATGTGGAAAATGTGTAAGCTCACTTTTCTCTTTTCCCAAGCAAACAATTGGTTAAGGGCAAGTGTTGAGTTGCTTTGAACACTTGTAACCTTTCTTCCAAGTGTTAAAAATGTGCAAAAGGGGATGAACTTTATTCCTTTGCATTAGGGTTTGGTTTCCTTAAAGCTAGACAATCGCACATGTGTGGGAAGTTTTAAAGCGATTCTTCGCCAAGTGATTTTCTCCCATTGGTCAGTTCTCTGCCGGATGTTCTTGAGGATGTTAGCCGCGGCCAATACTTTCTTAGTCTTCTCTAAGCGTTCGTCCGTGGTTGTCTTGTGGTCTGGTTTCTCCTAGAACGAGATATCGACGTGTGCGCCCTTCGGTATGACCATCAAGCGCCCAAATAAATATCTTAGAGTTCTACTCGTTCGTTTCTTCTTCTGCTTCGACCGTTGAGCTTGTTTTGGCGTCTTCTTCTTGTCCTCCAAGTTTCGTCGCGTTCTGACAACTTTTGGATTTTAGTTGTTTGGCTCGGCCAGGTCCTTGTCCGTACCCGAGTGTCCTCGGCCAGTTTTGTTCCGGTGCGCCTTGTCTCGTCCATCTTGGATTTTCGTCGTTCCATTTGAATTCTGCCTCGACCGTTGTGTTGGTTCTGAACCTCTGCTTCTTCTGGATGTGGAGTTTGGCTTGATTTATTCATCTCTCATCAGGGATATTACATTCTCCCCCTCTTATAAGAATTCGTCCCAAATTCTCACTGTTCTTCTTCCTTGATCTTCGTTTCGCATGGAGTTGGTTTAGCTTTCGGTTGGTAGAAGTCTCTGTTGTAGGCCTTTTGACATCAGTATCCTTCTCCTAGTTGTAAACATCTTCTCTTTTCCATTCTAGTATGTATCCTTCTTGAGTTGGTGTAGTCGTCTTCTAGTCTTCTCGGCTTGTCACTCATTTCTCATAGATTGAGCTCCTGTCGAATCTATGGCCTTATTATCGTTTCCTGTACCTTTCCTTTTTCTCAGTACCCATATTCACAATCTCCAAAGTTTCACATTCCTCACAGAATTAAAGGGAACTAAATACTACCTAACCTTTAAAGTCTACCTTAAAATTCTATGATTCCCTATCTAAACTAAAGCTCGAGGAGATAAACTAACAAATACTTAACGACAATGATTACTTCCTAATCTAAACTAATTTACTTACTAACAAGAGCAATAAATAAATAAAAGAAAGGATATTCTTAAACAAGAATACCTCGGGTTTTTGGGTTCAGTTACGGTTGGGGTTGCGTGAATGGCCCGAGTTCCGACCTCTCCTAGGTCTAGGGGATCTCCTTGCTCTTGCACTGGTTGAAGTCCCTGATGAAGAAGATGGAGTGGGGTGGGTCGTCGGGCAAGAAGCGATGTACTGTCCTCTAAGTCCACAAGTGTAGCATGTTACACGGCTCATTCTTTCACTTGGACACGCGTGGGTGTAATGGCCATAGCCATCACAAATGCGGCACGGCATGTAAGCTCTGGCTGGAATAAGAACTCTCTTCCTTGCTTGGGATCTGAATCGAAGCCTTCCTGTGGGACGTCTCCCAGGGGTTCCTTCTGTCTCGTTAACTTCATTGCCGTTGTTTGAGTTGAGGTGACCTCCGGTTTATGGAGTGTTTGCTTCGATGGGATTCGCCACTTGGTCTGGGTTGGAGTCTTCTACATGCGTTTGGTTCTCTGTTGGGTTAGCTTCTGGCATGATGTCTTGGTTTGGGTTTGGCGTCTGAGTTGGGTTCTCATCTTCTCTTCCTAGGCGTAAACCAAAGAAAGATGCGAGGCTGTTTACGATTGGGATTATCCTCTCATGTCTTCTTGGCCTTGCTACTTCTGGATCAATGGGACCTCCTTGTTGTGCGTCGCGCTCCCATTCTCTCCAAAGATCGGCTACGGTTGGATCGGGGTTCAAATGGATTGAAGGTCGTTGATGAAATTGATCGTTTGGCAACACGAAGTCATATGTTCCTCCAAGTCCGGGCAGGTCTTCGGCGTAGCTTACATTGTATACCGGAATGGATCCAACGAAAAGCTGGTTGTAGAGGTTGTTTATCTCGCCGCTTGCCTCCTCATCGGAAATGTGAATTGCACGGAGTTGAGGTTGTGTCTGGCCGTGATCGGTTGGTACTTTGTTATGCGCAAAATGCCAAACGTGTCAACAAATCAAGGCGGAGCATAGAGTACCCGGCGGATTACTACAAAGTTTACCTATACCTCAATGGAAATGGGATTCAATATCAATGGATTTCATTACCGGACTACCAGTAGCCAGAGGACGAATGAACAACTCAATCTGGGTTATTGTGGATAGACTAACTAAGGTGGCACACTTACTCGCAGTCAGAGATTCCGACAAGGTGGAAACCTTAGCCGAACTCTACATCAACCAGATAGTCAAGCTACACGGAGTGCCAGCAGACATAGTGTCAGATCGAGATCCAAGATTCACAGCAGCATTTTGGAAGGCATTACTAGGAGCAATGGGAACGGAGCTCAACCTCAACACAACCTTTCATCCAGAGACAGACGGTCAAACGGAGAGAACCATACGTACACTGGAAGACATGATACGTATGTGCATACTTGACTGATCTGGCGTGTGGGAAGATTACTTAACCCTTATAGAGTTTTCCTACAACAACAGTCACCACATCAGCATAGGAATGTCTCCATATGAAGCCTTATATGGAAGACCATGCCGGATACTATTATGTTGGACGGAGATTGGAGAAAGAAGAGTGTTTGGACCACCAATAGTTGATCACACCATGGATCGACTAATGGAAATCCGAGCCAACATGAAGAAAGCTCAAGATCGTCAGAAGAAGTACGCAGATCAAAGGAGGAGAGAAGTCACATTCGAAAGAGGAGATATGGTGTATCTCAAGGTAGCAGCTCAGAAAGGGAAGGATAGATTTGGGAAGATTGGCAAACTCGCAGTACGCTATATCGGACCATACAAGATCATCGGGAAAGTAGGTATCGTAGCTTACCGATTAGAACTACCTCCAGAAATGAACCTACATCCTGTTTTCCATGTTGAGGAAACATGTAGCTGATCCAAACGCCATCGAACCGGAACGGATAGAAGACCTTCGACAAGACCTCACTTATCCGGAGGGACCCATCAAGATCGGTCTAAGAAGAGTTAGAGAACTCAAAAATCGGCGCATCCCTCAAATACAAGTTTTCTGGGGCAGACAGAACAGAATGGTCATCACCTGGGAAGACGAAGAAAGATTTCGAGCCAACTACCGGAGTTTTTCATGGAAGAAGCAACACAAATGGAAGAAGGCGGGACATCACATACATAGAGAATTCGGGACGAATTCTTTGAAGTGGGGGAGAATGTAATATCCCTCATAGTGACGTAAGCGCGGCCGGAGCGCCCAACGCGCCCAAACGCGAAACCAATCATTTCGCGCCCAAGGAGGTTATTTTTGTTCGCGGCCGGCCATAGACGAAATTGGCCGAAAGAAACCTCGGCCAAAAACATATTTGGCCGAGAAACAATCGACTCGACCAAGCAAGGCTCGGCCAACTCGATCGAGCGGACAAAAAGCTGGCCGAGAGAGTCACTTTTTGACAAGTGTCGCGAGAAGACAAAAAGTAACTTTTTGGAGTTTCAACACTTGTTATTTGGGAGTTGGATGTCCCCAAACTCCTATGACAAATGGAACCTTCCATTTTACAAGTGTAAGAAGAACCAACAAGTGTCATCCAACACATTCCTTACTCCCTAAGTAATGAACTCACAACAAGTGTCAAGAGAGACCTCTACATGTTGCAAGGTGCTACACGACTATTGGAAGACTTCAACCCACACATGTCTCCTCCGCCACTATAAATACCCCTCCCTCACCATTGTAAACTATTCTTCATTTTCTTCCTTAAGTTTAGTAAAAAAGTGAGAGAGTGAAGAAATAGTAAGGTGAGGATTCGTAGAAGTAGAACGAGAGCTTAGGAGCGACGGTATAGAGTTTGGAGTGTCAAGCGTCTACACCATCGTTAAATCTGTGAGTCTCGGTAGTATAGTTTAGTTTAGTTGAGTTGTTTTTATGAGAATCGATCTCGGTATGGAACATGCGATCCAAAGGTGTTTCATCCGATTAGATCTCATAAAAGCTTAGTTGTTTTTCTTATAATTTCTAGGTTTGCATGTATAATCGAACTCATGAAACATGCGATCCAAAGGTGTTTTCATGACTAGACTACATGACAACTAGAAATTTAGGTTGTTACTTGTGGGTAAGAGTCCCAAAGTAACTTTTATTTCTTTATTTTGTTTGGTTTTCTTTTGATTTTTGGTAGGATTATAATTCAAAGAATTATAAATCTGAGTGCATATGAGACATAGTAAAACTATGGGTTCATATGGGTGGAACATAGCAAGGGCTATAGGTTCCATGGGACATAACGAGGAGGTTATGATCCATTAATTGAAGAAATATAGCAAGGGCTATAGATCTTTTGCATAAGTCCTAGGTGACTCATAGATAGACAGATCATTTGATTTTTGGCGTAAATCATGATCTTAGGGCATGTCTTGGTACTCCTCATACCCTGCGGTGCGGGAAGGTTCGGATATACTTGGGTAGCTCCCTTGGCCGAACGGTAGTACGACGGTATGAGTTAAGCTTGTGTTCTTATCAGGTGATTTGAGCACAAGTACCGTGAGTTCCGTGATTGTAACGGATAACGGTGGCGAGATTTCCGGTAATAGTCTTCTGTGTGATTTCTAGAACGGATATCGCGTGAGGGGAGTATCAGCATGTATTAGAGGCCTAAAAATGCATAATAGGATGCATTCATAACATGGGATGTTATTGCATGCATATAGGGTCATGTAGAGCATATTGCATTATTGTGTGTTTGTTTGCTTCCGCTTCTCTCATCTCGTTGGTTGACTATGTGTGTTACCAATTAGATGAGTTATGCGTACTTTATTAGTACTTTGTTCTTAGATTAGTGTGGGGAAAAACTTGTTGTATAGAGGGTCCTAGACTCACTAAGTAACACTAGGTTACTTATGATGATTATTTGTTTTTCAGGAAATCCCTAGATCAACCTGGAAGTATCGTGGAACGTAAGGCACTGGAGTAGATTTCCCTTGGCTTTTGTAAAATTTTAATTTGTAAGATTAATGACTTTAAAACCCCACACCTAGTTTATTTTGATTTATTTGGGCATTAGGCCATGGTTAAAACTCTTTTATTTGTATTTAAAAATCATCTTTAATAAAATATAAATGGGAAATAAAAATTATGTTTTATTAAAAGATGGCTTGTTCGGATGATATTTGTTTTGTCCGAACTAACACAACATAATATTCATAATACGGGTTGCAAAGCCTTAGTATATTGAATATTGTGGTAAGGGAGTTGGGCGGGACCGGATATGAGTCAAGGATCCCCTCCGGGACTCAAGTCTGGACTTGCCTAAGTCTCATCTGTAATGCTCTTGATTAGATTTATTTATAGATCGAATCGGGGGTGTTACAGAATTGGAAACTCACTGGAAACATCTTCTAGAGTACAAATTTCTCAAGATGCATGCAGACACATTCACACTTGGGTTTGAAGAGACATAGCGAAGCAACTCCTCATCGGTTTCAGATTTAGACATATCATTCTGGTCAAGGTTAATCCAAGCTTCTATGCCATCACCTTCCTTAGTATAAGTGAAAGCTACCAGGTTTTTGTAACTAATTTTGGCATAGGGTACCCACAACGGTTTTCCCCATCCAAAATCTGCTTCATACACCGGAAAGTTGCAGGGGCTCGTTAAGCTGAAGGAAACAATCTCTCCTTTGACGAAACCTGAAGCTTGCTTGTTAAGAATCTCGAAATGTCCTAGTTTCTTCATGTACACTCCATCTATCTTTCTTATCCCCCTCTCTCATCTGCTTCACAAGAGAAGGCTTTGCTTCATCATCTTCATTATTGATTATCATCTTATGAACAGTAACTGAGAATCTCATGATGTTACCAAATATGTTGTCTGGTATTTTATATTAGTTAGTATATTTTAGTTTAAGTTTTACAGTTTAGATTAGTTTTGATTTTATAACGGCATGCTTACTTAAAGGACGACTGAGAAAAATATGGCTTTTGAAAATGCCACCATTATTGTATCATCGTATTTTCTTATAACATAGATAGATAGAATTAGCTAAAATGTCGAACATGTAATGACATTTTCAAAAACTACATATTAAAAGTAAAAACTCTATTTTGGGGTAGGGGGAGTTGCGCCAGCAATTCTTGAACATTGTTCCTTCAACATAGGAGGGAAAAACGGAATGACTGGAACTTTTGGCATGCAATTGGCTTCAGCTTCCAAAAACGCCTTGCAACAAGCAGGACCAATGTTACCAAACTTTCCAGTGAATATAGATTGGGATCTCTGCAATGCATCCAGGGTTATTCATCACTGTTGACCAACATTTGGTTAAGTCAGGTAATCCCGGCACACCAGGAATTGGTTGGAATGGAAATGAAATCGGAAACTGTGGTAGTTGAGCATTCACGGAGATGATGATGCATAGAACTGCCATAACAAAAGACACATTTCTAATAGACATGATTAGATATTGCACAAGAAGATTAAAAAAGAAAGAGCAAGATCTCTAGAAGTATGTCTTTATCGAGTTTGTTTTTGATTGATGAACACTGGTACAAACGTTGTTTATTTATATGTGAAGAAAGAGATGAAGCTAATGTACGTATCAATTACATTGAAGAAACGTATTGGAATTTAAATTGGAATTTAATTTCCCGTTTTCAAAATTGAAACATAGTGGAAATTCACCTCCACGAGACGAACAATATTAATACAATACATTTAATGGCCCTTGACCAAACCGATCAGACCAGTCTGATCAAAGAAGGAGCTGACTAATGCGCGGGTTTTTTTGCATTTCAGATAGGTTTCAACTTTTAACTAGACTAGTGCGCGGGGTTTTTTATTGTTGTAGTTTTAAAAATATATTAGAATACGTCAAAAAAAAATATATATATATATATATTATAAAATAAATATAGATTTGTGATTAATATTAGAAAATATTATCCTAATAATACTGATATTTTAATTCTAACTTGTATAATTAGTAAGTGTTTTCAAATATATATTTTTGCATTATACCATATGCCTATTTTCTTTGTTTACTCACTGCCACATGGAATGGACTGTGCTTCCCGCCACGGCTTTTCGCTATATTTATTTCTTCATATATTAGGAGAACTTAGATGTTTAATGCTGATTCAAATTGGAAACTAAAAGATAATAATTTAAAATTCTGGTTTTAATTATAATAAATTAAAATGTTTAAAGTTATTAATTGAAAGGAAAATGAAAAGTTGTTAACTAAAAAGAAAGGAAAATGAGAAATTAAAAATTTATATTTTTAGAATATAAAATGTCATGTCACATGTCAATTGTCAGTGTGTCTACATGTCCAAAATAGGGAAAGGGGTTGACCCCTTATATATGATTTGTATAATATTATGTAAAAAGCTAATACTATTTTAACCAATTTAGCACTTAGTTCGAATAATTACAAAGGGTTAGTCTCTAAAAATAGTTATAGATGGTGATAACAAATTGGTCTGAGTTCTTAAACAGGCAAAAGTCAGAAAAACAAAACCGGCGTCGTATAGGAAAATATTGTCTTGATTGGTATAACATTTAGAAGAGCATTAAACTATTTTTGATTCGATCAACTTTTTTTAAAAGAGCATTTATGAGAGCATTTAAAACTGGTAATTCCAAAGCATTGAGTTCAAATTTTTTTTTTTTAAATAAAAATTTAAAATAAATTATATTTAGTTTATTTATTTTGGTAAAAAATTGAAAACTATATTTATATTAAATATACAATTTTATAAATTTCGTAAATTATGTTTATCATTAATGTATTATTCATAAAATAAATATTTAAGGGGCAATTTCAAAACTACACCTCTTGAGGTGCAAATTTTCAAAAATACACCTCTATGGTGCCAATTTTCAAAAATACACTTTTTCATTTAGTAAAAGAACTCTAAATCCTAAAATATAAATCCAAAACCCTAAAATCTAACATTGAACCCTTAAATCTAAACCCTAAACCCAAAATCTAAACCCTAATATAGGATTAGTAAACCCAAACATATATATTAAAATTAGGGAAAGGTGTATTTTTGAAAATTTTCACACTATAGGTGTAGTTTTGAAAATTTGCACCTCAAGAAGTGTATTTCATAAAATTTCTCAATATTTAATGACATAAAAATTTAATAAATATAAATTAAATATGAAATAATAACTAAATTATCTTAAAGTAAAAAAAAAAGCATATGTTATTAATGAATATATATATATATGATGCATTAAAATAAATATCAATATACATATTAAATCTTTTTACAACAAAATGATAATAAAAAAACTCACATGTCTACTAATCATATAAGTCACAGCTTAATGCTTTTCTAAATACTCAGTTTATGCTGCTTAAGAATAATGTTCTTCTAAATGTTTTGCCATCGAGACCGTAGTGGAGATGGAGAAGTTGTTTAGCTCTCGAGCTTTGGCTCTTGTTTGACGGCAAAATCCCCAGCATCCTCGTCCGCCACATCACTGTCACATAAAAGCGACGACCAACCAACAACATTTAGAACAATTTACTCGTTAAACACAAATACTATTAGATTATGATTTGTAACTGGAGTAAACCGGGTTATTATATTGATGTAGAACCGGAAACAAACTCGAATATAAGAGTATCGTTGTAACAAGAAATGAATACAACAGAAATCATTTACTCTTTCATCTTATCTTCTTCATCGTCTCTTCTTCTAACATGGTATCAGAGCGTGAGCTCAAAAGCTCACTCGATCCTTCAATTCTTCTGTTTCCTTTCATTTTCCTTCTATTGACCTCAATCAATCGGTGATTCTCCCACTTGATTATTCTCTGTGAAAGGTTTTTGGTCATTCGGCCAAATAACCACAAATTTCACTTTATTCTTCAAATCTAGTTCCAGATCTACTTCAATGGTGATCGGACGAAAACCTATTCATTGTGGTTTGAGAACCTCAGCTTCAGCACGACGATCTTCCATTCCCGAAGACTCGCCTCCAGCTTCTCCGATTGTTCCCGATCTCTTCACGGAATCGATCAATAGCATTCACTCGCCATTTCATCTCACCGGTGGTGATAACCCAGGCATTTCACTCATCTCTGAGGTACTGGATGGTTCTAATTTCGATAATTGGCGTATTGCGATGACCATTGCTCTCGAAACGAAGAACAAAATAGCATTCGTTGATGGATCTCTCTCTCTCAGCCTAGCAAAAATCATCGTCACTTCAGAATTTGGTCTCGCTGCAACTCCATGGTGAAATTGTGGCTTCTCAATTCCGTTTCAAAGCAGATTTACAAGAGAATATAATTCTCCGTTTCAACGATGCATCGGAGATCTGGAAGGATTTGTTGGCTAGGTTCCATATCACGAACCTTCCGCGATCTTATCAATTATCTCAGCAAATTTGGTCTCTCCAGCAAGGATCTACAGATCTAGCTACTTACTACACCAAATTGAAAACGCTTTGGGATGGAGCAGATTGTGTAACAACATGTGGCAATTGTGATTGTTGCAAGTCTACTTCGAAGAAATATGATCATGATAAGGTCATCAAATTCTTGGCAGGTCTACATGATAGCTATGGCGTGATTAGAACCCAAATCATCATGAAGAAACACATTCCGGAGCTCTCTGAGGTTTACAATTTGCTCGATCAAGATCACAGTCAACGGACTTTCAATCCCGTTCCAAATGCTTCTGCATTTCACGTGACTGTCTCTGATCCAGCTCAGTTCCATTTTCTCATTGGCAAGATGTCGTTATTGTCAATATACTCACCATCTTGAGGGGGGTATTAGATTATGGTTTGTAATTGGAGTAAACCGGAAACAAACTCGAATATAAGAGTACCGTTGTAACAAGAAATGAATACAACAGAAATCATTTTCTCTTTCATCTTATCTTCTTCATCGTCTTCTTCTCTAACAAATACACAAATCAAAAGATTCCGTTAATAAACCTGTCTGCTGCTTCAGAATTGGGAATCAAAGTGACCTTCTTCAACATGAAATGTCTAAGAAAATGGGATAAGTTTTTTTCTTGACATAGCTCGTATAGATGATTCAAGAACTCTTTTGAACAGCTTTGGCTTCTGAAACACATATGCAAGAACAAATCCATGACACAGAGTTAAAACCAGGTCTTGCTTTAGAGAGAAAATGTACAAGTTCAAGATAGAGCGAAAGTTGATGAGGCCTGAAAAGGCATCAGATAGTTTATGGCAGAGGCCTACACCAAGAACTAAGCCGCCGCATTCAAAGAAAGTGAGCTGTACCTTGAGTGGCAAATATCTCACTTCGTCAAACTCTTGTTGAGTTCATTGGGATTAGGGTTTTCGAGAATCTGTGACATTTTCAAATCAGCTTTGGCTTCGACGAAACACACACCCACATTATTGCACACAACAACATCATGCGCCCCGCCAATGGATTAAATATTTCAGACAAAGAACTCTTGATGTGATCACTTCTTTCTTTGTTTGAGAGATTGGTCTTGTTGTGGTAAAAGAAAAGGAAAGGCATGAAAATGGGAGGAGCAAGCTGATCAAGGAAAGAAAGATGATGATGGTAAGGAAGATGATTAAGGTTTGAAGAAGAGGGCTTCACGAGTTCTTGAGACATCAACATGACCTCAATATCCATTGCTATTTTAAGTTAACTTATAATGGCGTATGAGAATACAGATATGATTCGTCGTTAGACTATATAAGCAAAGGCTAAGGAGATTATAGACCCAAGTGAACAAGAAATTACAAACTTTAATTGGTTCAAAGATTTGGTTTTGGAGGCTTAGAAGTTAGAAGATGGAATTATGAAACTTGATTTGTGGTTTAGGTTTAACCCGATTTTATACTAATGTTAGGTGACTTGACGCTATCTTTTTAATTAGACTTGAACGGATAAATTAAATATGCTGCAAAAGAGCTAAGCAGCTTCACAGGATACCTTTTCTCGCAAGAAACCCTTTTTCTCCCTCTTATAGCACAATCATCTACATGAAATGACTTTAGGGGTTAGGACAAACAACTTCTACATCAAAGATTTATTCATCCGACACATGACAGTCCAAACAAAAACCCGGGATTCGATTAGTAAACATTGATCTTTGAAAGAAGACCTGAGGATGTGGAATTTATAACACAGGATCTAGCTGTCAAATTCTCTTATTTTTTTCCCATTGAAAAACTAACTCACAAAGATATCTTAAGTTCTTAACACAACATTTCGTGAGAAAGTTTTCAGAAGATAGCTATTGTAAAACAGACAGAATTAGTTAACTTTATTGTACAAGTGGATTTTTTATTCTATGAAAAATTAATTTACTTTTTATGTTTTATACTTATTCATATTTTTTAGATTGATTATATTATTGGTTGATTAAAGCCAGACAAATACCTAATCGGAACCTTATATATATATAAAAAAATTGGGTCCCATATATATTTTTTCTTCTAAACGTCTCAGTTAGATACCAATGGAATCCCAGCATCATCATAAACCAGTTGGGGGTTGGTGGTCGATTGTCCTGAGCATCACTTCTTACCGTAGACGTTTGACTATTTGATTTAACTCAATTTATTTATTCCGCTCGTTTTAATTTCTGTGCTGCGATGTATATAACATATTCTCTTAACATTAAAACCAAAAAAAAATGTATATAACATATTGGTTTTATTTTGGGTGTTTTAAGTTCACCATTCGTGGTCGATCGATAGATTCCTCTTTTCCAGGTCAATGGAACCGTTGCCGCATAGCGTAGAAATTTAAGTAGTCAAGTGCTATTTTTGAATTGAAAAAATAAGGTATGAATTATTCCAAATTCCCAAGAAATTAACAAATATGAGGCTGGGCTGTTCAACTACTTTTAATTAATTTGATCATTACGACCAATTACAATTTACAACTAACCAGAATAATGTAATGTATAGGTAGTTTATACAAACAACAACTTTTATTTCCCTTCATTAAATTAATATAGTATCTTTAAATGATCGCCTAACGCGTTCATAACATATGAGGTCATCAAACCATCAAATGAAGACGCAATAACCTCATGGTGAGAACTGAATTTAATAGTCATAGTAAACGTTATTTCTTTTTCTTTTTTGTTAAAGAGTAAACGTTATTTCTTCATTTTAACATTGGTTTTTCGTCGGAAAAAAAAAACAACAACATTCATTTTTTATTTTATATATCCGAACAGAACTATAACTTATTCATATACATAAATAAATGTTTCGTGCTATGACTTCTAAGCTTTGAAACAAAATTATTTGTTGTGTATTTGTGGTGGTAAATTCATCTTCTGGTTGCCATTAAAATTTGAATTAAATCTACAGAACTGATCATTTATTTAAAATTCATTTCACATTTGAAGGCCAGGAAAGATTTTTGATGGAACGAGATTTTTTTGTCCGTCTGTTGTCCACGAGAACAGTAACGATTTAAATCAAAATTATATTCTACAAATCTTTACATGAAAGCGTAGAGCTTTTATTGAGTTACGCATGTAAGTTATCAACACGATCAACGTCACGTTAAAAGGATTACATCTGAATTCATTATTCAAAAAAGGCTTAATTAATAAGGTATTATCCACTATACTCAATAGAAAACGTACAAACTTCTGAAATGTAAAAAGAACATAGTATTATTATTTAACTAATGTTCTTAACTGCTCGTTACGTTGACTGTACGTGGCGAGTCGTGAAATCTGGATGCGGTGTTTTATTAATGTCATAGTCACTTTGGATTAGATAAACATATTGATTTCAGAAGAATTTTCTAGTAATGGTTTTAGAAAAAATAGATAAAAAAGCTCATCTATAGAAGATAAATCATAAAAGTATAATTCTTGCTTAAATGGTTAACTAGAAAATAACTCATATTCCTACCGAATTTCTCATTAAAAAGTCGGTGGAAAAACAAAGATCTACAGTTTCCATCATTTTAATTAATTTAAATATCGGTGAGTAATTGGTGAAAAATTCTCCACCTTTGTTTGATTAATTTCTTACCAAAAAAATAATTTAAAATTCGATGAAAACCCATCAGTAAAAACTATTTTGATTTTTCAAATCGATAACTCGTAGTTTAGGCATTTTTGCCATTTTTAAGCCGGTGGAAATTTTTTATGGGCTCATGTATATAACTATAAATCACTCCTCCCTTTGTATGCATGCTAGAAAACACTCAAATAGCTAAAAGTTTCTGAAATGTCTTGATATGGTAATGAAATTCGAGCTTGGATTTATAACAATCATATGAGATACAATTTATGTGTTAGTACAAGTGAGTTTGGAGAAGCTTTTACGGAATTTATGTGATTTATTAAACAAGAACACAGAAGTTTGGAAACATGTAGAATGTTTTGTCCATATCCAATTTGTGATAATAAAAAAAAATTCAAAGTAGATGAAGTATGGAGCCATTTGTATCAACGATGATTTAAGGAGAATTGCAAAGTGAAGTATTCTCATGGGAATCAAATCACCTTGGCCCAATGATAATGGACTGTGAGTACCGCCATTCGGGTTCGAGTCGTCTTGGTCACTTAGCCGCGCCCTTAATAATGGGATAACGCGTAATCGGATGCAAGGCCATGTTAGATTAGTCATTGGACCTAAAAAGCCTTTGGGAAACCAACTTAAAAAAAAAAAAAAAAAAAAAAATCATGGGAAGTCGATTATATAATGTAAGTGGTAGTAGTGCAAACTTTGTTGGTAATTTTGAAAAACCTTTAATGCGAGTAGAAGAATATAATTAAGTACAGTTCATATATATGATAAAAATATGATAAAAGATATTTTTCATGAAAATATATATATTTATCGGTTATAGAAAATGGAAATAGCGTAGATGAACCAAATTTAGAGGTGAAGAAATTTTTGGATATGAAGTATCGTTATAGAAAAAAATGTCATTCTCTTTTGTGGTCGGCAATTAGGCTGATGACTATAAAAACATATATATTTAGCAAGAGTTTATCTGAGACCCGAAAATTAAATAATTTGTCTGAGGTGTTTACTCTACAAACGATCAGTACTTTTCTGAGTTTGGTAAAATATGTTGTTCTTTGTGTTTTCTTTTTATGTTTGTTTGAAAATTCTAATATGTTTATTGATTTATTATTAAATTTATTAAGAATCATTTTTAATATTATTGCATAATTCAATTTTAGGGAATTTTGTTTTAAAAAAAAAACATAATTTTAAGTTTTCATTGGAAAATCGGTAAAAACATTTCTATAGAAATTCTTAATTATTTTTACCTGGGAAAATACAATATCCTTAGGAAATATGTTGGAAAGTTTGGGTGGGAAGTCTATGGAAAATATTACCATAAAGAATTAATCAGATGAAACTTTTCTCACAGATTTCTCATCTATCTATCTATACTAATGAAAGCACCTATTTGGGGCCTCAGAGGCTACCCATGTCAGCAACTTTTGCTTCTTTTTCAGGATACCACGTGGCATAAGTCTCAAAACTCAATCTCCTTCCATCTCTTTTGACGTTTTCTGAGACGCTTTTCTTCTGACGCTTCCAATTCTTTGATTTATCTTCCTCAAAATCTTCAAATCATCTATTTATTCCTCAAATCAGATTCACTCCCAAGCGTATCTTATGAGTTTCCCAAATCCGATTCTTCATCAAAATTGAGTTTAACTTTAATCATTCATTCTTCTCATCAAGAGAGATTCCAAGCTAAAAAAGGAGGGTTTTTTTTTATGATAGTTTTGCCTAGAAACTGAAAAAGCCGACCAAATGGTTTGGCTAATGAAGTGTCCAGTGTCCACCAAGAGTCGTCAAGGCATGGCGCTACCTTTCTTCAGATTTTGTTCCCATGGCTAAGTATACTGACTCAGTCAATCTCCTCCGTTCCGATTTGTCTCCTGAGGTAATTCAACGCATCCTCCACTCTTTCTTATCTTTTCTTTTATGTCAGGTCAGACTAAATTTAGGAATCGCACGGAATCAGATTTGGATTTTGAACAATTCGTCGATGTAAAACCTAATTTTTTCATGGATTTACATCGTTTGATTGTAGTCTCTTCAGCTTCTGAAATGTCATAGCTTGCATCGTTTGTTAGTCTAATATTGATGTGTTCGGTTTATTGGTTTTTGGTGGTCTGTTTTAGTTGACTATGGAGATCCTTGGTGCTGAGTTATGGAACGTTTCTAAGCTCTATTTTGTGAACAAATCCAAAGACTTTCGTGGTCCAATGAGTATCTTCTCTGAAGCAAATCAAGGTGTGGTCTTTGGCTTTGGTTTATGTGTTTATAGTTTCATAGACATGAATTATCATCACTTGATGACATATCTTTCATAAATTGGTATTAGGTGAAGTTGCTGTGGAAGGAACATTAACAGATAAACTCGAGATGAGACCACACTGTGGCATTGAAGAATACGGAAAGCTTTGTCAAGAGAGGAACAGAAAATATGTGGCTGAAGCTAGACGCCTAGACACACACAGGTTGGTAAAATTTCACGTTTCCCTTTTTGGAAAACCATAGTCTTTCTTTTTACCATTATAAGAAGCTAATTAGATCAAACTTCTTTTCTTTGAAATTACCTGAAAAGGCTCTTGAGAATTGCTGTGGATTACACTTGATCTCCAATCCTGTAATGGTAATGTTTTGCTTCTCTGTCTCTTAGATTTCCAGATAATCGGTTCTGTTATGTGAATGGTTTACTCTTATTACACTGTTCCTCCATGAAACAGGTAAAGAAGAAGACTGCTTCAGTGAAGCTTAAATGGAGGAGTAGAAGCAGTCGTGGTAAGGTGGAAGTGAAGATACTGACAACCGAAACGGACATGGAAGCAGCTTCTTCAAGAAACCAACCAACCAGAGGTATGTTCTCTCTTCTTAAGACTCATATCCAGAACACTTCAACGTTTTGATTGAAACTCTTTTTTTTTTCCAGGGATTCTTGAAAGGAATACTGCGAGAGCTTTGTGTGGACAATGTCTACCAGGGATATTTGGTTTGATTTCTATCAGTTGGTCCCTACTCCCTACTGAGCGTGTATTTGACTATGGCTGTGTTCTTATTGATCATAATTAGTCTTTTACATAGCACTACATTCCAGAAACTGGAAATCCAAGAACCGCTCATGGATGAAACTGATACAAAGGTTAGCATATGTTTTTGATTGAGTTTCTCATTCACGAGATTGTTTTTCCTTTTACTTGATTTCGTGTATATAAGTCAGATTGACAAGACAAATTGTTCTCTCTTTGATTCCACATGACATCCAACCGCAACTTATCAGTGCGCTTATCTATCCTCTTCTGCACTATAGTCTCTTCTGCATTTTTGTAGGCTACCTCATCCTACATGTATTGAAAAGGGCCATTCGACGGGACACTTGCTAAAGCTGATTTCAGCAACACGTCTGCTATCTTATCCTACAGGTATTGAATAGGGACATTCTACGTCTCCGTCTTCTAAGGCGCTATGATTAAAAGTATATGAAAATGCGAGAGGCTAAGGGCTCAATTTTTGAATGAACTTGATATTCAAACTCTCTTATTACTACTTGCTTAGCTATGAGAAAAGTATGTACTCTTGCAGTCTTATGCGCAAGAGGCAGCACAAACTAAAAAAGAAGAAAATGGGTGACCGAACCCACTGTTGTGATGCTTTTTTTTTTTTGACAAGATGATGCTGCTATGTTTAGGTTTTACTGAATATGAGTTTTGTTTACTCTCGACTATTGAAAACAAGTAAAGAGCATTGACACAAGCACTCTATGGCAAAAGTTTGTGTCTGGTGGATGATGTTTTGAGTGATTGTTACTGTTTTTTTTTTGGTTCAGTACATTGTGAGAGGAGGAAGGGATTTATTCAAGCATCTTCCTGATGCTTTCAAGGGGATCAAGCAGATTGGTGTGATTAGATGGGGATAACAGGTACTTTTTTGTTTGGGTCCCTTTTCTTTTTTTTTGTGCTTTCCCCAATTGCTTAAACTCCAGTTTTAGCTGATTGTTAAAGTTAATACATGTTATCAATGTGCTTCGTTTTTGGTGCTTACGCTATGTAGATGGAATTGCTTATGAACAAAAAAAAAGTTTTATGCTTGGAATGAAAAAGATGAAAGGCATGCTCTTTTCTTTTCTGCATGTCTTGTGCTAAATTTGATATCTATGTGCAAGTCCCTGCTCAAGCTTAGAATTTAAGAGATTCACTTGTGGTGGCAAAGTATGACATTGTTGTTAAGGTAGTCTCTACTGATTCATACTTTTATTTATTAGCTTCATCTTTGCTTTCTGATGTTACTTTAAGGCCATGTCCTAACTTGGTTTCTTTTGTTTCTTTTTCCTATGAAAATGTAGACTAGGGCTTTTACAGTCCATGGACTCGATTTCCCAAAGAACATCAGAGTTGTAGCTGTTTTCCCTAAGGCTCAAATGGATGAGGATATGTGATGTGTTCACAATTCAAAGTAGCATACATGAAATTAATTACGAGCGTTGTTTGTAAAAAAATAACTCATGAGTTTCAATGTCAAATAAAGGTGCACTCATTTATTAGTGTTATTAATGATATTAGAAAAGTAAAATTATGATAAAATGTAACATTTTTCAACAACAAAAAGTAATGATTTATATAACACAGAATAATAAATAAACAAAAAGAAAAAAAAATTAGACAACTTTTAATTTCTATTTGCAAACAAAAACTAAAATCTATAATCAACATTTTTAACTATATATATTTAACTTTTAACTTTTATGTATACATTATTAACTCAATACTCCCTTGCATATTTTCATTTTGTTAAATACCCCATTTATTTAAGATGTGTATAACTCAGAATTATAGCTTAAATATGATAAATGTTATGATAATGTAACAAAATGACAGAAAAATATGGTCATTTGTCCTATCTTTAATAGTTCATTAATTGTACGGAGACTTTTTAGGTTTCCATGTTTACAAATTTATATTTACGTTTATCAATGAACAAGTTAAAATTATTCTTTTCCTCTAAAGAATAAATAAATTAAAAATTGTTTCAAGGAAAAGAAAAAGAATACGTATGAACATATACAAATACTTCATTATATGAAGTTTATTTAAAATTCAGTAATGACTATTTAATTATATGAAGTTAATAAGCAAAAGATAATATAAACTATTTGTCGCCCAAAAACAATTAAATTAGTCTGATTCCCAACAAATATTTTAAATTACTTGAAAATATAGTATTTTTTTTCAGTTCTTCTGCTTCACTTAAATTCTATCATTTAATACTCTTCCTAAATTATTCAAAATTTAAATAAATCAACTATTATAGGTAAAAGATTAACTTATCATTAACTATATGATTTTATAGAGATAAAATTGTCCTTAAAACCATAAAAAAAAACAAATATTATAATTATACTTTTATGAAAATTTGCTAGCAAACAAATTTATAATCAATAAACCTGGGCGTAGCCCGGAATATTCCTTAGTAGATACATCTGAGAATGTTTAGTATATATATTTTAGTGGGAAATATCTCGCAGATTTTGATTGAATTAGTTTTTTTATGAACAATTTTTGACGTATTAATTTTCCACTATTTAACGAATTAATTAAAAATATGATAAATATATCATTGCACCATCACAAAATGATTAACCCTTCAATTTATTCTCAATTCTGTTTTGACTAGGTAAGGTTTTTTCTTGCTTAGATTGACTTGGAAAAGTTAGATATTTGATAGACATCAATGATATTATTAGACTAAAGTAAAGACTAACTATTTGAAACAAAAACGGAATAAAATAATACGGATTGTGGAAGAAAATTTTCGTAACAGTTTCTTAAATTTGTTTTTTATAATTTATTGTCCTAATAAGATGCATTTTATCAAATTTAAATTCAAATAGTAACAATGCAATGTTACTAAACAAACAATTATGCTATTTTTTTTTTTGGGGCCTACGTGTCATATCTTATACTCGTAGATTTGGAATGATATAAATCACAAATCAAACAAAAACAGATAATGGCGAAAACTTGATACATTTGATTCCATAATAGAATTGGAAATAATGTTGGCTGTGACAGGTCAGAGATATTGTAGACTTGAATACTATAACAAGAGGATTAAAAAAAGCCAATTTGGTAACGGAGACTTGCCAACAGAAAGCATATAATCGTTTAATAGATAAGGACAAAAGCTATTTCTTTACATTAACACATGTACACACTCATTATCGCATCATATCTATTCTTATTTCCCCACATTACAATTTATGATCTCTGAAACAGAATACCAAAATTAAAGTTTTTGTTTTGTGGGAAAAAAGAAGATAAGGTTTTTATTTTCATTTCCCTTGGCTTTCACGAAGTCTGTCTCTTTCTCTGGCCGCAAAATATCAAAGAGTGCGAAAAGTCGCTTTTTTTTCTTCCATCTTTTAATTTTTTTTCTTTCTGAAATTTATAAAGGAAACACCGAGGAGAAGAGCAGACGTCTCTGTGTCAATTTCTGTTGTTGTTCTCTCCATCGGATTATCTGTTTCAAAGAGCGAAACTTTGGATTCTCTTCCTGTTCGTCCTTTTGTAACTGTCTCTTCATCGAGAGAAGGGATTAGGGATTTAGGAAAGGAGATGTATTATCAGATGACCAAGTCTTCTTACATGGACTCTTTGAAAATTCTTGAGGCTGACATAGAGCACGCCAATGGACTGTGAGTCTTTTTTGTTTCTTTCTTTGCTTTACTCATCGGATTCTATCTGGGTTTCATTTCTGATTTTCTGGGTTATTAATTAACATGATCGTCGTGATAGTTTTGATTGAGGGATTAAGGAATTGAATTAGCCCAAAACCAACTTAGGGGGTTTTGCCTCTTCAGTTTTCTGCAGCAATTTGATGCATAGTCATACATAAATGTTACTAAAGTTTCAATCTTTTTGGTATATTTTGTGTGTTGTCTCGTTGCAAATGATGTTTGATGAAATGGGTCATGTGATTAGTAAACTGATTGTTTAGTGTTAAAAATTTGATGCATAAGTCATTACAGAAATGGTGCAAAAGTTTCAATCTTTTGGTATCTGTGTGGTGTGGTCTCGATGCAAATGTTGTTTTAAAGAAATGGGTTATGTGATTAGTAAACTGATTATTTACTCACAAAAATTTGATGCATAAGTCATTGCAAAAATTTCAATCTTTTGGTATCTGTGGTGTGTGGTCTCGATGCAAATGTTGTTTGAAGAAATGGGTTATGTGATTAGTAAACTGATTATATTTAGTCACAAAAATTTGATTTTCAGGGCTGCTGAGATTCCCATGGGGAAGAGCGGTGTGCGTCTTCAGATGAAACTGGTGTGCAGTAACTTGGCTCCTTTCTTCATATTCCTGCTCCAATGGATGGATCTCTCATGTCTTCTTCCAAGATACTTTGATTTCTTCCACATCCTCATTTACAAGGTTGTTACCATATATACACTCATATGTCACTCTCTGTGTGTGAATTGGTAGATTCCCTGATTGTGTTGCTCTCCTCTCCTCTCCTGGCTTGTTTGTTTTATAGGTGTCTTCTTTGTCTTGTACAGGTACGTGCTGATGGACGGTGGAATCTATCCAGGTACGGAAGGAAAGCTACAATCAGAGAGTTTTACGGTAAGTTGTCTCTGCCTTTCTCTTAATCAAAAGCTACAATCAGAGTGTTTCTTAATCTTATCGGTTTGTGGCTTGGCTAAGCGCAGGTGTTATCTTACCGTCACTTGAGAGACTTCATATCAACTTCGCTGACTTTCCCGGCGGCTGCGACAGTTTATGGTATCCGAAACCAAAAGCCATCACCAAGAACAAGAAGAAGACTTACGACATTGAAGGCAACAGAGTCACGAGCAGCGTAGACTTGGAGAGAGAAGACGAGTGTGGGATTTGCTTAGAGCCTTGCACCAAAATGGTGCTGCCTAACTGTTGCCATGCAATGTGCATCAAGTGTTACCGTAACTGGAACACAAAGTCCGAGTCTTGCCCGTTCTGTCGAGGAAGCATCAAGAGAGTGAACTCGGAGGATCTTTGGGTGCTGACTTGCGATGGAGATGTTGTGGATACAGAGACGGTGACCAAAGAAGATCTTCTCCGGTTCTATTTGCACATCAATAGCCTCCCAAAGGATTATCCTGAAGCCGTCTTCTTAGTCTACAACGAGTACTTGATTTGATTATTGATATTGTTCGAAACACACATCACGGGTTGTACAGAAGGAGAAGAAAGATCCCAGACCTTTAACAAAGTGTACATAAAGAATCTGGTGGTCTGGTCCATCATATTGCTCCTTCGTTTTAGATAATGATAATAATTAAGAAGATTTGTCATAATGTGTACCCTTGTTATGAATGATAATGAAAAAGATGATTCCGGTTACTATCTTGTCTCTTCATGGCTGATTTATTGTACTAATCTTTCTTATAATATGAAGCTAAAAGTGCAGTAGAATAAATTCTAAAGATGAAAAAGCTAAAATAAAGCAATGTCATTAACTTAATTAATCATAGTTTATTCATAAAGATATAAAAGCAATCGTGCTTATCGCTGTATATGAAAAGACTTAACTGATAAATCGTGAAGTCTCCGGCAGAAGCAGAGAGCAGCTTTTTTGTTTTAACAGTCGGTGGTGAAAGAAACAAGCTTCAACTATGGTGGTGACGCATCATTTCGCTCTGCTTCTTCTTGTCGTCGTCGTGATCGGGATCTTCTCCTCCTCTTCTCAGGTAAGTTCCGTTTCCTCTCTTCTCCAAAACCCTAAGTTTATATATCATTTGGGTATCTAAATCGGAAGACGATCCGTTTCTTATTTCTCCGGTGGCGTCTCTGGCAGGTTAACGCAACAAGTGACATCAATGTCAGGATCGAATCATTCTCTTCGACGTTCGTTACGGAACTTGCAACGCTGCAAACGCAAATTGGGTACAGTAACACTCTTCTTCTCCGTTGGATGCTTTTTCTGCTCTTTTTGTTGCTGATTCGTTCCTAAATTTGGATTCTGCTGATAAAATTTGGAAACTTGAGGAAGAATCCAGCATTTGACCATTTATATAGACTGTTATGATCAAGTTGAGTCACTGAGCTCAAGATGATTTGGTTTGAATCCTAATCAAGTGTCATCTCTAAATATTTAGTGCTAAAGTTGTCTCCTTTCTTTGATTTGGGTGTTAAAGTTGTCTCCTTTCTTTGATTTGGGTGCTAAAGTTGTCTCCTTTTTTTTTTTATTTGGGTGTAGCTACAAGTTTACAAACATCAACCTTCTTCGCCGTGCAATGACTCATGCTTCCTTCTCTCAAGAGAACAACAAAGCGCTGAGCATCTTTGGAACCCATATCATTGAAACCTCCGTCTCTCTCCAGTTACTTGCTAAAGATGTTGATGTCTCCTCCAAAGCTCTCACCCGTTTGATAGCTGAGGTTTCGAATGTGAATTCCTCATGTGCTCTTGACGGAAACCGGTTGGGTTTGGAGAGGATCATCAGGGTTTCTCCCAAGACAGAGGCATCAAACTCGGCCATCGTTTGTGTTGCCTTTAGGGCAATCTTTGGAGCTATTGCTACTGATACTGGAATGGTTGATGGCGCCGTTAAGGTTTTCGTAAAGGTACATGGAGATCGCTTTGGAAGACTTGTGTCTATGTTGTAGATTAGAGCTTTAAGTATGTGCGAAGTTCTAAGATAATCTTGTTTTAAGGGTTAGATTAATATGGTAATCTTTTGTCTTCTCCTTTGCTGTGTGATCACCAAAACAAAATATTGGTTGATGTTTAACAATTGAAAAGGCCCTACTGCAATGAAATGTTTCAATCATAGATTAATTAAACAAAAACAAGAAAAACAAATTTAGGTGTTAAGAGTTTAAGAAATTTTTGCCCCGTTTAGAAAATAATTTGGAGTTTTCTCGTTAGAAATTGTGCAAGTGTTTTAAAGTGTGTGATAGGTGTGCAGGCTTGTGGATCAACAGTTGTAAAAGATCTTATGAAATCAAAATGTGTAAATCATACAACATTGACACTTTGTAACTCGAAAGTGTCACATGTGCTGCATTAAGCAAGTCATAGGATATTGGGAATCCTCCCATCATCAATTTCATTATTATACTTTATATGTATAAACATTATTATTTGATACTGTATAAAGTGATACTAATATAGGCTAATTTACTACTCCTTTTCTGAAAGTTTTATGATAATTTATCTTGTATATATAAATATTTGTTAAGATAAAATATAGGATTATATGTATTTTTGTAATAAAATTAAGAACTTGTGAACATATGCTAATTTTGTCTCATGTACATTGACTACTTTTGTGATTCTTCTTCTTCAATTGCATACAGTAGTAGTATATAAAAGTCACGTGCAGTGAAGCAAACGATTCTGATTGGATGAAACACATCATCTTTTCATCGACTTCAATGACACGACATAATTATACAAACACATAAACATCCCCAAAACACAAAAACAAAAACAAAAACGCACCGCGTCGGTCGTGCTTGCTGCAACGCTTCTCTTACCTTCTTCTTCTTCCCTCGCTCATTTATTATTTTTATTTATTACTCCGACTCACGACGGATCTCCGACTCAAAGCCGTTTCACAGAGTTTCTTCCTCCAGTTTTTTTGTTCTCTCGCCCTTCCGTGTTTTGATTACAAACCTATTGCTGATTTTCCCCTTATCATCCTTCTCGGGTTTCCGAATTCGTGGTTAGATCTGTTTGGAAAGTGGGATAAAGGATCGAAATGCACGAGAATGATGATCCTCCGCAGGATTCGGTTGATTCCGTAGCTGCTGATGGATTGGAGAATGAGGATGATGAGTCTAATGGGCAAGAGCTTGATCCTGACCAGGTGAGATTTCTAATTCACCATGCGTTGCGTTCTTCTCCGAATCGTTTATATATATAAAAAAAAAAGTCTCTAGTGGTTTGTTCCTATGCTGAAATTTGGGTAAGTAAATTGCAGGGAACAGCTTTCGTTGATAGTAAGGAAGATATGTTCGTTGATGCTCCCGAGGAGTTGAATTTCGATACACCCAACAAGGAAGCTCTGACGACAGATGACGATGAGAACGGAGAGCTTGTAGGTCAATTCAATGTACGAAAATACTCACTAACCTGAGTTGAATTACTGAATGATTTTTTGTTTTGTTTTCATTGTACAAACAGGACGAGAAGGAGGTTAGGGAGAAGGAACTTGCAGGGCTAAAGGAGCAGTTTAAGCTGCTGACTGGTGAGAATGATTTGAAAGATGAAGACGAGAACACTGTTGAAATCGTCAACCGGTTCTCAAAGTTTCTAGAAACCGCAGAGGAAGAGAAAATTCAGCATGAGGATGCACTCAGGGAGCTTCGTGGGATTATCAGTGGGAAGGACGAAGAGATTGCACATCTCACCACAAAGGTTTCAGAGCTCTCTTCGTCGTCACATTCGGCACAGGACGAGGGGGAACTCGAGGCAGCAACAGATAGGATTTTGGTTTCTCTTAGTAGTGTGTTTGGGCAGGAGGAGCTGCAGTATGGTGGTGCTTCTGTCCCTGAAAAGCTTGCTCACCTTGAGAGCAGAGTTTCGTTTTTAGGTGCAAAGTATAGCGAGTTTTACTATGGTGCTGATCAGTTAAGGCAGTGTTTGTCTAGTGATGCGGTGGATGTTAGTTTCCAAGAGGATTTTGGTTCAGCTCTCGGTGCTGCTTGTACTGCGTTGCTTGAGCTCAAGCAGAAGGAAGCAGCCGTTTTTGAAAGGCTTAGCCATCTAGAAGAGGAGAATAGGAAACTGGTTGAACAAGTAGACAAGGATAGAGAAGTGATTGAGTCAGTGAGAGCAGAGTTTGGGAAAACGAAAGCAGAGCTTGAGCAAGAGAGGACGAGGTGTAGTAACACGAAAGAAAAGCTCAGCATGGCTGTAACAAAGGGGAAGGCTTTAGTTCAGAACCGGGATGCTCTGAAGCATCAAATAGCTGAGAAAGCAACGGAGCTTGAGAATAGGTTGAATGAATTGCAAGAGACGAAGATTGCCCTTGAGGCTTCTGAATCAGCCAAGGGGCAGCTGGAACAGTCGTTAGCTGAAAAGACAGATGAGCTTGAGAAATGCTATACCGAATTGAATGACAAGTCTGTATCCTTGGAAGCATATGAGGTAACGAAGAAGGAGTTGGAACAGTCTCTGGCTGAAAAATCAACGGAGCTTGAAGAGTGTTTGATGAAACTACAAGTGATGTCAACAGCATTGGATGAATCTGAAGTCATGAAAGGTGAGTTGGTAAAATCTGATGCTACGGTTGCATCATACCAGGAAATGGTCTCGGAAAGGAGCTCTATCATTGAAAATATTGAAACCATCCTGTCACACAAGACACCTGAAGAAGGTCAGTCTTTCGATATCATTCAAAAGGTTAGGTCTCTTGCTGAAGAGAGGGAAGAGCTCAAAAATGTTTCCCAGGAATACAACAGGCTAAAAGATTTGACCTTTTCCATTGACGTACCAGAGGAAATTTCCGAATCCAGCTTAGAAACTCGTTTAACTTGGCTTAGGGAATCTTTTTTCCAAGCAAAGGATGAAGTTAGTGCTCTGCAAAACCAGATCGAAAGCTTAAGCATGTCTCTTTCAGCAGAAGTGGAGGAGAAAAATAATACTAAAAAGGAACTTGATGATTTAAGTCTCAGTTTGAAAAAAATGGAGGAAACTGTAGAGCGAGCTTCTTTGGAGAGAGAAGAACTTGTGAAGAGACTTTTGGAAACATCTGGCTTGATGTCAGAAGGAGTCGAACATGATTCTCCTCCATCTATCAGTTTGCTTGTTGATAGATCTTTCGACAAGATAGAAAAGCAAATCAGGAACTCTAGTGACGGTTCTTATGGCAACGAAGAATTAATTGAAAGATTTCAAAGTCTTCTTTATGCGAGAGATCAAGAGTTGTCACTTTGTAAGGAAATGCTAGGAGAGGAAATGGTGGTTAATTTGCAGGTATCCAATCTCTCAAATGAGCTAAAAACCGCATGTCAAGATCTTGCTTCCGTGAAAGCAGAAAAAATTGCTTTGGAGACAGATCTCGAGCGATCAGAGGAGAAATCTGCTTTGCTCAGAGACAAACTTTCTATGGCTATCAAGAAAGGCAAGGGACTAGTCCAAGATAGGGAAAAGTTAAAAACGCAGCTGGATGACAAAAACTCTGAAATCGAAAAGCTGATGCTTGAGTTGCAGCAGTTAGGTGGTACGGTTGATAGCTACAAGAATCAGATTGATATGTTATCTGGAGACTTAGAGCGCACAAAAGAGCTAGAGACTGAGGTGGCTGCCATTAAAGACGAAAGAGATCAGCTCAATCAATCCTTATCACTGAAGGACACCTTGTTGCAAAAAGTGATGAAATCAGTTGAAACTATGAGTATCCCTGTTGATTTAGCAACTGAGGATTCTTCAGAAAAGATTGACCGACTTGTTGGTTACTTCAATGAAGTGCAGCAGGCTAGAGTAGAAGAACAAGAAGAACTGGAAAAGGTAAAGGAAGAAGCCAGTACATTAGCCAGTAAATTAGCAGAAACCCACACAGCCTTGAAGTTGGTTGAGGATGCCTTGTCTACTGCAAAGGGTAACATCGATCAACTTGCTGAAGAGAATAGGCAAGTCCAAGCTTCCAAGGAAAATGTTGAACTTGAGCTGCAAAAAGCAGTTGGTGAGGCCTCCTCTCTAGCTAGCGAACTGGATGAAGCTTTTGCAACCAAGAATACTCTTGAAGCTGCACTCATGCAGGCTGAAAGAAATATATCTGATATCATTAGTGAAAAGGAAGAGGCTCAAAGCAAAACTGCTACTGCAGAGATGGAGCTAGGGATGGTGCAAGAAGAAGTTTCAAATCAGAATAACAAATTAACAGAAGCACAAAGCACAATCGAATCACTTGAAAACACACTTGCGCAGACGGAAAGCAACATGGTTTCGCTCTCCAAACAAATTGAAGATGACAAAGTTGTGACTGAGAATTTGAAGAGTGAGTTAGAGAAGCTTAAAAATGAGGCAGAGTTTGAGCGTAGCAAGATGGCTGAGGCTTCATTGACAATAGGATCCCTTGAGGAGGCATTACTGAAGGCAGAGAATAGTCTTTCTGCCTTACAAGGAGATATGGTGAAAGCTGAAGTTGAGATATCAACTCTCAATAGTAAGCTTAATGTATGCATGGAAGAGTTATCTGGATCAAGTGGAAACTCAGAGAGCAAATCTTTGGAGATTATTGCTCATCTTGATAATCTTCAGATGCTACTGAAGGATGGAGGGCTGATTTCCAGGGTGAATGAATTCCTTGAGGGGAAATTCAGGAGCCTTAAAGACATGGAAGCCATTGCTAGAGATATCATAAGAAATTCTGGTGAGAAGGGAGGGGAAATGGACAACGCTGAGGTAAACAGTATTCTGGAACCTGACCAGATCAATCTTTCTTCTGGTTGTTGACTTTTTTTCATATCAGTTTACGTTTCCCTTCATGATTACTGTTTGCATATTTGTTGGTTTAAACATTCACACATCAAGTTAAGTTAGAATCTGTTCTGTGTAGAAGTTGATTAACCGGAGTTAATAATCTTTGATGAAATATTATTGTATGAAACATTTTTTCAATACTACTTAGATTAATCGAGCTTGTGCTAAAATTTTATAAGGCTGTTCTCTTGATAACGCTGTTTATGTTTGCAGGATGATTCCTCTGTGGCAAAATCCTTGTTGAATGGTCTTGATGATTCAGTGAATACAGAGATGGAAAGTAGTCAAGGAAATGCAGCTGATGAAGACGAAATTTCTTCATCTCTGAGGAAGATTGCAGAAGGGGTCAAGCTGAGAAACAAAATACTAGAGAAAAACTTGGAGGGTTTCTCAACTTCAATTGATACACTCATTGCGGCACTGATGGAAAACCTAACAGCAGCCAGGGAGGATGTAATAAATGTCAAGGGTTATAATGAGTCCCTGAAAGATAAGGTAAAGAGTGCGGAAGATATTGTTCGGGAACAGGAAAACACCATCTCTGCACTACAAAAAGATTTGTCATCTTTAATGTCTGTATGTGGCGAGGCTGCCAGAGAGCTGCAGTTGGAAGTGAAAAATGACCTCCTAGAGTTGGTTCAGTTCCAAGAAACTGAGAACGGTGGTGAAACTGAATCAACTGAACAACCACAAGAGCTTCATGTAAGTGAATGCGCCCAGAAAGTAAAAGAATTATCTTCTGCTACAGAGAAGGCATGTGCTACTCTAAAGCTCTTTGAGACAACAAGTAATGCAGCTGCTGTTATAATCCGAGATATGGAGAACAGGCTAAAAGAAGCATCTGCCGCTCTAGAAACGGTTGTATTAGAAAGAGATCAAAACCAGGCTAAGGTTTCAAGTTCCGAGGCCAGGGTGGAATCTACGGAAGCGTTTTGCCAAGAACTGAAACTTCAGCTGGAAAATCTCAAAGCCGAAGAAGAGAAATGGCATGAAAGAGAGGTGGAACTTTCTACATTATGTGATAAACTGTTGGTGCAAGAGCAAGGTAATTTTTCCCTTTTAATTCGTCTCTCAGTTCTTAAAATCTTCTTAACATGTTTACCACTTTACTAAAATGTCACATGCTGTTTCTTCGAATTGCAGAAGCAAAGGAAAACTTAATTCCAGCTTCTGATATGCGTGTCCTTTTTGACAAGATAAATGGTATTGAGGTGCCTTCAGTAGATCAGGTCAATGAATTGGATCCACAGAGTCCATATGAAGTAAAGAAGCTATTCGCGATTGTTGATAGTGTTACTGAGATGCAGCATCAGATAGACCTCTTATCATATGGACAAGAAGAGCTCAATTCCACCTTGGCAGAAAAGGATCTTGAAATTCAAGGTTTGAAGGAGGCGGCTGGAGCAGATAGTACAACCGAGCTAGAGTTAGTGAAGGCAAATAACGAATTGTCCAAGGTAATATCTGGCTTGGAGAAACTGCTGGGTATATTGGTGGGCAATGATCATGTTGTAGAGCAAGGCGTCTCCGAGTCATGGACGCTCTTACAAGCACTAGAGAGAAAAATAACTTCCCTTCTCCTAGAGTCAGAGAGTTCAAAATCAAGGGCCCAAGAACTTGCTCTGAAGTTAGTCGGCAGCGAAAAACTTGTGGATAAATTGTCGTTAAAAATAAAAGAATTTGAGGATAAACTTCAAAGCAAAGCCATTCAGCCTGATGTCGTTCTTGAGAGGAGCATCTTCGAAGCACCTTCGACCTCAGAGATATCCGAGATTGAGGACAAGGTAAAATTTTAGCTTATGCTATTTCAGCTTATTATTGACTCTTTGTCCTGGTAATTTTTAGCCCTATCTGCGGGTAAGTGATGACCTGAAAACTATTTTGATTATTTTTAAAAGAAATGAGTTAGCTTCGATCTTCAAATTTGGACTGAAAACGTTTTGTTCTCAGGGAAAAAAATCAATATCACCTGTGCCTACAGCAGCACAAGTGAGAACGGCGAGGAAAGGATCGACGGATCATCTTTCAATCAACATAGATTCAGAGTCCGAGCATCTGATGAACCACAACGAAACAGATGAAGATAAAGGTCAGGACTCAAGCGTCTACATATCTATTCTCAGTTATTGCTAATAGTATGACATGAGCTTCTCAGGTTACATATCTATTAATTCTATGGCAGGACATGTTTTCAAGTCTCTCAACATGTCTGGTCTGATTCCAACGCAAGGAAAGGTGATAGCAGATCGAGTGGACGGAATATGGTAAACACTCGCTAATATGATCTGAAAGGTTGTCCCAAATTGGTTTATCTTATAGAGCTTTGTGTATGATTTCTGCAATGCAGGGTCTCGGGTGGAAGAGTACTAATGAGCCGTCCTCAAGCAAGGCTTGGCGTTATGGTATATAGTCTCTTATTGCATCTGTGGCTTCTAGCTTCCATCTTGTAACAAGACAGGTGATTGATTTCTCTTAGGCGCCTCTCACATGAAACTACACAAGAAAAACACACACACAAATTGCCCTCTCTCTCCCTCTCTTTTCTATATTCTTCCCATTTTTTGTCGACCCGTAAGCAGAGAATGATAGGTGTTGCCTTGTATATATATCTTGAATAAGTTCTCAATTATGCGCGAGCTTTTCATATAGTTCTGAAGTTTTATAGTCCTAGAATGTTGTTTATTTAGGACTCAGTACGTTATTAAGGATTTACAGGTGGCTGTTTGTCTTGAACATTTGTTCCAGGACTTGAGAAAAGTTTTGCGTCTGCAACGACTTAAGTTTTGAATGACTGTAAAAAGCTCTCTAATACTATTTGATTATACAATAGGCTCTGATAGTGGTGTGTTACAAATTTAAAAGATTTACACCCGTGCCTTTATGTATATTATACTAATATAAATTTATGAACAAATATACTTTAATGTATCTAACAATGAGTAATTACATCTGTGTTCGTTGTTTGTTTTAGCAATGATGTAATCTTTAGAAACAACCGAGAAGCAAAAGCTGCTGATGGTGGATCACAAAGAGAGGAATGGGATAACTGAAGACATCATGTGTTTGTGTATAAATCTAAAGTGGTTTACGTTTAGCTCTGAGCAAAAACTAGAGATAGAGCAATAGATCTATTTTCATAAAGGGCAATAGATTTATTTTCATAAAGTCAATCAGTTTCTCTCTCAAGCTTAAGGAAATTATAAATCGATCAATTCCGCTTAAAGACTAAGATATTTTAAGAGACTTGCCAACTTGAAGTCCAAATCAATCATTCACATAGACAAGAATCCATAATGAGTGTCGCTAATTCGGATCGGTTAAGAGCTAAGATAGCTGAACAATTGTAGATATTTTCGATTTATGTTGATCACCAAAAAACTTGAGATCATGTATCTTAGCGTACCAACATACAAACAACATCATATAACAGATTGCAAAAAAAATAACAAATATAAAATTAGAATTTACAGAAACACCAAAACCAACAAATTTTCAAAGGTTGCGAAAACATCAAATATGGTTGAGATTACTTGTGATTGGATTTTCTTTGACATTCTCTTTCTCTATTTTCTTTTCCACACATCCAAATAGGTTTGATCTGATTCGACAAAGGTTTTGGTTTGACAAGTTGCTATAACATTACATCATTGCTAAAAAAACAACATATTTTATACATTTCACGAAAGAACCAACACCGTTGTTGGCGCCGATCACAGTGGTTGGAAAAGGCGACAGTGGTTACATTTTTGTAATTCGTCAGCTAAGGAGATTGCAGTTCCGAGTTCTAGTGATGACGCCTCCTGAGAAAAATCCACCGATCAGAATATGACGGACTACGAGGAGTGGTGTATGTTCAAGTCTCTCGTGGAAGGAGACCCAAAATGGATCAGAGGACTCAAGTTTGTGTAGTTATAGTTAAGTGGTCGTGATGTACTTGTCTTTGGATTTATATTTGTGGATTGACTATCATTCAACAGATTTTGCTCGTGTTTTTATCTTTTTGATGAGATGGATTGAGTTAAAAAAACAAAAAACAAAAAAACATAACACAATGATTACATGCCTATTAGTTTTATCCTTATATATGTTTACTTCCTTGAGGCATGATCATATGTTCAAAAATCGAAGTGGTGTTACCACACAAGTCTGCACTAGTTGTTGGGGATGATTTTTACCCCATCGACTCGACGGCCAGGGCGCGCAAATCACCAACGATGAGCCAACTGACCGCGACGAACTAAACCATCGCGACGCGGGAAAGTTCTACAAGTTGAATACAAGCGACGAGCCAAGTCAAAGCGCTTAAAACGACGACGCACCCCAAATGTGAAGCAATTCATGGGCGGACCAACATCGCCTTGGGCCGAACCAACATCAACGACTCGAGTTGAGGCCCACGACGCATTTGTGGTTTCGCCCTAAAATGCCAAGTTAACAGAGCCGCAAGGGATAACAACAAATCTAGGAAAATATCTCGCGAGATCCTCATAGAGAGTTGGTGAACAAACTTGTATAAATAGATGTTAAGGCTCATTGTTCGGCCATGACTTTTTCATTGCACAACACTTTACACTTTACATCAATAAACATCCATCTTTGGATCTCAATTTGTATTATACTTAGAATTTCTAGTTCCTCTCTTAAATACATCCTTTGAAACCATTGTGCGGATTCCGGTTCACACACTAGGCATGGGCCCTACATTACATTTGTATGTCTCGGAAAACGGGTCAATGCTATAATCCGAGCTAGGAAATCCTTAGGCTCCGAATGGAGAAAGCGGATCAATCATTGCGGATCAAGCAGACCAAGCGGATTGAGCGTAACAAAAACGGAACTAGCGGATTAGGCGTTTCAAGTGCGGATCAAGCGGATTTAACGGTTCAAAAGTATGTTTGAATGAGAAAAGCGGATATAAAACGGTACAAAACACTGTACATATTTATAATAATTATATGAAATATATATTTTTTAATTTTTTATTACTAAAACGTTCCAATTCTTTATATAAAAAAATAAAATTAATATAATTTTATTTAGTGCAAAATTTTATATTTAATATTTTCATTATTATGGCAACATTATATAGTTTTTTATGAGAATTATAATTGCATAAACTATTATGATTTTTAGATATAGATTTAATATTACATATTTAGTATAATATAACAATATTATTTGATATTTTATGTACTATATTTTTTTTTAAGTATAAAAATATTAAAAATGTAATAATATTGTGTGATTTGGATATTTGAAAATAGTATCACAATAATAAAGTTTATGAAAACATAAGAAACAAAACTAATTAATTAATTAATTAATTAAAAATGAAGAAACGCACAAAACAGTAGAAAACACCTACATTTTGGTGAGTTTCTATTATTCACAGCGGATATCAAATTCTCTACATGAAAATGAACCACTAGCAATTCTTTAGTTTTTTATTATTTAAAAAGGGGAACATAGTACAAATTTATTATGATGCATTTACAAATTTATTTAACATTTTATGTCTATTATACAAAGATTAATTTTTATTTTCGAAAGTTTGACTTTTTAATCATAATTTTGTGCAGTCGATTCACATTTCAGGAATTAAAGTGAGCAAGTGATAGTTGAGGAATAAAAATTCTCATTGCAAATAGTTGAGGAATAAAATGAGCTAATTCCCGAACATATATAATACACTTTATTTAAAATTGTTGAATGGAAAATCAACTTGCGATTCGTCCATATGAGTAGTAGAACCGCTCTTTATACACCTTCCATTTAAGACCTTAGAGGATCTCCATCAGTGAAGACAAAGGAATGAGTATCAGAAAATTATTTTATTAGTTTAATATAAATTTATAATTAAATTTTAAATATAAAAAAGTGTCATCCATACATATAGCAACACGTGTACGTGTAGTTTCTGATACGTATGCTATACCAGATACGTCTCAGCTTATTTTGACACACTTTCTCTCTTCCCTTTTCACATTTTTCATTTATTTTTGTTCCTAAGAGACTGGTGTCTCTACACCGATAGAGATGCTCTATCTCCCATGATCACCAAGATGTTTTTTGCTCTCTAAGCATACTCTCGTACATGCTTATCATCGCAAGCACGTCAGCTCGATCCATCTTTCTGATAAGTTCTTTATATATGCGGGGAAATTTACAACCATAGGATTACCGCTTGAAGTAGCACACCTTATATTCTCTTCTAAAATATCAAGGGGGAGAATATTTGTTGGACCAATAAGAGGTTCAAGGGCTCTATGGAATTGTTCACTTGACAGACCCCATTGGGTCCGTGATATTTTCTACAAAATAACGGTGATTAACACGCTTAAGAGAAGCTTCCATCCTGTGTTTAAGAGCCAAATAAGTAGACTCATCATAGACCCATCCGCATTCAGAATCTTATATCACATCGACTTCAATTTTTTTCAATCCAGATGAACCGGGCATTGTGTTTTTGTCGGAGTTTGAGTTAAAAATTGTAGATATTTGTTGACCGATTCGCTGACCTTGAATAAAATAGAAACCCTAGAAAAAAAATAGAAATAAATAACTTTTTTTAGGAAAAAACATTACAAATGAAAAAAGGAAAATTTGCAGCTTCCTAGTTTCTAACTAATGATGTAATGGAAAGAAAGACACTTATGTTAATCACAAGACTAACGCCAAATATTTGTAATTGAAGGCTGAAATATAGGACCGCAAGTTCCTGCTTACTTTGCTTGGTCTCAAAACCGGCTTTGTATCAATACATACAAGATGGGTGAGATGTCTGGTTTTATGGTATCAGATTACGGAAAACCTCCAAATTGATTCTGTTTTTGTCCTCAGAAACAATTACAACTCCTTTTGTCTTACCTGAGATTAGAGAACACCATTTTAACTTATGGAGAGCCAACAAGTAGAAACGGCAAAGAAGCCATATCAGCAAAAAAGCAATGATCATTAATCTAAGGTGTTCATTGGTTCACCCGCTGCGTTTGCGGGTAGTAGCGGTTATTGGCGTTTGACAACAATCACCACAAACGCTTTATACCGCTTCAAACCGCTCAAGATCCCTCAACATCCCTCAAAATCAAAAGCTCCTTCCCAGCAGCGTTTGCGGTTGCGGGTGGATAATTAAAAAAAAAAAAAAAACACAAACTTATATAAAATCCGAAAATAAATAATAATATTTATTAAAAAATAAGATTTGGATAATAAAATCACAATATAAATAAAAAATTAGTACTTTTAGTCAATATTCATTAAAATCATATATACTTATATATTTATAAGTTCTACAAATCAAAATTCTCTTGATAAATATTCTTTTCATACTAATACATATATATCTAATAAATAAAATTGTAATATAAATTTAATTTTCACATTAAATATATATTTTGAAAATAAAATCACATTTTTTATTTAAATTATAGAAATTAAAAGATAGACGTAAGTATTATACACATATTATTCTTTATAAAAAATTATTTTTAATTATGTTGAACCATAAATTTAAAATTTTCATTATAATATAGTTTTGATATTTTTATAATTATATAATGTGTTTATATTATTAATTTATTGTTTAACCGCTATTGCATCCGCAAGTGAACCAGTCATAAGTATCCCGCAAACGCATCCATTTTCAATTGTTATGCCAGTCGTACAAACCGCTTAATAACGCTACTAATCACAACCGCCCGCTTCCGCAAACTCCCGCACCCGCAACCGCAACCGCAGCGGTTAAACCAGTGAGGCCCTAAATCGGTGATGTGAGATTCTTTCAAAAATGCCATTTAGTAGAGAACGTAAGGAGTAATACTTTTATGTAATGTTAAGTTGATTGGTTACATTATATTCACTCTATTTTTTATTATTTGATATTTAAGGTTTTTTTTTTGTTTCATACTCCTTTTGTCTCAATATATAAGCAGTTCTAGAAAAAAAAATTGTTTCACAATATAACTAATTTCCAAATTTCAATGCAACTTTTACTTTATTGAAGGTTGTGTGACCAATTATATGTTGTAGCTTTTTATCATAATTAGTTAAGTTATATTTTAAGTATATATTAAGTGATATTTTATATTTTAAAAATTATTTTCTTGATTTTTGGGTTTTACCTAAAATAGGACATATGGAGTATTATATATGATGTTTATTAACTTTTTAAAGTTAATTTTTTGTTAGTTAATGATAAATGACTACAAATTTCAAGAAAAATTAACTAAAAATATTTGAATATTTAAATACTATCGGGTAATGTTGATTGAAAAATAGTTAGTTTAAAAAATCAATTCATTAATAACTTAACATTAAATGTTTCTTAATTGAGAAGAACAAGTGGGTCAATGGTAGTGCTAGTGCATCACCTCTGCATCCATTTCATATGAAGTTCGACTCCACCTTTCCTCATGTGGGATTTATTTTCTCGTTGGAAGGATTATGGGTATGTGGATTGGCCGGTTGGGGCCCACAAAAATTGACCAATTTTTTTTTTTTTTTTTTTTTTTTTTTTAATTTTAATTTAGGTGAAAAATCTATAATAGTTGGAACAAAGAGAGTAGATAAATTTAATTTGCACCATCTTATATATAACTCACCAAAGCCATTATACTTTTATGATCAAGGAAAGTATATAATATTATGTTTTGTAGTTTAGATATAGTATAAGAGAGAGAAAAATAAAAGAACTATGTTTAATGAAATTCAGAATTTTATGTTTAAAATGTTAATTATCTAACAAAATGATAGTTGTACCACTTAGTAATATTCTGCACCACTACAATTTGATGGTTTCACTTTAATTTGTATCACCATGTATGATCTAATGAAAGTTACGAAACCAAACACTTTTGCCTCTTTAATGCATTTAACTTTAGAGAGGAGAGACAGGGGGCTTCTAGACTCATACGGTCATACTCATACCTATTACCTACTTCCTCATTAATTATTTTCACTGTTCCCAAACTTCGACCTTTGGAATTGACGTATTTAAGCTTTGTCTCTAACCAAAAGAGAGAAATAAATTAACTTGTCTCTAACCAGAAAAGTTTTTTTTTCTTTTCTTTTGAAGTAATTCTTACCTATCTTTAATCAATTGAGGAGACATATACAAAGTCCATTTTTTTCTTTTCCATTTATGATGGCCCAAAAATAGAATCGAATTAAATGGTCGAAAACAAAACCTGAAAATGAAAAGAGATTTGATTAAACTTTGATAAGAGTGGTCAAATTAGCTAATATTAGCTGAGTACTATAATAACGTGTGATTAATGTCTAAAATCTGCCATAGAACCAAATCATTAAATTAACACATGAGGAGAGTTATCATTAATGCAAAGTCCTTTTGAATAAAGAAAAAGTCACAACCTCATCCTAATATATATATCGTAAATATAGTCATTTTGTGTATTTGAATTTTGAGGTACACACTAACATTCTTTTAGTATGATGACATTGACTTGGCCTTTTCTTGCCAGCTGACATTCTTTGTAAACTCAAATCGTTTTGGTGTGTAAAGTAAATTAAGATTGAGCAAAGAAATATAGTAATAAATCTCTCTCTCTCTCAACTCTAATATTCATTCCTACATAAAGAGTTTGTTAGCTCCACGGCCAAACTAATCAGCAATATATCAAATAAAGGAAGAAAGAAAGAAAGAGAAAGAACAACATGCAAAGAACATGCATCTCTGAGAGTCAGCCATGGCATCTCAATGTCGTGTGCTTCATTGGCTTCCTCTCTCTCCTAAGACTATTATTTCCTCTCCTGAAATGGCTCGTCACAAGATTTCTCCTCACAAACCCCAAGCGGCTGAAGCGTTACGGCTCGTGGGCTATGGTCACAGGAGCCACTGATGGGATCGGACGCGCCTTTGCTCACGAGCTGGCCAAACACGGCCTTAACCTCATCCTAGTCAGCAGAAACCCTTCGAAGCTCGCTTCTGTCTCCGATGATTTCCGACAAGAGTTTCCACACATCAAGATCAAGATCATTCCCTTTGACTTCTCCACTGGTAATGCTAAATGCACTTTCTGACTTTTGATCTAGTGCGGGCCGCACTTCACTTCTGGTCAATCCTGTAGAAAATAGTCTAAACATAGTTAGTGTGTGTGTATGTGCATATATAAACACTACATGGTTGCAATTTCGGAAAACTAGTCTTGTTTCATCATCATTCAGGGTAAAAATACAATTATTCAATTCAATATAAGAATTCCAAACATAATATTGATGAAAAAGGTAATCTATATATTATATTATGTGTACGTTAATTACTCACCAAAAAAAATATTATGTGTTTGCAAGAGAGTTAAAAAAAAACACGAATTTGGTATAATACATGCGGTTTAATGAATGCAGTTTATAAGACTTAAACCTTAAAATCAAATTTCTCTTAAAAAGTATTTTTGTTATTTATTTCGAATACTAGTAAAAATATTTTCTTAATGTATAAGTATAAGGATGGTATAGATCATGTTAGGTTCCATCTGTAGAAATTGGATAAATCAATGCGAGAAGTTTTATTAGAATCCAAAGTTAAAAAACAATAAATTCGTAAATCGTTGGTTTTTCTTTTGTTAATGTATAAATTAACAATTAATAATTCATGTGTAATTGAGAATTTTTCTTGTTACCGGTTGACCTATATATGTTTTAGTTTATCCATGTATATTTTTGGATAAATAATTATTTTTCGTGACCAAAAATGAAACATAACACGCTCGAATTTAATCAAAGTTAATCCCAAAATAAGAAACATGTATTTGTGAGTAGTTGATGAATTAAAAAAATAAAATGTGCAGAAGGAGGATATGAAGCAATCGAGGAGGGGATAAAAGATGTTGAAGTTGGGATTCTGATAAACAACGTTGGGATAACTTATCCAAGAGCCATGTTCTTCCACGAGGTTGACCAACTCACACTGACCAAAATCATTAGGGTTAATCTTGAAGCCACCACTTCGGTCACACGATCTCTCATCGGACCAATGCTCCATCGCCGCCGTGGAGCCATCGTCAATATTAGCTCAGGCGCTGCTGTTATTGTCCCTTCTCATCCTCTCTACGCCATCTACGGCGCCACCAAAGCGTAAGGACTCACCACTTTCACTTTTTCTTTTTTTATACATAAACACATTTGCATATTAGTTTTATGATCCGTTCTTCCTACTTTTTGGTAGCTAGTTGTTGATGCTATGGTAATAAATATGAAAATGCTTATCCGTTCTTGTGTGGACCTTGACGATATCCAAACTTGTCTAATTAATTCCATTCACGTAGATGTACCTCTCTCGATTAAGACACGTGCATTAACTTTCTTGATTTATTTGTTAGGTGGTTGCTTTCTAGTAGTTAATGAAGTTTAATCTCACGAGAAAACCTCACTAATCTTATTTGTAAAAATGACCAACGTTCCAACTTTGAAAGCAATATTTTTAAGTGATTTAAAAATCCTGATTTTTATTAAAAAAAGTCATTTTTGCTTTAGTAAAAATGAATTTATGATGTTAATTCTTTTCTAACGAACATGTGCATGCAGTTATGTTGATCAACTATCAAGATCTCTACATGTGGAATATAAGCACTTTGGTATCGACGTCCAGTGCCAGGTACATATAACATATTTTCTTCTTTTTCTTTAAAGACTACAAAAAAAATTCTTATTCCACATGTTATGCGTAAAAACAATCTTTTTATTTAACGTACTTGCATAAAAACTAATGTGGCAGGTTCCTTTATACGTGGCAACAAAGATGGTATCAGAAGTAGCAGCTATAGTTAAACCAAGCTTCTTCGTACCGTCACCGGAAGTCTACGCAAAAGCGGCGGTGGAGCAGATAGGAATTGGGTCACGATGCTCTCCGTTTTGGGCTCATTCCCTTCAATGGTTTCTTGCCGGACTTCTGCCTGAGAACCTCCTTGATCTTTGGCGTCTCTCTGTCGGCCTTCGTAGAAGAAGTTTATCTTAATTAGCTCATCATATATGTCAAGTTATTGCCCTATATACATATAATATTAAAATGAACTCAAAGAAATCTTTTATAAGTCATTACCAGAGTAAAAAGGTTGCGTTTCAAATTAATCATATCTTGCGACTCGCGTACTTGGAGCAGACTTTAGTTGCAACATTGCGATATAAGAGTTTTGTCATGAAAGCAGTCGCAAATTGCGGTGGTGCGTACTTGTGAATAAGAAACTATCATTGCAATGTTGCAACAGATTTGTTCCAAAAAATGGTTTCCTGAATGAAAATTAATATGGATAACTCTCATCAAAAATCAGTTTTCTGAATGAAAATGATATTTTTAAAAATTAGTAATTTATCCCAAAGTCAAACAAATTTGAAGAGAGAAAAAAATGTAAACGTACTTAAAGTAATTTCCAACTTGAGTTTGTAAACGCCTTGACCAAGGAATCCAAGATACCAATGAAGTTTAATTGTATGCCAAATGAAGTTCAAACATCAAATGAGAGAAAGTATAAATAATAGTTATAAGAAAAATTCAATTCATTCAAAACAATGAATCTTGTGTTATGTGTTTTTGTTCTTATTTTTGCTCTTTGTTTTGGATCGAATGAAGCTAAGTGCCATAAAAACACTTTGGTTTTTAAAAACAACCTTTCTCTAAGTCATGGAGTTCTTAAAGTCCATTGCAAATCAAGAGACGACGATCTTGGCGATCACTTTGTCAAATTTAACGATCCTGATTATAATTTCAGTTTTGGTGACGATATCATTTTCACGACGAAGTGGAATTGTAACTTAGCGAAGGGAGCTAATCTGGAATATCATAAAGAGTTTCTAGCATATGAAGGAGATCCAATTTATAGATGCAACTTAATATACGTTTGGGAGGCACGAGATGATGGTATCTACTTGTCAAAAAATGGTGGGCTTCAAAAACTCATGTACAGTTGGATTAAAAATTCATAGTCATTTCATCTTGTGAACTAGCTACCTCTTTTTGCCCTTTTGTTGTTAAAACTTAAAATATACACCAAGAGGATTAATAATAATTATTATAATTTGGTTTAATTTTCGTCTAATATGTTTCGGTTTCTAAATCATATATGTATACATTAGCAATATACATATTCTATTCACCAATGTTCTTTTATCAACTTTGTCGTCCTAAGATCAACCTCTAAATAAGTTCTTAGCTATTTTATACTTTTCTGCACGTCTATAGCCACGTACTTTAACATTCACTTAAATAAATACAATAGAAGTTGTCAAGCTACAATCGATCATCAAATCATAATAGATAAATACTATGGATAGTTAAGTAATTTACTTTGGTGTTTCCTGAATCTATTAGAGCATCTTCATTAATGATACCTTCATATGGGTATCATAACATTTGTTAATTGATAAATTGTTCTTTCCTTTTTGTCTAAGGGATTTGCATTAATTTGTAGGTTTCGATATTTCATCGATGATACGTGATACCCCTATCTTCTTTATTATATTATTAATTGAGAAGTATATTCTAATGTTTGGATACAAGAATAAGAGAAAAAATTATTTGGATAGAAGAATAAATGGAAAAAAATTGTTTGGATACAAAAATAATAACTTAAAACAAACCAATGGTTTAGAAAACTTCCGTTTCCCAACTCTTATAAAATCTGCAAAAAAAAAAAATTAACATAATCTATCGATAATACTAAATCAATAGAATATGATGAAATGATATTTGTAAAATTTCCAATAGTAAAATAGAAATACGTCTAATTTAAATCAATTTCTGTTTGGTTTTTCTTTTTCAAAAATTTCTGATCAGTTTGGGTTTAGTTTAGGGTTTTCTGAATTTTTTGGATTTCGGGTTTTCGGGTTTAGACATATTAAAAAAGTTGGGGTATTTTTTAAAAAGATTATTTGGGTTTTTAGTTCGGGTTCGGGTTTCGGGTGAAAAACTTTCGAGTTTTTTTTTTATTCGGTTCAGGGTTTTCGGGATTTTTTGGATTTAGGGTTTTCGGGTTTATACATATTAAAAAAGTTTGGGTTTTGAAAAATTTTGATGAAAGTTTTTGGGTCGGGCTCGGGTTTAGGATCTAGATTTTCTTTACAAAACCGCAACGTTACACCGCGGGTTTCCGCGGGTTCTCTATTAGTAAAGTATGTTAAGAAAAAAGTTGCTATGTTATAAAAAAAACAATAATTTATCAACTAATAGCATGATGCCACGTTGAGACATGGGGTGAGACGTCTCGTAACGAATAGACGTATCAATAAATTAAATAAAAAATGCCATATTAACCAGAAAACGTCGCTTATATTAAAGAGTCTTGAAATTAATAAGCGACGTTTGTTGTTGATAGGTGGCGAATTATCATTGGACCGAGTAAATTGGAGTCAAAATTTTTTTTCCCTTTTCCTCATTTTCCCCTTTTCGCCTCTCTCTTTCCTCTGCGTCGCTCTGAAGCTATAACGGCGATTCTTGTTCTCTTCAATCCATCTTCGAATTTCACCGATAAATTTCATGTTCTTCTCTCAGAAATCAAACCCGTCTCTCTCATCTGAGAACGCGTTTCTGCCTCGCGGCGCCGGCGGTTTGAGAACCGGCGTTTCCTGCAGCTGGAACCTCGAGAAGAGATGCAATCGGTTCGCCGTCAAGTGCGACGCCGCCGTGGCGGAGAAGGAGACCACCGAGGAAGGTTCCGGTGAGAAGTACGAGTACCAAGCTGAGGTTAGGATCTTTCTCTTTCCATTTCTCATAAAGTTTCGATTTTTAATTCTGGGGCATATGAAATGAGACATCATCTCTTCTCTCCCTCTATCTCTTATGACAATCACAAATCTCCCAACTTAATCTCTTTATCCCTCTCCTTGTACATTGACGAAAATACCCTTAATGAATTCTGAAAAATTAATTCAAAATTGGAAAAAGAAAAACAAGTTTGGCGTTTTGGTTGAATTGGCGTTTGGCATCGGGATTTCAGAACCCGCGTTTGCTTTCTCTCTCTCTCTCTCTTTCCTCCCGCCTTTACTCTCTCTCTCCTCTCGAGTCTCCCGCTCCTCTCTCCTCGGGCTCTCCTCCATCTTCCAAATCGAGCTCTCTGAAGCTTATCCCGGTCGTCCCAAGCTCCTTCTTTTCCCTGTCAATCATAATCTCGTTGCTTCGGTACCGTAGTCGGCGTAATTCGCAGCCGCAGGGAGAAAAAAACAACTCAGGTATGTTCAGTTGTTCATAGTTGGAATTCGTCATTTTCTCTTGAATAACTCGAATAAATCAGACAATTAGGTGTTTAGCAATGCTTTTTTGTTCGATTAGTACTCTGCATTAGCAAAGAACGTAATGCAGGGCTTGAATCGAAGCGAACCGTAAGTAGAAGAGTGAGCTAGTTTTGGGAATCTCCGCCGATAGTACAACTGAGTATAACTCGTATAACTAATTGTGATAGTATAACTAGGTAAACTAAGTATAACTACGATGAATTTGCAGCTTCAAAAATCATATCTTGTGTTTTACTCTTTTATATCACAGTTTTTGGATAATTAAAAGTTATATTTGGCAAATAATTGCATTGATTTATCAGAATTGGTTTAGCCCAAAATCGTGAAACTTGGTAGAACTGGTATAACTATGTGATGTAAAAATGCATAACTGTGTAAAACTAGTAATACTGATAAAGTTTTGACTTTGTTTTGGTAGGATATGATGGGTGACGACGTCAGCTTACATTTCAAATGCAAAGGTATCTTGTACAGTTTATTGGTGAAGACATCAACGAACGAGATAACACTATTGATGGTAAAAGCTTTGATATGCAAGAAGTTTGGGTGGGATGAAAAAATGGTGGAATTGAAATTGAGATACATTCCCCTGATTGTGAGATGCGACGAATACACGACCGTAGCTTCTGATGACGATCTCAGGTGCTATCTAAGTTCAGTTGATCCCCAAGGCTGTAGATGTATGTTGCATGTAGAGGTCACGGCTTCCTCAACACAGCCCACAGCGCAAGTATCTAGAGCAGAGAAGGAAAGTTCTGTTGGTGTGAACTATAATGATGATGAAATTGGAGGTAATGCCGTGGCTCTATATGTAGGCAACAACGTCGAAGCAGAACAAGAAGAGGAGGCAGAACAAGAAGAGGAAGCAGAACAAGAAGAGGAGGAGATGCAGAGCATGAAGAGGAGGAGAATGCAGAGCATGAAGAGGAAGCAGAAAAAGAAGCTCAGGAGATGGATGAGGATGATGTTACAGGCGAATATAGGCACAACGAATATGATGAACCACCTGTTGTACTAGCTAGTCAGTATACAGAGCCATGGGAAGATGGTTTGAATGTCAGATTACTTCAAGAGTTTCCAAATAAGAAGGCAGTGCAGAGAATGGTGGATAAAGCTGCATTTGAGAACTCTTTTGGTTTTGTGCTAGTGAAATCAGATAAGGAACGATATGTGGTGAAATGTCAAGATAAAAGGTGTGAGTGGAAATTACGAGCTGCAAAGGTACTAAATACACGGTTTTGTTTCTCAATTAGAACGCACCACAAGATGCATACATGCTCCCGGGCTAGTCAGAGTACAGTAAAGAAGAGGAAAGGCACTCCAGATTTAGTTGCATGTTTATTGCATGGAGATTATCCAGGATCAATGGAGACACCAAATCCTGGAACTATCCAGAAGCTTGTTCAGACCAGATTTGGTGTGAAGATATCCTACTCCACGGCGTTGAGAGGGAAAAATCGTCATGCTTATGATCTGCGTGGTGATCCAGGAGAGAGCTACAAGAAATTGTATTGTTATTTGCATATGCTAGAGAAGGTGAACGAAGGTACAAAGACAAGTGTGAAATTGGATGAAGCCGGAAAATTCATGTACCTATTCATTGCTTTGGGAGCTACCATTGAAGGGTTTCAATGTATGAGGAAGGTGATAACTGTGGATGCAACGCATCTGAAGAATGGGTATCGTGGTGTGCTAGTCTTTGCTTCAGCTCAAGATCCTAATAGGCACAACTATCCCCTAGCGTTTGGTGTACTTGATAGTGAGAACAATGATAGCTGGAATTGGTTTTTCGAGTTGCTGAAATCTGTTATACCAGACTCGTCCGAATTGGTGTTTATGACTGACAGAAATGAGAGCCTCATCAATGCCGTAGCTTATGTGTATCCAAGGGCTCATCATGGGTATTGTGTATGGCATTTGTCTCAAAATGTGAAGGATCATGCCTTTAATGTCAACAAAGGCGTGGTTTCATTTTATTTCAGGGAGATGAGCAGGCATTACACGGTGGCTGCGTTTGAGGCGGCTTACAGTTCATTTGAAGCGAGATTTCCTTCTGCAGCTGCGTATCTAGTAAAGACTACGAACAATAGGAAGGAAACTTGGGCAAGGGTTCATTTTCCGGGAGTAAGGTACAACCTAGACACAAGCAACTGTGTGGAGTCTTTAAACAGTACTTTTAGGCCTGCAAGGAGATACGCCTTGATACCCATGCTTGATGCGATTATTGCACAAATTTCTAAATGGTTTAATGAACATCGGAAGGAGGCCGCTGCTGGATCAGAAGCGCATAAGTTGGTACCTCTGGTGGAAAACCTAATGCACGATATGTGGAAGGAGGCTGAGAAATTACATGCGACGGAGTTAAACAGTTTCGAGCTTCTTTATGATGTAGTAGCTAAGAAATCCGACGGCACCGCTGACCCAGAGAGTAAGAATTACAGTGTGGACTTAATCAGGAAAAGTTGCAGTTGCAGGGTGTTTGATTTTGAGAAGATTCCTTGTGTCCACGCACTAGCCGCTTTCATGGAATTCAACACCAGCAATGTAGATAGTTCTCGATATCCTATGCAATTGATTGAGCTGGTCTCACATTATTACTTGATCGAGGTGTGGCAATTGGCGTATTGGAGGACGATTTTTCTCGTGCCTCATGAATCGGAATGGAAGGTCCCTGAAGACGTGAAGGCAAAGAAAATCATACCGTTGCAACCTATCCCGAAAAAGGGAAGAAAGAGAACGAAGAGACTTTTTGGTCCCGGAGAATACCGGCGTCCAAGGACAGCAAACAAAAGGCGGAAAAGACAAGGAATCGTGTGGGGGGCCTAGAGAAATCTTCTCAGCCAAGTCCAGATCCGGAAGTTGTGTAAAACTGGTTTTTGTTATGTAAAACTATGTACTTTGTATTACTTAGGGCCTGATTGGTTCTCCCGCTACCACCCGCAAACGCAGCGTTTGCGGTTCGTAGCGGTTTTCGGCGGTTTATAACAATCACGACAACCGCTTTGAATCGCTCTATACCACTCTGTACCGCTCTATATCGCTGAAAATCAAAAGCTCCTTTCCGCAAGCGTTTGCGGTTGCGGGCGGTTGCGGGTGGATAATTAAAAAAAAAAAAAACACAAACTTATATAAAATCCGAAAATAAATAATAATATTTATTAAAAAATAAGATTTGGATAATAAAATCACAATATACTAAAAAAAATTAGTACTTTTAGTCAATATTCATTAAAATCATATAATACTTATATATTTATAAGTTCTACAAATCAAAATTCTCTTCATAAATATTCTTTTCATACTAATACATATATATCTAATAAATAAAATTGTAAAATAAATTTAATTTTCACATTAAATATATATTTTGAAAATAAAATCACATTTTTATTTAAATTATAGAAATTAAAAAATAGACGTAAGTATTATACACATATTATTCTTTATAAAAAAATTATTTTTAATTATGTTGAACCATAAATTTAAAATTTTCATTATAATATAGTTTTGATATTTTTATAATTATATAATGTGTTTATATTATTAATTTATTGTTTAACCGCTATTGCATCCGCAAGTGAACCAGTCATAAGTATCCCGCAAACGCATCCATTTTCAATTGTTATGCCAGTCGTACAAACCGCTTAATAACGCTACTAATCACAACCGCCCGCTTCCGCAAACTCCCGCACCCGCAACCGCAACCGCAGCGGTTAAACCAGTCAGACCCTTAGCTTGTTTCATGTTTGGATAACTATGTAAAACTGGTTTTTTATTGTGTAAAACTATGTATTTTGTATTACTTAGCTTGTTTCAGGTTTGGATAACTATGTAAAACTGGTTTTTATTGTGTAAAACTATGTACTTTGTATTACTTAGCTTGTTTCAGGTTTGGATACCTATGTAAAACTGGTTTTTCATTGTGTAAAACTATGTACTTTGTATTACATAGCTTACTTTCAGGTGTAAGTCTATGTAAATGGTTAAAAACTTAACACTACTTAAGTCTAGTAAAACTGGTAAAACTAGTTAGAACTTATAAAATCCACAACTTGGTAAAACTTTGACGAAATTGGAATTATAAGAAAAGAGAACAGTTATAACCTCTGAAATCCACAACTTTTAAATATAATTTGTGTCTGTGGGAAAAAATATCACAATTAGAAGAAAATATTTTGTTTGCATGTATTGGACACTATGTCAACCATATACTTCTAAGGTCACTTTGCTAAGAACAAGCAATTCCGGATGAGAGATTCGCAGAAATCAATTGTGTAGACATATTAATGGATAAAGTAATAAACATCATATGTTAATCCGTTAAAATATTCTGTAAAACTAGAAAAATACATACAAGGTTAAGTAATACTGATTTAATATAAAAACCAGCCAAAGTACAACTATTTGCAGTGTTGGTACAACTAATACCTTGGTATAACTAAGTGCATTTTTCTGAAGGAAAAACGGCGCCAATTTTGTATGAAAGACGGCGCGACGGCGCCACGCACGTGTTTCGTGTGTGGTTCAGGAAAAGAAAACAAAATTTACGAAATAGTTTTACAAATATAAAAGGACCTTATTTTCTCTCTTCTCATTTTTTTCCATTTTCGTTCTCTCTCCTCTTGTCCTCTCTCCTCCCCTTCTTCCTTCGAACCCTAGATCTGAGCCCGAGTCTCCGAGACCAGATCTGCAAATTCTCAAGAATTTCTATTCTTCTTCCGATTTGCTCTTCCTTGTATATCCGACTTAAGTAAGTATAACTAATTTCAATTCCAGTCGTAGTAGTTGTAGCGAATCTGGGATCGATTGCATATGGGTTTTAGTAGTTCTTCTGGGCTCGATGAGGGTAAGGTAGATTAAATCTCAAAAAATTTGAGTTTTATTAATTTATTGTTTTATTAATTTATTGTTTAACCATGAGGGTAAGGTAGATTAAATATCAATGCCCCATTTAGAGTAACCAAAGTCGCATAAAAGGTACTTCATACTTTATCTCTCCGTTTTAGTTACTTGATGTTCTCACTTTATGATTATGAATGAGATAATAAATGCTTCTTAGACTAGGTTTATGGTTGAGGTTTGCTTTTCTTGAGTTACTGCAACTGGTAGATTAGGACACGGTTTAGGTAATAAATGAGGTGATGTGGTAGATAATTGTCAATGTGAGGTGGTAGATAATTGTCAAGTCTTTGTGTTCAATGCTTGTTCTTATTAATTATAGCTTCGATGCGGAATCTTTCAAATCTTTGTGTTTCCTCTTCTCTTTCTTAACTTTTGAAAAAAAACAATTCCTCTTCTTATTGCTTTTGTTTTCTCTGTTCTGCGTTAGTTGAGAATGGATTCCACGAATCCTTCTCAAAATTCCAATTTCATGGGCCTTTTGACTAGTCAACATGATCCTCTCCTTTCTGATAGTAACGCTTACTATCCCCAAGCCGTTGAACTTGGTTCATCACAAGTCCCTCTCTATTTTTCTGAATCTCCTCAAGATGTTTTGGTCAGTGACCCCATCACTGGACAGTGTAAACAGAGGAAGAGGTGGAGTCCAGAAGATGACAAACTGCTCACAAGCGCTTGGTTGAATACAAGCAAAGATCCTGTCACCGCGAATGAGCAGCGAATGGGCGGCACCTTCTGGGAACGCATTTCCAACTACATTGCTCTCCATTGTAAGGCTTCTTCTGGTTTGGGTCCGACAGAACCAACTCACTGCAAGCAACACTGGCATAAGCTCAACAGTGAAGTCAATAAGTTATGCGGATCATATGAGGCTGCAACAAGAGGGAAATCAAGTGGTCAGAGTGAAGATGATGTCCTTAATGTGGCTCACGAGCTGTTCTTCAGCGACTACAAGAGCAAGTTCAATCTAGACCACGCATGAAGGCTTCTGCGCTATGACCAGAAATGGTTAACGCTTTGCTCAACAAAAACTGATGGACCGAGTAAAAGAAAAAGGTGTGATGATTGTTCCCAACCAGAAGCTTCTCACATCGAAACCAATGCAGAAGAACAAGCCACACAACGCCCATGCGGAGTCAAGGCAGAAAAAAACAGTAGGAAAAAGAAAGCAGAAGAAGGCAAGGGTGTGGTGGACTTTGAAAAGCTTGAAAGCACTTTCGCTATGAGAGAGAGATCCTCGAAGATGGCTATGCTAGAGAGTCTCCTTGCAAAGAAAGAACCTCTTTCTGAGATTGACGAAACCATAAAGCAGAAGCTTTATTCAGAATTGTTTATGTGATTAAGTTTCATGTGATGAACTATGTTTTCATATTTGTTTGTTTGTTTCATGTTTAATGCGGCTACATGAGAGTTACAATTTCAGGTTAAACTTGTTTAAAGTCTTACGTAGACTTTGTCTATGTTTTAAATGTTATATTTAAGTGTGTTGTCTTTGTTTTAAGTCTTATGTAATGAGAGTATCCCTTTACTTGATTAATGAGATGAAGTTTGTTTAATAAGAGTGTTGTCTTTATGTTAAGTTTATGATTACTATCTACAGGTTTTAGTTTTACTAAACAAATTTTTGAATCATCTCATGTCTTTGTTTTAATAACTGTTGGTGTGTGTGTGTGTGAGACCATTTCGATCTCATTTATAATAACTGTTGATTCGTTCACAACAAAGTTTTGAATCATCTCATGTCTTTGTTTTAAGTCTTATGTCTGATTTTCTGTTTTAATCATCTCTGAATCATCTCAGCTTATAACGCATCCAAATGGTCATGGAGAGATACAACACAACTTGAAGGTGATGGAGAATCTCAACTTTGGTAGAAATATTTCTCATGAGTACAATCTTAAAGGCTCCCTACGCAGTTTACGACCACTACTGGTGATGGTGCAAAAGAAGTTATGCTAGGTCCTACATTTTTCAAAGACTCAAAACATAAGCTCCAAAGTGCGGTCACAAACGATATAAACTTCCTACATGTGAGTTTTTCAATGCTCACTATACCTCATTACTTTTAACTATCTAAATTTTTATGTTGCATTTATTCAATCCATAGATAAAGTAATCCTCAAAATAATTGTGGCAGAGTATAAATGTAATGGACTACTCGTTGCTCGTGGGAGTAGACTTGGAGAGGCGTGAACTTGTATGCGGGATCATTGACTACTTTAAGCAGTACACATGGGACATGACCTATCCATGCTGTATTCTTTGAGAACTCATCATATTTTTTCTTCTTTAGACTAAGTGATAATGTCTATGGAATCTAGTCGTAGGGTCTTATTTCTGACATGCCACTACTCGGACTAGAGCTTGGTCGTGATTTGATTATGCATTGGGATATGTATGAGGTTAAATTTGTTGTGTGATCAAGATGAATTGAGCAGACACTATTGGTGTGTGTGTGTGAGACCATTACGATCTCATTTATTATAACTGTTGATTCGTTTACAACAAATTTTTGAATCATCTCATGTCTTTGTTTTAAGTCTTATGTCTGATTTTCTGTTTTAATCATCTTTGAATCATCTCATTGATTTTCTGTTTTAATCACGTTTCTTTTTGTTTGAAACGTGACCAACTAACTCTGTTTGTTCACTCGCAGCTCTGTTTTTAAGGTCCAATGCTCATGGCGTTTTGAACAAGTAAGCTTATGTTGCCTTTTTGATCCTCTTTACATGTTGCAAACCTTTCTGTTTGAGATATTGCTAACCTTTTTGTCTCTTTTCAGGTTTTGTTTAGCCCATGACGTGTCTTTGATGTCGGCACAAGAGGATCCACAAGTTGTAAAGAGAAGTCATGGTGACCACATGTGTGTGTTTGGTCCAAAAGAGGAGTCACGGATGATGTCCACATGCAAGAGGAGTCACGCATGTTTGATTGATGACCACATGCTTGATTTCTTATTACAATTTGTTGTCCACAAGTTCCTCTCTCTCAATTCTATATATTGGCTTTGTTGTGTGTTCAATTGTTTACAAGAATCACACTTTGTTATGTCTTCACTCCTTCATCTTTTATAAAATCTTAAGTGAGCACAATTTTTAGTTTGCCATTTCTTTGATTTCTTGGTCAATTGAAGCTTTTATTGGTCAACGATTTTTTTTTATAATCAAACTTTACACAATTTTCAAAATTTTAAACATAAAATGGGGTCTTCATCATGTGATCCTTTTGCCGATGCAATAGATCAAAATTTCAACCAAATGATTGATCAATATTTCGATCAATCTTTTGCGGAATTGTTAAGTAGTTATGAAAATAAGAAAAAAAGGGGATTTTATTGAAAGAAATCGTGAGCAAGGCCAAGACCGTCTATGGAATGATTACTTTAGTGAGACTCCCACATACCCTCCTGCTTTAGTTCGACGATGTTTTCGAATGAATAAGCCGTTATTCGTGAGGATTGTTGCTGATCTCACCGCTAGATTTGAGTACTTTTCACAGACGGATGATGCAACAGGCAGACCTGGTTTCACCAACTTACAAAAGTGTGTTGCAACAGTTCGGCTTTTGGCATATGGCTATGCGGCTGACGCGATTGACGAATATCTCCGGATGGCTTCACCTACTGCTCATCAAGCTTTGCTGGAGTTCGTCGAAGGAATAATAGCTCTTTACGGCGAAAAGTACTTAAGAAAACCCGGCGCATAAGATCTTCAACGACTACTTCAGGTGGGAGAACAACGTGGATTTCCCGGGATGATAGGAAGCATCGACTGTATGCAGTGGGAGTGGAAGAATTGTCCTACCACTTGGAAAGGCCAATATTCACGGGAAAACCGACAATCGTCTTGGAGGTGGTAGCTTCGTATGATCTATGGATATGGCACGCGTTTTTTGGACCTCTAGGTACCTTAAACGATCTTAACGTTTTTGATCAGTCACCTGTTTTTGATGATATAATTAACGGGGTAGTCCGCAAGTACACTTCTCTGTCAACGGGCACGAGTATGGTTTGACTTATTATCTTACAGGTGGTATATACCCGAACTGGCCAACTTTTATCCAATCTATTAAACTTCCAAAGGGGCCGAAAGCGAAACGCTTTGCTAAACGTCAAGAAGGTGTCTGAAAAGATGTCGAGCGTGCTTTTGGAGTCTTGCAAGCTCGGTTTGCTATGGTTAAAAATCCTACTCTTTTTTGGGAAAAATGTAAAGTTGCAAAGATTATTAGAGCTTGTATCATTCTACACAACATGATAATAGAAGACGAACGAGACACTTACCGTAATCATGATTGCTTAGCGGAATTCCAACAAGGAGAGGGAAGTGCACGTGTGGATGGACGGGTTCGCAGAAGGCGTACAAATCTTCAGGAAATTTTGAATGCTCGAACTAGAGTTCGTGATAGGAAAGTGCAGCAACAACTAAAAAAAGATTTAGTTGAACATATATGGCAGAGGCATCTTAATGGTCAAGATGTCGATGATAACGACGACGCTGAAAGTGGGGATGAAGTTTACGATGAAGATGAAATTGCCGATGAAGATCACATTTAAATTTTTCTTTTATGTTTATGGTTTCAAAAATTATGTTTAAATTATTTGTATGTGAAATTATGATTTTATTTTCATCCAATAAAAAGTATGTAATGTTTTATATATAAATAAATTACATTCTAAAAAAAAAAAAAATTAAGAACCCACTTAAGAGACTTTACCAATAATTGATACGAAAATGTAAGTTTCTTAAAAACGTCTCTTAACTAAAATATATTGTTATCTTATATATAACTAGGGAGTCGCTCTCTCCATCTAGAGTGTCCACATCAGTACAAAATATTAAACTGTATTTAGAATATTTATTAAATATATGACTATTCATATTTCTTTACATTTATTTATATTTAATAAAAATATACAAATACATTAATTATGTAATATAAAGTATGTGATAATTTGATTTTAAAAGTTATTAAAAAGTTGAATATAAATTAATTAAGATAATAGAAAGCTAATGAAAAATTAGAGTTAGAGTTTGTTTTTCAAAACAAATAGAAATGGAGTTTTATATGTAAATTTAATTGTAGTGAAAAAACAAGAATATGTTTACAAATTTGAACCTTCAGTCAAATGGTCAATTGCATATACATATTTATAAATTTTAACCTTCAATCAAATACATATACATGTTTACAGTCTAATAGATGTAAAAAAAGAAGTAAACAAAGATAATATTTATAACATGATAAAATTTTAGAGATAGAAAAATTGAAATACAGCGGGATGTTAATATTCTAATAAATTTAAAAAAAAAACAAATTATTCATATATTTTAGTGTTAGTGATTGAGTTAACTCAAAACAACAAAAACATAAAAGTTAACATAAAACCATTATAATTCAAATCAACGAGTATAAATAAAACTAAACAGAAAAACTATCGCAAACAACCCCGCGCTTGCGCGGGGCTTCAAACCTAGTTATAATTATAAGAGACATTGGTGAGTAACACCAATAAACATGCTCTTAACACATTACAACATTATTTTTAAAAGGTATTGACTCAGAGACTCACCTAAAAACTCTCTAACATACCCGTTGGAGTTGCTCTTAGAGCACTCCGTACCGTTAAAGTTTCTTTTTTTTTCCTTAAAAAGTGATTTTCCAAAAAAAAAAGTCGAAATCCAATGGAATTGTGACATCTGAAGAGATGTGTCAAAGAAACATCTCTTGAGCCGCTTCCGGGAGAGACGTTTCTGAAGCTTGAACTTGCCACATGTATATTTCTTTTAATTTGTTATTTATTTTTGGGCTAAAAGAACTCATTCAGCCTCACGTTCCAGGTACTCTTAGGACTATGACTAGTACATATCATATCATATTTTTGTTCTCTCTCTCATCCTTACAACTATTTCTTGATCTTCGTTTCAAACTATTAAAAAACTCAACTCACTACAAAATCGAATCATTAGATCGATACAAAGATGTCAATGAATCGTCGTCTATTTTTCATTCTTTTCGTTTTCGAATATAGCCTTACCATGATGAATAAAACAGCCTTATCCTTACCTTTGAGTGTGGATCACAAACCTTCTGCATAACGGAAAAAATCTCATAATCCACTGCAAAACCGATTCCATATCTTCGTCCGCGGTTTTGCCATGGATTATGAGTTCGTTTCCGTTATGCAGATTCCGATTTTTGGGACCCGAAATATTATGGTGTCACCTATGACAAGGAGTCAAGGACCTAACTTCAAACATCACCAAGTCTTTAACGTAGAAAATATGGAATCTACGTGGTACGTTGCTATCAGTCGGAGTTCATGTGAAAGCCTCGTGGATAATGCACAGGGCGTGATAAATGGAGTGGATGCTATCAAAAAGTTTATCAGGAAAATGAATGCTACTAACAAAAAAAAAATCGAAAAGCAGTATAAAAAATCAGTATGTGTATATGCGCATATGGATGGGATAATTCATTATCATCCTTGATAACAATAGATAGAGTAGCAACTAGCAAAACAAGAGACACAAGTTGAATATCCGAAGCAAGTCAAAATGTGATAAATGAAAAGCGTGCATCATGGACCACCACAAAGACACAAGTGGTTGATCAAACAGTAACAGCAACAACCTTCAACAAACGAGATGGGATTGGGATCGGAAGCAGTCCGTCACACCACTCAACTTTCCCGGAGATTTCTCCATCACTTTGGCGCCTTTCGAGTGCAACCACCGCACCCCAAACTTTTTTCGTAGGCCTGTAAAAATCGATCTTAGAAACCAAAGACCAGTTCACCTCCCAAAAGAGGGCCAATTTTCCACCATAATCAGCCAATCTGAAACTCGGACATGGATGATGGAAATTCTGTATCGCTCCTTTCAAACCAGTGACCTCTCTCCACCTACCTACCGCAGTGTCATACCACATGATCTCTCTTTCACTCGGATCACCCTTACGTTCCAAATCAGCAACTGTGTACAAAACGTTCCCTATGACATACTGAGAATTCAGATCCACAATAGTTCTACCAATCTCTCGGTCCACCTTGTTGTCCCAACGACGTTCCTCGGGATTGTAAGCAACCGCAGCCGCGTCAAAATTACAGACCGCGTAAATCTTTCCATCAATACTTTGAGAGAATAATCCTGCTGTATACTAGACAGGGGCAGGCAGAGGATGCCAAATCGCCTCTTCCGTGTCATAAACCTCGAACGAGTTCTCAAAGGTCTGGGCATCACTATCAAAGTTGACTCCAAACGTGTATATCTTTTTGTCAAGGACGCAAGCAGAAACACTGTCTTGCACCGCCTTCATGCCTGGAGCCTCACGCCACGTGTTAGACTTGCAATCCAATACAGTAAAACCTCTATAACGTTATTGTAATAACGTTGGGACCACAATATTTTATTACTTTAGCGAGATTATTAATTTATCGAGGAATTATTAAACCAAAAACTGAATTCAGGACTTGAAAATTCTATTCATTTATCGAGGTATTACTTTATCGAGTACTAGATTAGGTCCCGCGTACACGCGGGTTTATTAAACAAAATTTGATCACTTTTTGAATTATATGAAATAGAAAAATTTACATGTGTCTAAATCTAATCGACTCATTAATTTATGAAACTTTGATTATTCATTGATGAAATCTTATTTTAGATATTGATGAAATCTTTATTTTTAATATTGTTTTACCTAAGAAAAAAATGGAAACTAAAATATTTAATATTAGAAGATCGGTCCATTATAAAATTTTCTTTTTAATATTTTAGTTCCTTGATAATTATTTTGCCGGTCCTCTATTTATATTGTTTCTTTTTCAATTTTTTTTCCTCTAACCATTATAATTTTTCATTTTCATTATTAGTTAGTTGTTTTACAATTATTTTATTAGTTTATTTATTTATGTTACTCCATTTTTCCAATTTTCTTTTGTTGATACATTTCAATTTACTCCATCACCTGATTAAATATTGGACATGATTTTTGATTTCTTAATGAGAAAAAAACTATTTTAAATATAGCTTGTTATATATTGGTTTTTGTTTTCCTTTTCTTAATGGGAATATTTTTTTTTATACTTTTCTTACTGGATGTAATATTTTTTAATTATTATATTTTTATGATTTTTCATTTTTTTTTATTTTTTGTAATAAATTATATTTTTTCTATACTTTTCCTAAGGATGTTATATTTTTCGTTTAATTGTTTGTTTCTTTTTTTCTGATTTTTCCTAATGTACTAATATGATTTTATTTATTACATTATTTTGAATTTAATATGTGTTTAGATAATATAAATTTGATGAATGGGAAACCTTTTTCTATTAGGATATGACAAATATGATTTTTTTCTTTTTATTCTAATAGATAAATGTTTTTTTAATTTTCCAACTAAACTATTTAATATTAGAAGATCGGTCCATTATAAAATTTTCTTTTTAATATTTTAGTTCCTTGATAATTATTTTCTCGGTTCTTTATTTATATTGTTTCTTTTTCAATTTTGTTTTTGCCTCTAACCATTACAAATTTTCATTTTCATTATTAGTTAGTTGTTTTACAATTATTTTATTAGTTTATTTATTTATGTTACTCCATTTTTTCAATTTTCTTTTGTTGACACATTTCATCACCTGATTAAATATTGGATATGATTTTTGATTTCTTAATGAGAAAGAAAATATTTTAAATATAGCTTGTTATATATTGGTTTTTTTTTTTTTCTTAATGAGAATATGTTTTTTTATACCTTTTCTTACTGATGTAATATTTTTTAATTATTTCATTATATTTTTATGATTTTTCGTTTTTTTATTTTTTGTAATAGAATTATATTTTTTCTATACTATTCCTAATGGATGTTATATTTTTCGTTTAATTGTTTGTTTCCTTTTTTCTGATTTTTGCTAATGTACTAATATGATTTTATTTATTACATTATTTTGAATTTAAATTATTTAATGAATGGAAAACCTTTTTCTATTAGGATATTACAAATATATTTTTTCTTTTTATTCTAATAGATATAAAAAAAAAATCTTTTTTCTAACATTTTTTTAATTTTTTTTCTTTTTTTTTTCCAAGACACGTGTCACGATCTTAAACTTAAAAGTGACACATGTCGCAATCTATATTTTATAAAAATCCTACGTGTCGCAACCACGTTGTCCATCCAGCTTTATATAATAAGATTACTTTATAGAGGTTCTACTCTACCTTGTTTTTGTAGCCTGAGTACGGATCGGGGTCTCCTAATATATTGGGTACGGCAATGTTGTAGATATCAGAACCAACAGCCACGAGACCCATAGCGGTCAAATAAGAAAATTTATCTCTTGAGACTGGTGCCAAAGCATACCCACTTGACACGTAACCAAATGTCAATGGCCATTCTTTTATGGCGCAGTCAGGTTTCCGGCAGAGGGTGTACCAAGTATGACTAAAGCTAACATATGGCTCCACGCACAAGTAGAGACAACTCTCCGTGTTGCCCAGTTGTGAACGGGGATCCTAAAGCTCCGGTGAAGCAAGGAGAGACCGAAAGCTCTTGGAGACAAAAGCGAGAGACGGATAGTACAACCTTGAGATTCGGGCGACGCATTGTAATACAAACCAGTAGGGAAGCGACGGAATCGGGCTCTGCGGCAGCGTTGGCTCTGGTGGACCCGTTGCAGGTGGCTTATGCTTCTTCTGTTCTGGTGGACCCATTGCAGGTGACGAAATCCTTGCAGGAAAATAAAAAGAATTTAGGCAAACTAAACAAAACAAACCAAACCAAAAACAGATACGGATTGAACATGAAACTCTATAATGAATCATCTATACAGCTTCAAGTTCGACACAGCCTATCAGGCTATATCCAGTCACATTCTTGTGGAAATTCCAAATGCTTCAAACCGTTCGAAAAACCCTAATGATGCAGAAATACTTACTAGAATCAAACAGCCGATTCGAGAACCCTATCAACCAGAGACGAAGTATTTATTGCCTCCACGAGATCCATAGATATCTCTCTCCCGGGCCGGCCCGAGCCCAAATTGTCCCTTTGTCTCTTTCTCTTTCTCTTTTTTCTTATACACAACCACGATTAATATTTGTTTTTATGGATGGTGAGTGGATTCCTATTAGGTCCATAGACCCATTTTTAACAAAATAAAATATTAATAAAAAAATGTATATAATAAATCATACATATATATAATCTTTTTTTATGAATTTGATAAAACTATTAACTAATTTAGAAATATTACTTAAGATATTCAAATTTTTGATAAAAATTGTTAGATAAATATTAATTTTCTTAATTTTGTAATTAAATTTTAATTTTAATTTTTTGTTTTATATATATGAATAACCCGCAAACCTGTAAAAAATAATACTTAAACCCGCATTCGCCCTACATTTTTTAAATCCCTGCCCCGCATAACCCGCAACGTTTTTTTTTTAAATTATTTTTACCCTCACCCACCCCGCGGTGGGTCAAATGAGTGGAACCCGCGGATCAAATCACAAATAGACATGCCTAATCAGAATCCATCAACTGTTCGACTGGTCGATGGGTGCAGTCGACCCGATTGCATTGTTGTGTTACTCCCTTCCTAGTCGATCGACCAATCAAGCACTCGACTAGACCAACGCCTGATCATGTGTAGGCTCACGATCGATCACACCGTTTGGTGATCGATCCTAACTGTTCAGCAGACAATCCAACCGTCTGACTCTTTCCCGATCACGTTCAACCGTGCATGGTCGATCTAACTGTTCGGTGATCCGCCGCTTCCAACCGCGTCACACACAATTGATCCAACCATCTGGCGATTTGAATCTCTCTAGATCATAAATATATTAGACCGATCGGTTCTGTTAGTGCTTCGACCGCAATCGTATCACCGCAATATAAATCCAATAATAGATAAACGAAACATCTTATTTTTGTTCTAACATTTTATCATAAAAAATTACCTTCTTCCGCAGATCATCCCCTCTCTCTCTCTTTCTATCATCCTTACAACTATATTGATCTTCGTTTCAAATTCTAAAAACATTCACTGCAAAATTGAAGCATTAGATCTATACAAAGATGTCAATCAATCATCTATTTTCATTCTTTTCACCTTCGAAGTTAGCCTTACCATAATGAGTAAAACAACCTTATCGTTACCCTTCACAAGAAGAGTATGGATCAGAAACCTTCTGCATAACGAAAATGATCTCATAGTCCATTGCAAAACCGATTTCATATCTTCGTCTGCGGTTTTGCAATTGACTGTGAGATTGTTTCCATTATGTAGATTCTGATTTTAGGGACACAAAATATTATAGTGTCACCTATGACAAGGACCTAACTTCAAACATCACCAAGTCTTTGACGTTTACAATGATACTTGGAAAGCTAGAGAAGATGGAATTCATGTATGGTTGGGATGTTTCTTTAATTTTATCAAGAGTTTCCTCGTATCAAATAAAACAATATAATGAATTAAATATAAATAAAAATAAAATAACAAATACAGTTATTTTTTAATTTACACAAAACAATTTAGAATGACAACTACAAAAAACGGAGCAAATATTATTTTATAAGGTGGTTGGCCCATGCCTTGCGTGGGCATGAGACATTTTAAAAATAAAACTTAATATATAAAACAAAATTATTCATAATTTAAAATGTTATGATAAAAAATATATAAAAAAATTCAATAGTTATGCTTAAAATAATACAAATGTTTAAATTAAAGTAAATGTTTTGGAAGACTACCTTATGCACTCTATTAACCAAATTTCATATAATTTTTCTTTTCTTTCAAAATTTTCAATATGTTTATCTTATTAATGCAGTGCACAAAATTATGATGATTATTTCAAGTTTATTATCTATGATAAAATATAATAAATTTTGACGATTATATCCGTCTTTTTTGTGTCATATACAACATATCCATCATTTTATTTTCTTTAAAAACTATATCCATTTTTATTTATCTTCTTCTTTCTTTCAAATTTTTCTTCTTCTTATCTTCTTAATATTTTTATTGATCATCTTCATATCCTCTTATTATATTTTCTTATTTTTTGTCATATTTTTTATTCTTCAATTCTCCCCTCTTTTTTTTATTGTCTTTGTCTTCTCTTAATTTTTTTAGCCTCTTTATCTTATTTGTTTTCTTCGCTTATTTTCGGTTTTTATTTGTCATTGTCTTCGTCATCTTCTTCTCTTTTCTGTTCTTTTAGTTTTTATATTTCTTCTATGTTTCATTTCTCGCTTTTGTTTTCTAATGTTTTAATTTTATATACAATTTAATTAGAGTAAACAAATAATTTTCACAAAATTATTGGTCAACTAAAACTTATAATTGTATAATCTATCTGAATTTAACTGGTCAATGATTTGGATCAGCACTAATTTAGTTATTTCCTTTATCCTTATTTGTTTTCAAGAATTAAAGATTTAAAAAACGCACATAAAACTAAACCCTACACCCTCCCTATATAAACCCTACCTTCTAAACCTTAATCCTAATCCATATTTTTTGAATTTGATAATGAGGCCCATATTATAGTGAGACCAGGAGCAACTCGATTTTCTACTTGTTTCTTAACACTTATTAGCCTATATGAGAAGAAGGCGCAGCTCAAGAACATGTTTAGCAGTGATGAGTGGGATGTTTATAAGCATTCAAAGAGTGTCAAAGGTCAAGCTTCTTATGATTCTGGGATGAGTATTGGGTTTTGGAGCAGTATGAAAGTGTTCAGGCCGTTAGTGAAGGTTTATAAGGCTGGCAAATGGAGAAAAGATTCCTTCACTTGGGTATATTTATGATGAGATTCTAGAAGTGAAAGAGTCTATCAAGGAAGCCACAGAGCATGCAGGAGGTATGAACCTATATTGAAGATTGTTGAGGAGAAGATGAAATGTCGATTGGACACACCTCTACACATTGCTGCATACTTCCTTAATCCTTTCTACTTCTACAAGGAGTCTGGTTCATTGCTGCATACATTGCTTGTGTAGAGACATTCTATTATGGAGACTTTGAGAAGCAGAACTTAGTTGTCAACCATAAAGTTAATCTTTACAAGAGCAAAAGTGGTTCTTTCAGCTGCACTTTAGCAAGAAAAAGATGTGAAAAGAAAGATGAAAATTTCGATCCAGGTTTGTCTCTGTTTTTAACTTTGTATTAGTCTTTATTTGATCTATATTCTTTACAGCCTTATCCCTTTGTCACTTGTGAAATCACAGGATATTGGTGTGCAAGCTGCGAAACGCCACATTTGAGAAAGCTTGGGACTAGGATCCTTGCTTTAACATCTAGCTCTTCTGGTTGTGAAAGAAATTGGAGCTGCTTTGGAGCGGTTAGCTTTTTAATTATCTTTACTTTGTTTCAGTTGCTGTTTTTCATTGCACACTCTTTAACAATCACTACAAGAAAAATGAGTTATTGTGACTAAATTTTGTTACGAAATATTTTTGTCACAGATCGGTGACATTTTAGATACGATATTGTGACCAAAATTTCATGTCACAAATGAGTAACTATTTTGTCACAATATTGTGACCACATATGTCGTAACAGATAATTGTCACAATTATCGACAAAACTGTGACAAATTTAGTAGTCACAACAACTGTGACAATATTGTGACCAAATGTATCGTCACAACTTGGCTACGAACTTAACAAACTTAACAGTATTAATTTGTAACGGTATAATGACCAAAATTAGTCACTAATTGGTATGACTCAAAACCAAATAAAAAAGTAATAGAATTCAACCGAACTGTGTAACAAAATCATTACATTTCTTAAAACCAAAAAAAGAAAAAAATTCATAATATTTCTAAATTATAATTTAAATGAATTAGTTATTTAATAGTTTAGTTACAAAACTATATATAATTTTTTTTTCATTAACAAACAGCCTATGAAAAATAGATTTTGAACATTTACATTTACTATGTTCTCAATTTCGATTAACCTATACTGGTTAGAAGAATGAAGACACATGTTTTTGAAAACCACATAGCAATCACCAATCATGACTATCAACAAATATATTCTAAAATAATTGATTATGTATAAAAATTAGAGTATTCGAATAAAATGAACAATTGACTGGGTTAATATATACTTTAACAGGTATCATTTTTGTTTGTATTTCGTATTATGTTTATATTTGAAAATTTATTATTACATGTGCATGTAACTATAGATGCATATGCATTACTTAAATATAAAGCGTACAGAGCATATACAAGTTACAACGACAAATGCAGAAAATAATACAAATAATATTTTATTTGTAATGCGAATACAAATAGTAAATTTTTAAGTATAAAAATGTACAAGACCCATTAGCCAAAATATTTAAATGCGATTAACTGTAAGAGCCCATTAGTCAAAAACCCTAAACGACAAAGAAAATATGTGTGAATATATATGTGTATCTATATTTTCTGGACATGTGAGAAACGCCGACGCCGACGCCGACGCCGACGCCGCCATTGAGAGAGAGAGAGCATTTCATCATGGTTAAAGAAAGATAAAGCTGATCTTCCTTGGTCCTGTCACAACCGTCGTCGACGACGACGTTGTGGTGGTGTGTGTCTCGCCGTAGCAAGGGGAGGAAAAGAGCGAACTTTCCAAAGGGGGAGAAGGAGATAATTATGGCTTTGGCAAGGAGGTGGAGGTCAATCGAGATCATATCAGAAGATCAAGGACAAGTGAAGCAGATCAGAAAACAAGGGTGAGAAAACCATCGATGAAGAAATATTAAAGTATGCATATAGTTTTGTTTTACTATGTAGTATGTATGAATACCTTCTTGTACAACTAATGTAAATTGATAAATCTTTCATACATATTCTAAATGAAATACATATTCTATGTTTATATAATACTTTTATTTTGAACATATCTTTTTGTATGGTGGTTCGTTTCTTTTATTTTGCAAAATAATTAGTTGTTTATTTTAGGATTTCAGCTTTATAATGAAACAAATATAAAGCATAATCAATTGCTAAATTGTATAAAGCAGACGACGATTTAATCACAAGATGATGATTTAGTAAAGAAACAAATATACGACACTAAAAAAAATTTGTAAAAATATTGACAAAACTAATGCGAAAAGTCACGTAGTTGTGTGATAAAGTGTAACAGAACCGAGACAGTTAAATAGTCACAAATTGTAACGTATTGGTGACGAATTTCCAATCTCCAAATGTGATAATTTGAGACTATAGTTCAGTTAGAATGAGTGACGGAGCTGAGACGTTGTGAAAGTCACAAAATACGACGGTTTTCATACGTTATTTTAAGTTAAAAATTGTGACGATTTTGTTAAGTTTATGTTTTGTCACCGTTTGTGATAGAATAATTACTGAAATATCCGTCTCTACCCTTGTGACGGTTTTGTTACAAATAAAGATTTGTGACGATTGTATTGTGACCATTCACAAATTGTCACAAATCCGTAACAATAATTTTATTATTACGAAATAATTTATATTGTGACAAAATATTCTGTCATAATATCACTTTTTTCTTGTAGTGAATTATCTTAATTTGCAGATTCACACAAAAAAAAAATAGACTGGATGTAAACAGGCTTAATAGTCTCGTCTATGTTCAATTCAATGCCAGATTGTTCAAGAAGCAGAAAAAAATCAGAGAAACCAAATGTGATGTGATCTTTGATGAGGGAAATGAAGATACAGTTGAAGATTGGCTTGTTGATCGCCATGCAGAGGTAGATGATGATGTTCCTTTGGTGCCAACTTCTCAAGCTCCCCAGGCCAGAGCTCTATATGATGATGATTTCGAATCTGATGAAGAGGAAGGTGTTTGAACCAGATTACTATTCTGAAGATCCTGTGTTTTGCCACCCACCATTTGCTTAGCATAAGCCATAAGGTAAAATTTCTTGCTCTTGTCTTTGTGTCCTTCTGTTTGTGTTTGGTTATGTGTTTGTCTTGCTCTATTTTGTTCTGTTTGTTATGATTTCGAAACCATGAAGAGGAAACTTGAGAGCATATGTAGCATTAGATTAGGACATGAATGTCACTTGCTTATCATTAATTACTTATGGATATGTTCACTATAACTTCTGGAATATAGTTTCAAGAACGAAATGCACCTCTTTCTCTAATTAATTAGGACATTAACAATTTCTTGAACACAGATTAGGGCATGAACAATTGTTCCAATAACCAAATGTTTATCTCTTTCTCAGGTTTTGTTGTCTTTGCTTCACTTATTATGACTTATCGAATTCAATATTTAACATCTGTTTTGATCTTTTTTCAGGTTTGCATTATCTATTTGACTAGTTATAAGTTCACTACACCATGATTCAAATTGACTACTTGATCATAGAAGAACATAAGGATGAAGAATGATCTATTATCATCCTTTGTGTATCTTATGTATGTTCTTAATATGATCAAGACAATATCTCTTTTGTAATATTTGTGAGTGGAACTATTATCTTTTGTATTAGAAATGTTTGTGAATTGGGAAAATAAAAAATGTTAAGAGTTTTGTATTATCTTTTGTATTATTAATGTCTTATATAATTATAATTTTTAAAATATATTAAAATAAACATAAAATTTCGCTCCGGTTAATCCCCGAATTATTAGCAGTTTTTTATTAAATCACGTATCGCTGCCCGACCGAACAATAAGCAAGAAGCGGGATTTTCTTTTAATAGTACACTACTTACCACTTGTATATGTTTTTGATAACTATTTTCTTAGTTTTCTACTTATCTTATTTCTTTTTAAAATTTTTAAATTTTGTTTTGCCAGTATAAATTGTATATGTTTTAGATTATTCCAAAATGTTGTTTATAAATATACAACATATACAAGTATAAATGTTTTAGATTATTCCAAAATTTTGAATGTTTTTATAGTAGCCGAATATATAGCTGTCGAACCAATTAATGTAACTAATTCCCAACGTTGTTGGTTTAGTCGGCACCACATCAGGTATGATTGATACCTTCGACGACGAAAGACCCATCGAACTTCAATGGTCAACCATTCGATAATTACTCTCAACATTCCTTAACAACTAATAACAATAGGACTTTTCTATAAGAATTTCATCTTTAAAATATACCATTTTGTGTCATTACCTCGATCCACGTTTTGATCATACCAGATATATACAGAGATAATGTGTGTTAAAAAAAAGCGTAGTGTGTGTGTTTTTAATTTAAATCTCGGTGGAACCCTAATAAACGCCAATAAAAGATGTCACAACTATGAAATATTATGATCTTTTTTTTCATATTTTCTTTATACCTTCTCCACTAAAGCAGGAATGTTTTAGAACCATTGGAAAGTATGTGTTTTTCGTCTCTTGGTGATGGAAGAATCAAGCATGGCTCAAGCTTTTTTTATTTACCTGCTCCTTAGTTTTTCCATCATAATCCTTTCTAATGCAGCCGGTAATTAATTATTCAATTTACGCTTTTAGTTGCCTTACACAAGTTAGAAATTTCTTTGATTTCTATGCAAGTAGATGAGAATGAATTTGAGTTTGATGGGGCTTGGTTTCAGACATAAACATAGACTGTGGATCATCAAGCTCGCACATAGACGGAGACAACAGAACGTGGGTGGGAGACACTGACTTTGTAACCACCGGCTTGACGTCAAAATTTAAACCAATAGTCGAAACCGCTGATTCTCTGACCACACTCAGGTACTTTCCCACGGGAGAGACCAACTGTTACTCCAACATTCCGGTCGACAAAGGTGGTAAAGTGTTGGTTAGGACGAGGTTCAACTACGGGGACTACGATGGAGAGGACAAGGCTCCAAAGTTTGACGTCGTGTATGATGGAAAACACCGAGATTCGGTCGTCACGACGACATCTATCAGCGGTGTTCGATCGGAGGCCATATTTATCCCCGAGAGCGGGAATACGAGTGTTTGCTTTTTCAGGACTTTCTTGAACGAGTTCCCTTTTGTGTCTACCATTGAAGTAAGGAGGTTGGACGACTCCATGTACACAGATCTTGGCCCCAAGGAAGGTTTCATTCTCCAGCAACGCATCGCCTACGGTAGGGTGCAAGAATTAGTAAGGTAATAAACACGTATGATCATATCATCGGATTTAATCTAGGCGATTAACAATTTGTTTGCCGCCAAAAACAAAAGGATTTTAACAATTTGTTTTTTATATGAGGAAAATTACCATTTTTAATCGGATTTTTTTTTTTTTAATTTCTCTGGTGGATCCAAAATCAAAGAACATCACATCTTTATTATATTATTAATTGAGAAGTACATTCTAATGTTTGGATACAAGAATTAGAGAAACATCTATTTGGATAGAAGAATAAATGGAAACAAAAGTTGTTTGGATATAAGAATAAGAGAAAAATCTATTTGGATAGAAGAATAAATGGAAAAAATTGTTTGGATACAAGAATAATAACTTAAAATAAACCGATGGTTTAGAAAACTTCCGTTTTCCATCTCTTAAAAATCTGCAAAAAAAAAACTTAACATAATCTAACGATAATTCCAAATCAATAGAATATGCTTTTTGGATTTTCGGGTTTTTATAGACAAGTTCGGGTTTGGGTGAAAATCTGAGACATAATTTTATAGAGATATATATAGAGATATAGAAATTGTTCGGGTTTCTTTGAAAATTTCTGTTCGGGTTAGGTTCAATTTTTTTTTTCAGTTTAGGGTTTTCCGGATTTTTTAGATTTCTGGTTTTCGGGTTTAGATATATTAAAAAAATTGAGTATTTTAAAATTTTGATTAGGTATTGGGGTCGGGTTCCGGGTGAAAAAGTTTCCAGATTTTTTTTGTTCAGTCAGGGTTTTCGGGATTTTTTTGATTTCGGATTTTCATGTTTAGACCTATTAAAAAAGTTTGGGTTTTTAAATTTTTTGATTAGGGTTTTTTGTCGGGTTCGGATTTAGGGTTTAAATTTTCTACACAAAACAACAACGTCACACCGCACAAACGTGCGGGTACTCTACTAGTTTTATATTATTAATTGAGAAGTACATGAAAATTTATGACCAAAAAACAATCTAATTATGAAGAGAAAGTGTTTGGCAACAGATTTAATTAGGATCAATTTAGTACATTGTAATGTTTGGATACAAGAATAAGAGAAAAAACTATTTGGATAGAAGAATAAATGGAAAAAATTGTTTGGATACAAGAATAATAACTTAAAACAAACCGATGGTTTAGAAAACTTCCGTTTTCCAGCTCTTAAAAATCTGCAAAAAAAAACTTAACATAATCTAACGATAATACCAAATCAATAGAATATGCTTTTTGGATTTTCGGGTTTTTATAGACAAGTTCGGGTTTGGGTGAAAATCTGAGACTAATTTTATAGAGATATAGAGATGTAGAAATTGTTCGGGTTTCTTTGAAAATTTCTGTTCGGGTTGGGTTCGAGTTTTTTTTTCAGTTTAGGGTTTTCCGGATTTTTTGGATTTCGGGTTTAGATATATTAAAAAAGTTGAGTATTTTAAAATTTTGATTAGGGTATTTGGGTCGGGTTCCGGGTGAAAAAGTTTCCAGATTTTTTTTGTTCAGTCAGGGTTTTCGGGATTTTTTTGATTTCAGATTTTCGGATTTAGACATATTAAAAAAGTTTGGGTTTTTAAAATTTTTTATTAGGTTTTTTGTCGGGTTCGGATTTAGGGTTTAAATTTTCTACACAAAACCACAACGTCACACCGCACAAACGTGCGGGTACTCTACTTGTCTTATATATAATTAGGAAGTTGTTTTCTCCATCTAGAGTGTCCACATCAGCAAAAAACATTAAATTATATTTAAAATATTTAATAAATATATGACTATTCATATTTCTTTACATTTATTCATATTTAATAAAAATATACAAATAAATTGATTAATTAATAGAAAGTATGTTATAATTTGATGTTAAAAGTTATCAAAAAGTTGGAATATAAAATAGAGATAGAGTAAAGAAATATTTAACTTCAAATAGTATATATTAACTTTTTTACTCAAAGAATTTATCCTATTTAAAAATGTTAGAATGTGTTTACAAGTTAAAAAGTTGAATATAAATTAATTAAGACAATAGAAAGCTAATGAAACATTAGAGTTAGAGTTTTGTATGTAAATTTCAAAACCAATACAAATAGAAATGGAGTTTTGTATGTAAATTTCAAAACAAATAGAAATGGAGTTTCAAAAGTCAAAATATAACAAAATCATGAAAGTTAGCACAAAACCATCATAATTCAAATTAACGAGTATAAAAAAAAATTAAACAGAAAAACTATCACAAACAGCATCGCGCTTGCCCGGGGCTTCAAATCTAGTTAATACAATTATATACTCTCTAATACTTTTAGTAAGCTTTCTTTATTCCTTAAGAAAACCATCATTTATTGTCTAATGAGAAATTATTCAACCAATAGATCCAAAATAAAATAAAAACTACAAAACGCAATTGGTCAAAAAAGTAAAAAGGTAATAATTTTGTATCGAAACTATAAAACATCTCTAAAAATAAACACAATATTTTTTGTTTAAAAAATAATTTATAATGAAAGTATGAAACGGTATGGTAACACCATGAAATTTATAAATATATGGTAACTAATTCCATAAACTTACATTTTACAGGTCACCATTTGATCCTTACGATAGAATTTGGGCGGCAACACCGCTATCGACGGCAACTTTAACAAGTGCTTCCACATCTATCAACACAACATGGGCTGATAATCGACCGCCGGAGATTGTCCTTCGGACCGCTTGGTCGCGGAAGGACATGGCTTTCTACGATATAACTCTACCTTTTTCCGGTGTAACATTTTACATTGTGCTTTATTTCTCGGAACCACTTAGCCTTGCTTCCGACCAAAAGCGGTCTTTCTACGTTAACTATGATAACAAGCAAGTGGGTCCAAGTCTCATCGTGCCACCTTTCGGGGCAGTGACGCAAGCTGTTTTGAGGGCTGTGGCGACTACTAAGCTTCCATATCTGACATTTAAAGCTACACCAGACTCAAATTTGAACCCACTCATCAACGCTCTCGAGCTCTATGTAATCAGCAATAGTGGTGGCAACGGAACGAATACACCAAGCACCGGTGGTGGTGGTGGCAGCCCTAGCACCGGCGGTGGTGGTGGTACCCCTAGCACTGGCGGTGGTGGGGGCAGCCCTAGCACTAGGGATGGTGGTGGCAGCTCAGGCTCAGGTGATGGTGGAAGCAAATCCGGTACTTATTATTTCCTATAATCTTATATGTGGTCTAATAATATGGATCACGTTAGAAATAATTTTGGTTATAAGTTTTTTAAAAAGGAAGTCATATATATATACTCAAATGGTTTAACATGAGATCGCTGGTTTGAGTCTAATTTGTTGTAATTTGTATGAAGATTCTTCAGGGAAGTCAGAAGAGGAGAAAAGCAGCAACTTAGGTTTACCTCTTGGTATTTCAATTCCATCGTCTTTGATTGTTTTCGTAGCTGGTGGTTTCACCGTGTGGAAATATTTCATTAAACCCAAGCGCAACCCTGAATCAGAAAGTATATCATCATCCTTCTCTTTTTCAGAAAAAAAAAAAGAAGAAAAAAGCTACTTGCATATTCTTTCTTACGTTGGTATCATTTATATTTAAATAAGTTAACGTGTATGATATTTTTGTTGCAGGGCCACTCACCCAGCATTTTCATTATGGGAATGAACAAACGATTAATGCAGGGAAAATAGAAAACGCAACACAGAAACAGAGTGCTTAGCAATGATGACGATGACTTCAATCATCACCCTCCAGTATATATATGTTATTCTTTCTTTTTATTCATCGATCGGTTCTTGGATGTAATGTACTATTTGTTTCCTTTTCTCTTATCCAAATTCCTCGTGTGAAAAAAAAAAAAAAAAAAAAAAAAAAAAAAAAAAAAAATCCTCGTGTGTTTGATTTGTTTGTTACTAAGAATAGTCTACCGTAAAGTAGTTAATCATTCTTAAAGAATAAGATTGACACATAAGGCTATCGATGATTTTGCTTTTGAATGGTTTGACTAATTATGTCTTTTCATAAGGTCTTCACTTTTACTTAATTTCATGTGTTTTGGTTACCTATGGAGTCTTGACGAGAAAGATTAGTTGTCATGTCCATCTGTGTTTAAAAACCTTTTAGATTTCAAAAAGTTATGGTAACGTGTTTGATATTTTTGTTGCAGGGCCACTCACCCAACATTTTCATTATGGGAATGAATAAACGACTAATGCAGGGAAAATAGAAAATGCAACACAGACACAGAGTACTTAGAGTATCACCAATGGTTCATGTCATATCTTATTATAAATGGCAAAATTATAGCAATAGAATTGTGTTTATCTCCAATAGTTCATGCTATATTTTATTTTCCAACTTATTATTAATTGTTAAAATTACTTGATTTCTTCAAATTTTACAAAGTAAATCATTTTTTTCTTTCTTGCAAAACTATCCATAATTATAATATTTTTTTCTTTTATTATAATAATAATATTAAAATATATATATTATTTGAAAATAAAAATTATAGAAAAAGAAGATTTTAATTTAATTGCCCCCATTTGAAAATAATTTTTAAGTTTATTATGGTTATGTTATTATATTTTCTATGAAATAAATATTATTCATATTTTAAATGAGTTATGAGAATTGTTTTTTATTTAAATAAGTCATAATAAAAAAAATAACTAAACTGTTAAATTAAAAGTATTTATAAATTGAAAGACTATTCTATAAATAAAAATGTTCAATGGCAAAATAGCATATCTCATGTCAAATATAAAAGCAAAAATACGATGATGCTATTTTGCCATAGCATATGCAATAGAGTTGGGCAAATGTTATGACAAAATAACACGGGGTTGGAGATGGTCTTGATGTACATTTCCGAAAGATTTTCGTTTAGGTTATGTTATACACACATGTATTGTTATACAAATGAATCGTTATATTAGCAGGCTGCTATTTTATGTAATATGCAGAATACTGGTTCAGAGTTACTCAGCTGACGTTTGAATCCCAAAGTTTTGATTCGTCCTGATTTGACTAATAACGTTCTATGAACTTAAGAAATGAGTACAAATACAAGACAACTATATGTCCAAACATCAAGTAGACTCAAAGGGTTTTGTCCTACAAGGTGAGAAACATTTGGTGACAAGAAGATTGGCTTAATGGTGCCTACGACGGTCTTTCGACGAGTGCGACGGTTCACGATAGTCACGATCCCGAGAAGAGTAATGTCTTGATTTATCCGACGACCCACCTGAATCCTTCAGTCTATCTCTTGACCGATGATGGCTCCGATCTTTCAGCTTGTCTCTCTCCCTATCACTCTCCTTGTCAGAATCTCTTCCTCTGTCTCTGTGAGACCTAACCCTATCCCTCTCTCTACCTCGTTCCTTGTCTCTATCACTCTCTCTTTCCCTCTCTCCTACTTTGCTTTTCTCCTCCCTTACGTCTCCTACAGTTACCTGACTGTTTGACTCAGTATCGCTCTTCTTAGAATCCGCAGCCTTTTCATGAGGCGTAGTAGTAATCATTCCATCCTTAGCCTCGTTGTTAGCTGCTCCGGGAGTACACTTGGTATCAACACCATACCCAACTGCCGGTGACACATCCTGTAACACAGCCGCAAAATACTTCAAACCAAACTCTCATCAAAGCAAAAAGAAAATGGACAATAGTCTCGTGCTTTAGCAAAAATCACAAAACTTTGAATCCTAGATAGTGTTATATAACCTCACCTTTGAAGCTGATTGGGCTTGAGAAATCCCGGATCTGCTGGAAAATGTAAATGGTTTCCCATCTTTGCAAACGGAGATGTACTGAGCCTTTGGAAGACTATAGAGATGAGCAAGAACTCTACAAACTTCGTCAATGCTAGATTTATCTGCGTCAAATGCTTTCCACCAGGGTGGATTCTCCGGGAGAGGTACTTGAAACCTCCGGGCAGCAGCATACACGACCCCACAAGCCACAACCTCACTTCTGAACCTTACACAAAGGCTTGTACGCAGACTGCATATACAGACATATAACGAGAGATCAAATACGAAACTAACCACAATGATGTAACAGCTAACTATCGAGTAATCATGTAAAACAATATCAATGAGGTAAAATGTGAGGTTACCTATCATTTGCCAAGTTCCAAGCTTCTTGCCTCAGTTCCGGAGGTGTTTCAAGTGTGGCAAGGTAGTTTGATATGAACTTGTGAGGATGTTCAACATGACAAACAAAACCCATCTCTTTCAGTATATGTCTCTCAGTTCTGCTTAAGTCAACTTTCAGCTCAGAGAACTTCTGCAGAATATCAACAAGTGGGAATAGGATGAGATACAGAAATGATGAACAAATAGCACTTTCAAAGAAAGCTGCTCCAATGAGTACAAAAAACTTTATAAAAGCAGCCTCAACTTTTTGCCTAAACAACACATATAGACATGGAAAAGCATTCAATATGAAAAATACGCAACTGGTCACATGATTAGATATAGATAATGGTGCAGTAGACATACTTACCTTGGAATACAAATCCAGATGATCAACCGGTAAGTTCTCCCTGCGGCACTCCATCCTGTGGAATACAATGATGACCTGCCTTGCTTTCTTAGGGTTCTCTTCCAGTTTTGATGCAAGCCAGACACAGCTCGCAGCAACTATCTGTAAAAGGTTAACTCCAAAATCATTATGGTAACAGGCAGGAAGAAGTACACACAGAGATAGAAGAAAGAAAACAGCACAAGTACCTACCTTTACATCAAATTTGGCAAGAGACTTCTTGCAATAGAATCGGTGGAAAAGAACCTGCCCAGTAGCCATAACTGCCTGGGGTCTAAAGATTACAATAAAGGTTAAAGAAAATAACAGCTATGTAATGTGAGATTTGAGCTTGGCAAAAATAAGTGAGACCATGGAAAGGATACAGTCTGAGCAATATTCCAGCCTCCTGGATGAGATCACATCCATAGATTTTAAGTGTGGTCTCGGTTGTTTCATCTATCCCATCTTTCCTGGAAGGTGAGTTCTTTATCTGCTCGTCTGTTAGGTAGAAATTGTCAATTGCAGTGTAAATCATCAGTTCACTCAACGAGGGTCCCTGTTACAATCCACACAAGACAAGTAAACTTAGAATCCGATACAGACGAAAACCTTTGTAACCTTCACAAGTGTAGAGAAAGCACCAGACTTTCAGCACCAATAAAGAATCAATGCAAGTTTATTTCCAGCACAATAAAGAATCGAAATTTGTTTCACTAACTCCTATCAAAAACCACAAGTACGACAGTAAGACTTAGGACACTCAAACCCCTGAGCAAAACCAGATTGATATCAAACGAATCGTATCAAATCAAAATTGGACATTCAAGAGAGATTACGAATCGACCAAAATAAATAAATCTTAGCCATCACAATTTCCTTACGATCATTGAACGCGTGAAGAGAGACGAATCTTAAAGAGAATTTGATGAAATTAACTCAATACTGAGCAGACGAACTTCGATTCCACTGATTAGACAAGTAGCAATCAAAAACCCTAAAATTGACCGAAGCTCAAAAAAATCAATAACATAGTACCTCAAAACGAAATCGACAGCACTAGGGAGATGACGACGAGGAGAACGATGTCGAAGGCGAGCGACTGGCTTCAATAGAGAGAGAGAGAGAGAGAGAGAGAGAGAGAAAACAAAATTGAGGAAGAAAGAAGAGGAAGACGAAGGAGCAGAAGAAATTTTTTTTTTCTAACAATAATTAAAAACGATTCATAATATTTGAAAAAATGGAAAATACTAAAATTTAGAAAACGAAAAATTTGTTTGTTTGCTCCGCTTCCGTTCCTGGTCGGTGGTATCGCGCACTGAGAACGCGAAGCAAGTAGGAAACAACAATACTGCCAAAATCCAAATCCAAATCCAAATCCCCATTTTCTTCTTAACCAAAACCCTAAAACTCTCCTACCTTCTTCTCGCCGGAGATGGCCTCTTCGATATCCCTAAAGCCGACGAACCTTCTCCTCTCGTCTTTCTCCACAGGCAGAGTCCTCCATTTCCGCCGCTCCCGTTTCAGCCACAGACCGTCGTCGTCTTGTCGTCGGACTCTGGTGGCTCAATTCGGGTTCAGACCAGACTTTTTCCCCGACTCAGGCTTTTCTCTCGATTTGATCAAAGACCACGCCGAGAGTCTTCTCTACACCATCGCTGATGCCGCCGTTTCGTCCTCCGAAACCATTGATTCTGTCGCTGGCACCACTACTACCACGAACCAGAACAGTGATTGGTTCTCTGGTATTGCCAATTACATGGAAACTGTTCTCAAGGTATCAAAGTTCTCTCTTCTCTTCTTCTACAGGGAGAATAATGAATTTGTGAGCTATATAATTGAACATTTTGAAATTTTGCAGGTGTTGAAAGATGGGTTATCAACTGTAAATGTTCCTTATTCCTATGGTTTCGCTATCATTCTACTCACCGTGCTTGTTAAGGCCGCTACCTTCCCACTGACCAAAAAGCAGGTTTTCACTTTGTTTCTATAGCTCTGCTAAAGCCAAGTTTCATTCAATTTTCGTCACTTTTATTGATATGGTGGTTTATTTCCCTACAGGTCGAATCTGCCATGGCGATGAAATCTTTGCAGCCTCAAATAAAGGCCATTCAGGAACGGTATGCTGGTGATCAGGTATAAACTGTTTCTTCATGGATTTTCTTTTTTTCCTTTCTTTAGTACAAAAGTAAATCATTTCCTGCTGCACATACTAAGTCATAGTTGCATCAATTATTAGTTCATAGATTTAAAAGGAATAAATAGGAACATCTGTGTAGTTATTGGTTTCACCATTGCGGAGTGATTCTAATGAATATATATATATATATATACCAAAGATTATAGCTTAAGTTTCTATGAATGTAGCTCTCTTGTTAAAACAAAGAGCTTCCTAATTTTTTTCGTTTATCTTTGCAGGAGAGGATTCAGCTTGAAACTGCCAGATTGTATAAACTCGCTGGAATCAATCCCCTTGCAGGTACGGTTTGTTGGTTCAGGTTTTTAGTTTGTATTTATTTCTTAATTTCTTTCAGTATGTGGTTAAGCTATAGTTTCATTTATCTATTAGGCTGCCTACCCACTCTAGCCACAATACCAGTCTGGATTGGGCTATATAGAGCCCTCTCAAATGTTGCGGATGAGGTACGTGGAAAACAAAATTATATCCTTTTGTTTCTGCAACTGCCTTGAGGTTCTTTTCTGACTAGTTGTTGGATGCTTGTTACTAACTTTAAGGGACTCTTAACGGAAGGCTTTTTCTGGATTCCTTCTCTTGCTGGTCCAACAACTGTTGCTGCAAGACAGAATGGCAGTGGAATCTCATGGCTGTTCCCTTTCGTTGTAAGTATCATCCTAGTTCTTGTTAAATCTTATTCACTTCTATTATTCAAGCAAAAAAACTGATGAAAAAGAGTTATCAGCTCTGATTGAAGAAAACTTTGCGTGAAGAATTGTTGGACATAATTGCGGATATCTAAAAAATTTCCGTTTTATTTCTCAGGAGGGACACCCACCTCTCGGATGGTCAGACACATTAGCGTATCTTGTCTTACCTCTGCTGCTCATCTTCTCTCAGTACCTCTCCATTCAGATTATGCAGTCCTCACAGCCTCAGGTATAGCATCTTCTGGCATATGCGATGGTCTAGGTAGTAGTTAACTAAACCGACAACGAATCGGTTATGCAACATAGAAATTGAGGGTGTGGCCTCTTTTACCATCATGTTTTTTTCTCAGAGTAATGATCCAGCCATGAAGAGCTCACAAGCGGTGACGAAGCTTCTTCCGCTGATGATTGGCTATTTTGCATTATCCGTTCCTTCTGGTTTAAGTCTTTACTGGTGAGTAGTAGCAACTGGGTTTGTGTATTTTGGTGTGGGGGTTTCAGCTTTCCATTTGCTTTTTCTTCTGAGTTGAAGAGTGTTTTTTCAGGTTGACCAACAACATTTTGAGCACAGCGCAGCAAGTATGGCTTCAAAAATATGGTGGTGCCAGGAATCCGGTGGAGAAGTTAACTAATTTGGTCATGAAGGAAGATAAAACTCAAAAAGTTGACAAATCTATTTCGGAACCGCTGGTTCAAAAGTCTGTCGCTGAACTGAAAATACCGAAGGTTGGTGAAAAAGTTACACCAGAAGGGCCCAAGCCTGGTGAAAGGTACCAAAATTTCTGAAATGTGTTGTTATTGGTGACAAGAAGCTATTTGTTGCATTGTGAGTATTAAGATGTTGGTTCGATTCTCAGGTTCCGGCTGCTCAAAGAGCAAGAAGCAAAGAAACGTCGAGAAAAAGAAGAGGAGAGGCAGAAAGCTGAAGCAGCTCTGTCAAATCAAAACACAAACAGCACACAGGAACAGGATGAAAAATCTGATACAGTCGTTATCCCTGAAGTAGAGAATGAAAAAGTCAAAGTTTCAGCAGTGCAAGAAACAACTGATGACACTGTCGGTGTGAATGGGAAGCCATCCATTCAAAAGGAGGAAGCTACGAATGGAAAATTCGGTGTTGGCCATGATACAGAACAACACCATTCTCATGAAACATAGAAGTAAAGGTGAAGCCAAACAAACAAGATTTGAACAAGACAAGAGGAGGAAACTCAGTCAGTACTCAGCTTTAGCCCCTCTGCAACAGAGTTGGAAGTTTATAGATCTTAAGGAACATTGGTGTTTAGAATTTGTGTACAAAAGCCATAGGAAATGGGGTTTTCGTATGTGTCATAGACGCTTGGTTCATGTGCCTTATATTCTTATTTAGAAGCAAATGAACTACGTTTATCATCATTCACTGGTTTTCCTCCAATAAGACAATAGATTACTCTTAACGATGAGACTTGTGTGCATGAATAATCATGAAGCTTAAAAGACGCAAATTCTCTCTTATCATCAGTAGCTGAAGTAGTGATCTTTCTGAATGCAGTTTGGTTTCGGTGTCAAATCAAAATCTAGCGATGTTCTTCAATAAAATCTTGCAATAGAAAGGGAAAAACCGAAGTACAAAATGATGTTCAAGAGTGTTAAAGAGCTAACAGAAAGCAAACAAAAATAAACACACCACACGAGGCCAAAGGGTGCCACATCAGTATTCAGAGTTAGAGATGACATCGTCGATCTTTAGAATCATCTTAACGACTTGCGTTGCAAGCAAGATCTGCTGCTGTTTCCCGATCAAAGTTTCAAACACATTCTGCTCCCTCATATCGTTTGTTCCCACGTCGTTGCAATCTATCCCATAGAAAGGAATGTTCTCCTGTTCAGGCATCCACAAAAGCCAACTTGTTCAGTCACCGAACAAGCAAATTCAAAATGGAAAACAAGATAACAAGCTCATCATCAATTACTTACCTTAATTTGCTGAGATTTAACTGCAGAGAGTGTCTCAATGGGCTGTAATCCACTGTTCTCCGCAAGAGCCATAGGGACTGAGTCCAAAGCCTCTGCAAATGCCCTAATTGCGTACTGCATAGAAGGAAGTATTCACACATAATGTCATAAGCGTGAAGATTTGTGAGATCAATAATTACACTTGAGACTCAAAGAAGAGGAAGATTGTTGTTTTACCTGTTCGACGCCAGGGTATTTGTCAGCTGCTGCTTCAACTGCGAGCGAGCAGGCGATTTCAGCTGCACCACCTCCGTATACAATTGATTTGTTGCGGATGAGATTCCTTGCCACACACAGAGCATCGTGGATACTACGCTTCGTTTCTTCGATCATCATTTTGTTACCTAAACCATACATAGCCCGTTACAAATTGTTTGATCAGTCAGTCAATAAATTTTGTCCACCATATACTTTGTAAACATATTAGAAAAGGCTGCAAGTACCTCCACGGATGAAAACAGTGACAGCTTTCGAGTTTGCACAGTGCTCAATGTAAAGCATCCGTTCTTTTGTTGTGCCAAATGATTTTTCACGAACTACGCCAGCCTGAAAAGATAAACAAGTGTGGGATGTTCAATGGTCTGATTTAAACATATGCTACATTACACTGATACTCCTGACACCACCTACTGAAAGTAAATAGTACCTTTCCTAACTTCTCAGGGGTCAACTCCTGGAATCTTGGTACAATTCTTCCGCCTACAAAAGATAAAGATCCTCTCAGCTTTACATAATCGATTAAAACACTAGCAACAAATGCTATGAGTAGTGATGTACAAACCTGTGGCTATTGCGATAAGCTCTAATTCAACACCACCAACCCATCTGACAGCAGGCAAATTCCGGTGCATCAATAGATGGTTTGCCTCATCATCGAATCCCCATTGGCAAATGACCAGTGTAGCTCCAACATCCTGCAACGATCATGCATAAATAACATTATAACAGACAAACCAAAGATCTAAATGACAATGAGAGAAAAAAAAAATTATATAAACCGACCTTGCACTTTTGAACCATCTCATCGAAATAAGTCTGCTCTTGCTTGCGCAAAGTCTCAAACTTCTCCACTGTGTCAATGTCCACCTTATGCTTAGTCTTCGGCTTCGGTGGCTCAAAGGGGCAAGTCAAAATGGCAATGTGCGCATCTGCAATATGCTTCGGCATTTGTGGATGGCTCATGTCTTTGTCCACCAGTATTCCATATATAAGCTCAGTGTCCTCCAACTTTCCCCCAACTTTGCCCTCTACTTTGATCAGATCCAAGTTCACATCCCTCCTCTCTAAATCAGCAACAGCAATCACTGCTTTCACAGCAATCTCAGCCAAACTGCGCTTGCATCGATTCACACTGCAGCAATGAGCAGAAAGGTAAAGTTAAAACAATACTCTACAAACCATTAAAATAACAATTATGTAAAAGTAGCTTGACATTACATCTTTGAGGATAGAGTAGTCATGCATGTTTGAACCAGTGGCTCGAAGTTATCAGCGTCGAATTCAAACTTCTGAGCTATGCGCTCCAAATGCTCTACTGCGACTCTAGAAGCCATCTCGTATCCCTCAGCAATACGGATAGGATGAATTCCCCTATCTAGCTGACGCTCAGCTTGCTCCAGAAGTGCACCAGCCAAGACAACAACACCCGTTGTGCCATCACCGATTTCATAATCCTGACTCCGTGACAGTTCAACCATAAGTTTCGCAATCTGGTTGTCAACATCCATTTGCTCCAAAATGGTTGCACCATCGTTAGCTGGAAACCAAAAATGGTTAAGTTAGAATCCAAAAAAGCAAAAAACAGATCATGCTTTTCACCAAAAGGCACAGCTACTGCTACCAATTTTGAGCATATTGAACTACTGCTAAGTGAAATGAGCTCAAATCCAATAGACATTATAAGGCAATAATGAGAAAGGTGTATACAAAATAGCATCAATTGATGAAAGAAACCAAATTTTTCAATCCTCAGTTATTAGCATTTTAAACCACAGAGCAAGCTACTTGAGCTTCGTGGACATAGCAAATCGATTCTCAAAAACTATACAGAGAAAAAGCTAAATGGATCCATTGATCAAACAGTTGCATCGACATAGTAAACCCTACTCAAGTAGCTAAAATCGAAAAGCAGATATGAAATCAAAAGAGAGAAACGAACTGATGGTGACGTCTCCGTCAGGTCCCTGAAGCATCTTGTCCATTCCTTTAGGTCCGAGAGATGAACGGAGGATCCGAGCCACCGCTTTGCCGGCAGCAATATTGGCTTTCTGGGCATCGATGCCTCTAAGACGGGTCTTCTGATCCTGCTCCCTCAGTATAATGAACGGACGCCCGAACTCATCGAACGCCAGCGCCATTTTCGAACCTTAAGTTTTCTCGATCCGATCCGACTTCAGATCTTGGTTTTTCTCTCGCTGAACTTAGAGAGAGAACAAAGAGGTTGAAATGGGAAGAAGAAGAGTATCTCGAAGATTTGAGAGCGCAAATGGTCGAGTGTAAAACCCTAACTCGTAGCTGATGGCAGGATCGTAAATTGAAACGGACTCAAGGGCCTAACAAAATATTTGGGCTTACAATTTAAAGCCCATTTGTCTATGATACAATATAGTTCAGGGCCTAAAACATTATTCATGGGAATATTTGTAGTTTTGTACTATATTATGAGACTTCAAATCATCTTTTTTTTCTTCAACGTGACTTCAAAATAATTATTTTACATAGCAACACATCCCACTTGAATCCACTGTTGAGTTCTTTGGCAAGAGCTCCCAAAACAGTCCAATTATGGCTATGAATTGTGACCATTGAAGGAACAAGGGGAGATGAATAGAAAGAAAAAAAGGAAAAGGAAAAATTGTTCCCTCTCATATAGTCATATTTGGTGAGGTCCGTGAGGAGTATGTTTACTCTATGGTTGTAACTGGACTGTAGTTTTTTGGAATAAAATTATATGGAACGGTTGATTCATGAATAAATTTATATGGAACGGTTGATTCATATAGATTCAACAATGTGTTAACCATTTAGTTTGGATGGAATGGAAAGGTCATTCCATCAATTCCAAAATAAATAAACATATTTTTTGGTGTTATCTACTTTTTCCAAGTTCAGAATGTTTTAACATTCTGCTTATTTTATTTATTTTATCAAAATCAACTCGTCTTTAGAAAGCAGGTGTGTATGCCTTCGTTTTATTATGGTTCCATGATAAATAATCATACCGCGTACATTCATTATCCGGTTCATCAGCAAACGAAGATCAACATGTAGTCGCGTGCTGTGCTACCAGTGAAAAATGATCTATATCTTACCAAATCCATTTTTAGGTAATCCAGTCGATCTACATTGGATTGTACGGTTATCCTCCATCGGAGTTCTAACGTTTTCTAAAAATAAAGTTCTAACTATATATAAACATTATCAAACCCATTTCCTCCCCAATCATCACAATCTCCAAACCTCAAACCCTAAACTATAATAAAAGAGAGCTACGTAAGAAGGAGAGAGAGAGAAGAATGGGTCGCCAAAACGTTGTTGTAGTCTTTGGTCTCGTGTTCTTGGCCGTTGTTGGCCTAGCCGCAGCTGCCTCCTCTCCTTCAGCGTCGCCATCCAAAGCTCCGAAGTCTGCCCCTAAAACTGAGGTCGAAGCTCCAGTCACCGACGACCAGATCGGAACCACCGGCGACGATGCAGCTGCTTCTCCTGGTGATGGTGACGTGGCAGTGGCCGGTCCTCTAGGAAGTGACTCCTCCTACGGTAGCAATGGACCTTCAGGCTCTGACGATTCTGCTGACAGTGGTGCCGCGGCTCTTGGTCTATCTGCGGCCGTTGTTGGTGCTGCATCCATCGCCGGTTCTTTCTTGTTTCTCTGAGGTGGGTATTATTATGAGAAGGTTATTTTGAAAGAAAAATATTTATATGTAAGGATGATTGTGATGATCTTGTCGTCTTTTCCCTTGTTATGAGAAATGTTGTCTTCGTAATAGAACGAAAAACACGATGATAAGATACAAATTACGGGTCGAATAAATATACAAATTTATCAAGCAAAAAAAGTTTTTTTTAAAATATAAAATTGAGGTTTTTTTAACAAACATTTTTGAGGTTTTCAATATACAAAACACACTAATTTAGGTTGAATCATCACCACTGAATGCAATCCTATCTTGGGATGCAGATATTTGTTTCAACATATTATGGGACGTGAAAATACATATTTTGCATCCCAAAGGAGTTGTATAATTGAAGAAGATATTGTTAAGTTTTATGGATTTCTAATTCAAAATCAATTGACAGTGATGGATTAACTCTTTATTTATATATAGATTTATATCATTATTGTCTAGCTTCGGATATATAATAAACAAAGAATAAATTGACAGTGATTTGTTCTGTTACTAGAATTAAACTAGTAGCCAAATTAAACTATCACAAATCTCGCAAAGGAGATATGGGCGATACATATTTTCGATAAACATTCAAATACGTGAATAAATACTTTCACCACTAAAAAAAATAAAAGGGTAATTTACACCATAATAGTACTGTATAGTGCAATGTTTTCAAATATCCAAACCGGATGACCACCTTAATCTTCACTAATTTTTTTGTAGTTATTATCACAATTGCATCACTATTTAACGATACACTTTTTTTTACTGAAATTTAACTGATAAAGTACTTTATCACCACTATTTGTAACATTAACATGTATCAAACTGGTGAGACTTATTTAAAATGAAGTTCTGAAATGACAGATTGTAGTAGTATCCATTCCTTTAAGCGCCAATTCTATAACTGTAACAACAAGTACCACTTCCACTCAGCTACCACTTGCACTAAGTTTCATCGATCAACCTATACGAAGGAAAAAATGATTTTGTCTTCACAAGAAGATTACATTATGGAAATTTAAAGATGTGGTCACACACTCACACTCACACGCCAGTTGGGTTTGGGGATCTTCCACTTTAGAAGCACAGCGAGGGACCGACCCCATCAACGAGTGAAGAAAGAGCCGTACGCGTAGTGCATACATTGGTGTCTTACTCTTTTGGTCCTACTCAACCAAATACATATTTTCTTTTTCCTTTTTCTATTTTGGTCTCTTTTCTCTCTTTTTTATGTTGATATCTCTATAGCTAGTCTTATTTGCGAAAATATAACGACGTATTTAGGATTTTCTTATCAAGTATCATCTACATCATCATATTTGATAGAGAGAGTACCACAATCACTAACCGTCCAGATGTATAATAGTATTTGTTTGAAATTAATTTCTCAACGATTTAAATATGTTTTGCTTTCTGAAAAAAAAAGGTTTTCGAAATGACCATACAAAAAGTGCTATGTAATATCCGTGTAATGATATTTTGTGTTTATCAAAAAAAAAAAAGTAATGATATTTTGTGGATGAATTATGTAGTTCAAAACAAAATAAACAAATATATGAGTGCTCTTCGAGTTTGCCAGCGAGAGGGGGACACACATACGACAGGATATTTAAATTCCGACAGTGTTATTTATCCACGGTATTTTTGATATATAAAAAATATGTATCACAGGATATTTTCTCGTTTCAATGTTTTTTTGTAAATGAAATAATTACTTAGAGAATACATATGCGATTGACAAGGTTAATAGAAGCTGATTTCATCACTTACAGAATTTAGATGTCGATGATAGGTGTAGAGAACACTTGCCTAAAACTCTAGAAAAATGAGTATAAAGCTATCTACTTTATGAATTCATTACCGAAACAGTTTGAACAAGCTAATTAATAATGATTTGAATTGTTGGACTAGAGCATTCGAGGTTGACCAACATATACATTACTTAATTTGTAAATCACAGTCAATGCATGCTTACGAGTTTCACGAACTTTTGGTCAATCTTTTACCCAAATTTCAGTTGAAATCAATTTGAACATATAGCATATAACTTTTTTTTTTTTTAGTTCTATCTTTACATTTTCATCACTTGTGTCGATTTATACAATCTCCGACAAAAAGATCTTATAACATCCATGCCTTACAAACAAACAATGAGAGTCTATTTTTTTTAATAGTAGCTAACATCACGTACAAGATCGTAAACAACTAAACATTGTTCTTCCTGTGGTTCTAAATTTTGAAATTATTTCGGTCTAAAAGGTAAAAAACATAGTTTCTTCTTTCAACAATAATCATATTTTTAGCTTCATTATCCGCATGTAAGCCTGATTACATGAATCTCGAGCATATTGTGTTAGGTTTAGTTTGTGGTTATTTTAGGTAATTAGGTTTCAAGTTGACCACTTTTCTAGGCCTAGACAAGACTGGTTTTGGAGTAGTAGTAAATAGTAGGTTGTACATATTTTATTTTCATTTGTGTGCATGCATAATGATGAGTTCCAACTAATGTTTTTTTTTGGGTCAAAATGATATGTTTTTCTTTTACAACATTGAAAAAAAAAAAAAAAAAAACAAAACAAAAGTAAGTTCTTTCATTAACTTTCCAGTTCTTATTTTAAGGAACATTTATCAATAGAGTTTTTTTTTACCTCAAAACTCATGTTTATTAATATTATCCGAGCAAGTTAGTTTCGAAAACCAACCAGCTTGGGATCGTATGATCTACATGAGTAAAACAAAAGCCTTGTGCTCGTGCTCCTTTTAAGAGACGATCCGCACATACATTTAGTAGCCGTGGAATAAACGACAGTGAGAATAAAGTAAAAGAAGAACGAAGAGTATGAAATTCATCTAACTCCGATATCATTGACGGCCAATCTTCTTCATTGTCAACAATTCTCACAAGTTGCAGGCAATCTGTCTCAAAAGATAGTGCCGTTATACCCTGTTCCAGAGCTTTCGTCATTGCCCAAACCAGGGCTGCCAGTTCGGCATGGAGTGGTGTGGAGACCTGGTACTCCGCCATGGCACCAAAAAGGCGTTCGTCATTTGCTGTTTCAAGCACGAAACCACCTCCGAAGACATTACAATCTCTACTCCAAGAGGCATCAGTTTGACACCGTGATGCTGTTATTATTGAGTCTGTTTGAACAACAGGACTGGAGATAACATTATCACTCACGGTTTTGTCCACCAATTGTGCCAAGCTCCATGTCTCCGATTCTGCACATGCAAGTTGGAAAGTGTCTAAGGACGAAATATCTTTATTATTGAAGACTTTGTCGTTCCTCGCCTTCCATAGGTACCATAGAATCCATGGGAATCTTGCTATCGTTATCTCTGGAACCTTCTCTTCTTTCGCACGCCAAAACAGATGGTCCACGTTTTTGTATAGAGCGTCACACGGGAATATGCCCGGATGAGTTGGGAACTCGGGTATACTCCAGACCAATCTAGCCATTGGACATTGAAAGAGGAGATGGTTTACTGTTTCTGGTGTTGTTTCACATCTAGGGCAGAGTCATTCTGTACCGCATTGTCGTTCTACTAGAGAGTTTCGGACCGGCAAGCAGCCGGCTATAGATTGCCACATAAAGTGTTTAATCTTCCTTGACGTTTTCGTTGTCCATACTCTGTTTTTTAGTGGGTTAATGCTCGGTTCCAGTACCTGTGGAGATTCGCGATCTCCTTTTAGCTGTGATGCTAAAGCATAACCTGACTTTACCGAATAAGTTCCTGATTTGGTAAATGCCTAGACGAGGCTATCCATCTGTGTGAGACGATTTGGCTTGATACAACGGATCCATCTGATTTTCTCCGTCGTAAAGAGTTGGTCCAGGACGTTAGCTCTACATGTCATTGTCTTGTGATCTATCAAGTGGTAAACTAGTAAATATGGATCTTTGAAGCCTCCTTTGCCCACTAGTTGTCTCGTGGTGTTACTGGAATCCATGCATCACTCCAAACCGCCGTGTTTGCGCCAGAGCCAATATTTTTCCGGAGGCCAGCTTTCAGAAGATCTCTTGCTGCGGTAAGACTCGTCCATACATATGATGGGGTATTCACTTTTTGACAAACCAGTGGGTTTGTATGTAGGAAGTAGCGTCCTTTTAGGATCCGTGCAAGTAAGGAGGATGGATATTGTATAAGTCGCCAAAGTTGCTTCGCAAGTAAAGCGAGATTGAAATTTTTAAGGTCTCTGAACCCCAACCCGCCTTTTCCTAAAGGCATGCATATTTTTACCCATGCAATCCAATGCATACCCCGGCTACTTTGATTTGTACTCCACCAAAAGTTTGATATAGCACTTTGGAGCTTCTTGGTAATTTCTTGGGGGAGTAGGAAGCACGACATGACATAGGTAGGGAGAGCTTGGGCTACTGACTTAATCAAAACTTCCTTTCCACCTTTGGACAATAGTTTTGCCAACCAGGAATTTATCCTTTTACTGAGACGGTCTTGAATGAAGGAGAACACCTGTTTTTTTGATCCGAAGATTTTCTCCGGTAAACCCAGGTACATTCCCATGCCACCCTCCTTTGTGATTCCAAGAGTACGTTTTAGGTCATAACGCTGGTCATTTGGTACTTTATTCCCAAAGAAGATTGAAGATTTAGCAGTGTTAAGTTGCTGGCCTGAAGCTTGGCCATATGTATTGATAATCTTTAAAATCTCAGCACATTGCTGGACATTTGCTTTGCAGAAAAAGAGGCTGTCGTATGCAAATAAGAGATGTGAAATCGCCAGGCTGTTTCTTGCTATCTTTAGTCCCGTTACACGTCCCTCTTCTTTTGCGCCTCGTAGCTGTGCCACTAGTGCCTCTGTTAGTATGATAAACAGAAAGGGTGAGAGTGGATCGCCCTGACGCAGTTTTCTTGATGGACTAATATGGCCTTTAGCCTCTCCATTGAGTAGCATCTGATAGGACACCGACGATATGCACGATCTGATCCAAGAGTCCCATTTTTCTGAGAAACCCATTTTAAGCATCAAAGCTTCAAGGAAATTCCATTCCACCCTATCATAAGCTTTACTCATGTCCGTTTTAATGGCCATGAATTTATTCTTACAACTAGGGTTTGTGCGGAGGGCGTGAAAAGCTTCTTGGGCAATAAGGATGTTGTCTGTGATGAGTCTCTTGGCCACAAAGGATGACTGTGTCTCCGAAATAAGTTTCAGGAGGAATCTCTTCAATCTTTTGCAGAAAAATTTAGAAATGATTTTGTAGCTGACATTACATAGGCTTATTGGCCTAAATTCTGACATTTCTTGAGGTCTCTCCGATTTTGGGATCAGGCATATGTTGGTTTGGTTTAGGCGTGCGTCAAAGAAGTCGGAGGAGAAGAATTCTTTTACCATTGCTATAACATCTTTTGCCGTGATTTCCCAAAATTGTTGTTTGAAAAGGATAGTCATTCCATCCGGCCCTGGTGCTTTCTCTGGATTGATGTCTTCGATGGCCAGTCTGATCTCCTCATTGGAGGGAGGTTTGGTTAGAGATTGGTTGATATCAGAGTTTACTTTCACGGTAACGTACCGGAGAGCCTCGTCAAAATCGGTAGGGTGTGACGAGGTAAAGAGGTTTTGCAAATAATCTGTCGCCACTCTCTCTATGTCCTCCTCTGTTTCTGCCCACGAACCGTCACCTCTTTTTAACTTTGTGATGCGGTTTCTTGCTTTACGTAGTTTGATGGTTGTATGGAAAAATTTCGTATTACGGTCCCCTTCCTTTAGCCATGTAACCCGGCTTTTTTGCTTCCAATAAAGTTCTTCTTCTCTAAAAGCTGAGCATACGTCCCATTTCAGTTTAAAGACTTCCTCATTCGTCATGCTATCGTTGGTTTGGGCATGTTCCAACAACTTTTTGATCTCCTCGATTTTCTTTATAGAGTTGGACTGATTTGTTTTCTTCCAGCATGAGAGAGATCGTCGGCAAGTTTGGACTTTTGTATAGACATCTCCCAGGTCCGAGATGTCTGTTTGACCCCATCCTTCTTCTATAGATTTCTTCAAACCGTCCTTGCCTAGCCATCGCTTATCAAATTTGAATCCTCTTTGTGCCGTGCCGGGTTTAGACAAGATTCTGGTTAGTATCGGCATGTGGTCTGAGCCCCAAAGTTTGAGATACTCCACATTAGTGTGGGAAAAATCATGGTGCCAGTCTTCATTGCCAACGGCTCTGTCGAGTCGGCATTGCATTTTTCTACATCTCCTATATCCGACCCATGATTTTGAGTTCCCCTTAAAGGGAAAATCGATCATGCCACAACTGTCGAGCATATTTCGAAATGGAAGAAAGGATGATTCGGATCTTTTACGACCCCCTCTCTTTTCCCAATTGCCAATCATTTCACTGAAGTCACCCATAATGAGCCAAGAACCTTGTCTGTTATAGCTAAGTTGGACAAGACGATCCCAAAAAGCTTCTCGGCCATCAACGACCGGATCTCCATATACGAACGAAATGAACACTTGTTTTCCTTCGATTTTAGCTTCAATATCAATCATTCGTTTGTCCGCAGAAATTATTGTAACATCAAAAGAATCAAAATAAAAAAGAGCTAGTCCACCGCTTGTACCTTCCGGTTCCACGGTGCACAATTTATTATAAACAAAAGAAAACTGAAAATCTTGCATAACAGAATTAATGTTTGTTTCTGAAAGAAAAAGAAAAGATGGTAAAAAACAGCGGTGCAGCTCATCCATATGCTTCCTTGTCAAATAAGCTCCTGCACCTTGACAATTCCATGCAATTGTGTTCATATCTTCTTACTGGGTGGTTTCTGGGACACCACCGAACCTAAAACAGCAAGAGTTTTTTCTTAGAGCAGAGGGAAACACCTCATTGCGAGGGAGACGAGATGGAGCCAAAGTTTATGATTTTTTACCCGTTGTTGGCTTCTTTTTTGGCGATGGTTTGAGAAGGAGGGCTTGGAGCTTCCTTGAGACTTGTCGACCTTTCTTCTCCGGGCTGGGGACAGGTTTCTTCTTTCTTCCCTGAGGTGCGTTCTGGAGCACCTTCTCTGTATTCTTTGGGATCTCTGCCTCTGGTTCCTGCATCTCTTCATTAAACTCTTTCTCCTGCAAAACCATTGGGGATAGTTGTGAAATAGCATCTATCCTCTCCTCGTCGGAGGCCAGCTCTTCTCCGAGAAGGTCGTCGTTCTCCAACATCACATCATCGAGTGCACTGTACGCAAGTTCGTTGATCATATAGTCGATTTGATCTGCGGTGAGGGTTTCGTCGAGCTCTCCTTCTTCAGTGTTTGCTAGAAACTCTTCCTCCATTGGGGTTAGCAGAGAAGCTGTTGGATCTTGGTCTTGATGAGTAACGTTTCCTGGATATGGAGCTGGGTTGGAAGCCGGTTCGATGATAGAGAGGCTCTTGAGTGGCTGAGGTTTCTCCATGTACCTCATCATTTTTTTCCTCTTTGAGAGTTCCACCACGTGTTCTTTGCCCTTGCGCTTGTTGGGGCGCTCGCTCTCAGCTATGGTTGGATATGTGATCAACAAACCCTTGGCTTTAGTTCGGCTCCTTTCCATGTTATTTGGTCTTTCGGTTATGGTTTGTTGGGAGTCCGATGGAGGTTCCTGTACTGCACTGCGCATGTTGGAGACTCTAGAAGTTGGGGTATCGAGTTGTTGTATTTTTTTTGGGTGCCAGACTTGTTGGGAATCTTTTCTCACATCCCGAGAGCTTCTCCGTTCATTCGTTGGCTTCTCGTATGGGTGGTATCGGTCTTTGCCGGACTGTCTCTTGTCCAAATGGCTCCGATCTAGTCGAGTCCATACCTCTCGGCCTCTCGAATCTCTTCTTTTGCTTAATTCCTGTCGGAGATCTTGGTGTCTCGAGACAGATTTGTTCCTGGCTTGAGATCGAGACTCTGAGTAGCTTGTGTGATCCGATCTCTGACGATATTCACGTTTAGGTATGTTGGTCCTTACACAGTCATCGTAGAGGTGATCATCACGTATCTCGGTTCTCTGGCTCACCCATGCTTCTTTTGTTCTTGTAGAATTGGTGGTTGCATTAACTCCATATCCAAACAGAGCTTCTTGTCGGAGTTCTTCCAGCCGTAACCTCTTCTTTTCCTCATGTTGTTCTTCGGTGAGCTCCGGGCAGGACGCCTCTCCATGGGATAGGAGTTTGCAAGTGAAGCAGTGCCGTTGTAAGCCCTCGTAAGTCAGGGTTACAGAAGCGATATCTCCATTAGGAAAACCAACTTTTCTTTCAAATTGCAGAGGTTTGTCCGCGTTGAGGGAGACTTGGAATTTGGCTCTTTTGGCATCGATATTAGTGACTGTTCCGAGGGCTTTGCCAATTTCGTTGAAAGTTGGATTGTTTCAGAAGTGAACCGGTACACCAGTCACCGAGACCCAAAAGATCATCGTATTAGGGAAGTCTTCACGCGTGAAAGGTTCCCATTGTTCTAGTGCAAAGCTCCACCGGTTAAAGTCCGTTTGGCTAAAACCTTGTTCATGTCGTCCACGTGATCGAAATCAAACTGGAACCGACCATTGCCAAGGTTTATTCCCTGAGTTCTTCCTTCCACATCCCAGATCTTGGGCTTCGGGAGTAGGCTGATTAAAGCATCAATGCTTCTGCCTTCACGGTTGAATGTTCGCCCTATTAGGGTTTGTTTGAACTGTTCGGTTACTGCAGTGAGATCACAGTCGGGGATCTGGATGATCTCATCATCTACGACAAGTCTTTTGTGGGCTGCGCTCGGGCTTCCTTCGCGGCGTGCGGATCCATTGAGTTAGCTCATGGCTTCAGACTTCTTCACGGGAGAGATAACAATAGATCTCGAGTAAACGTAGCACCCACGCTAGAATCGTGAAACGTACAAATCGTACCGTAACCGTAGACAGGAGAACCTCGGTGAGAACCGTCAAACTATGTGACTAGATCTCGGGGGTTTGGGAGCTTCGATAAATTACTTAGCAGAGTGTTAGAAAGGCGATAGCAAGGGGCTAGAGAGAAAACGTGTCTTGAAAGGGAGAGTTTTTGCCGTTAAGATGTAATAAAATTTTGCGGCCAAAAGTTCCTTTTAGAAGAGCCAAAACCCTAAGGGGGGAGGCGCTCTCGTTTTCTCATTTTAGTTAACTTTAAGATAAGAATGTGTGGAAGAAACTGATTTATTTACCAATAGAGCTATTTGTCAAATGTTAATACAATTAGTGGAGTAGATCATTAAATTGAAATCGGGATTAAAAACCAAACAAAAAATAATTAGTTTAAGTATATAGTTATGGTTTTTAATGTGTCCAACAAACTAAAATTAAACATCATATTGTTAGGAACATAGAGAGTAGTTTTCTTCTCTCCTTATATAATGGCTTAATGCCCACGCTACCCATGCTTGCCCAGCTTTTAGTTAGGGCCGATTATGTATGTTACTTTAGTTATGACTCTGTGTTGGTGTGGCTAAATGAACATTTTTGTTGCTAGTGTGCAAACACTAGTTCGCGTATATAGTCAATCTCTAATCACAAAAATCAAATTGTAGATTCTTGGAAACATATGAGAAAGACGCAAGATCTTTCCTTGTTCCTACTAACCTTTCACTGTTCTTTGCTGGCAATTTCCTCTCATCGCTACTTTCCCAGTCTCAACTCCTGATAACGACCGACCTTTCCTACTTGTAGTTTTCTTAATTAATTTAATCATTTATCTATATGGTCACGGCTATTAAATATGGCTCGGTTTTGATGACATTTGGCCCATTCATTGTGTCTCTCTTTAATTAGCAACTTTCCACTTTCCATCATCGATGTGACCATTCTAATTATTCATTTTCGTGTTTCGTCCACGTTTCACACCCATTTCTGAATTTATGATAACTATTGAATCACTCAATCACACAACTATCCAACATACAACGAAATACACAAAGTGCTTCTATATATTTTCATAAACTTCGTTGTTTATCTATTGATTAATTTGCATTGGTTCATAATTAATTGGGTCCTACTTTCTCCTTGACCCATGCCGCTATCTTCCAACCTCATCAATGCTGTAACGCAAACCCAATTTATTCTTCTTTTACCATTACTTTGATTGATTTTCAAGTTCTTGTTTTGTACCCCCACTAACACACCATTGTGTGTATTTGACAATTTCTTCTTAAAAATGACCATTATACCATTACTATCGGTCAGCAACAAGTACAAATGTACAATCTCTAGTGTAAACACCCATGAAAAGAAAAAGAAGAAAAATAATTAACTAATTACTATTGATCGACCCATTTCGAAAAACACCGCTCTGTACTTTCCTGCCACGTGGCGGAATCTCTCTGCACGACGCGCTTCTATATATATTTTCACATATTTCTACATATCTCTGCATCGTCTTCACCCACACACGAAGCTCACTTCTCTCACCAAACCGATACGCTTTCAAGAAAGATAACGAACAATGAGGGTTATCTCATGGCTGTTCGATTCAGAAGACTCTTCCCGGAGAAGACGAACACCAAAATCTACCGTCCATTTAGATTCCGCCGATAGCGCCACGTCATCCTCACTAAGCGAAGCAACCGGCTCTAGCAGCCTCCATAGCAGTCTCTCTCTCCAAACACTTCCCTCCGTTCCTTCTCTTCAGAGAATACCTTCAGACACTCTCGCCGTCACCACCGTCTCTTCCTCCGTTACCTCCTCTTTCAAACTCCGGGAACGGAGTCTTCCCGTCACTTGTCTCGCCGTTAACGAAGGTTACCTCTTCGCCGTCTCCGGACACGAAGTCAGCATCTACGACCGCGCCATGTCTGCTCATCTCGACACTTTCAACGGTCAGGATCCGTCCTCGGGATCCGTCAAGTCCGTCGGCTTCTCCGGCGAGAAAATATTCACTGCTCACCAGGACGGGAAAATCGGAGTTTGGAAACTAACCGCGAAAAGCGGTTACAAACAGTTAACGACGCTTCCCACGTTAAACGACCGTTTACGACGTTTCGCTCTCCCCAAAAACTACGTTCAAGTACGCCGTCACAGAAAACGTCTCTGGATCGAACACGCTGACGCCGTTACCGCTCTCGCCGTCAATAACGGCTTCATTTACTCCGTCTCTTGGGACAAGACTTTGAAGATATGGAGAGCTTCCGATCTTCGTTGTAAGGAATCAATTAAAGCCCACGATGACGCCGTTAACGCCGTCGCCGTCTCAACTAACGGCACCGTTTATACCGGTTCCGCGGACAGGCGTATCCGGGTTTGGGCGAAACCCGCCGACTCGAAACGCCACAAGTTGGTCGCGACTCTAGAGAAGCACAAATCGGCGGTTAACGCTCTGGCATTAAACGACGACGGATCGGTCTTGTTCTCCGGTTCGTGTGACCGGTCCATTTTGGTTTGGGAGAGAGAGGACAGCTCCAACTACATGGCGGTGAGAGGTGCCTTGAGGGGTCACGACAAAGCAATACTTAGCTTGTTTAACGTCTCTGATTTGCTACTGAGTGGATCTGCCGATCGGACGGTGAGGATTTGGCGGCGTGGAAGCGATAGTAGTTACAGTTGCTTGGAGGTACTTTCCGGTCACACGAAGCCGGTTAAGTCGCTCGCGGCGGTAAATGATACGGAGTTAGACGGTGTCATTTCGATCGTTAGTGGAAGTCTTGACGGTGAGGTTAAGTGTTGGAAGGTCTCCGTCACCAAACCGGAAAATTCGATTTACACGGGTCTCGTTTTATGAAATATTCTTTTTTTTTGTTTTTCTGTTTTTTATTTATTATTTGGCGAACAAAACATTTTGGCGTTTTTTAACCGTCACTTACAAACCACGAAATTATATATTGCAATACGTGCCAGAAATGTTATATATTTGTGTGCATAAGGTTAAAAAAAAAAACAAGTTTATCGATAATGAATAGTTGAATAAAATGAATTAAAATCTGACAAATGGACACATCTGCACATGTTCCTCAGGCGTAGAAATGAAGATGCTGTGCCACCTTGAAACCTGGAGGAAATCTATGGGGCTGATGTTTGATATATTTACGACTTTTTTCTGTATTAGATTCCTTACAGGTTTGTGATTGGTTGTCGGAATATAATACTTTCATATTAGGTCTGGACTCATTAGATTGTAAGAATAAAAGCATTATAATATCTGCATGCAAAAGTCCATGAACCTGAATCGAAGTGAGAATTACACAAGTATTGGGTTACGCCAATAACAAGAAGTCAAAAGACCCGTGAGGGTGGATAAGATATTAGATATTATGGGGATGATTGGTGGGAGTCTGTGGTTGCTCTCCACAGCTCTATATCTCTCTGCAGCATTCCAAAATTACCAATTATACTCTCATTTTATTTCTTTTCATTTTTGAAACATAGAGCAATTTTATTTATTTATGGAAGTTATGTAGCTGTAGAAAGCAATTTTTCTAGAGCACTAAATTTAGTGCTCTCTAAATTCTCTCTCTTCTCTTTCCTTATTATTTTGTCTATATTCTTTTTTTAATTTCTTATTTCTATATCTTTTTTTTTGTTTTGATATTTCATTTAATACACAATCTACAAAAAAAAAAATCTTACACCACTAAAAACTAAAGCCACAGCACTAAAACCTACAGCCTAAACTCTACAGCCAAAAATCTAAAGCCACAGCCATATCCAATCAGGCCCTATAACTGTGATTACTTTATAATAAAAAGATCATTTGGTGTATTTGTTAAACCAAAGTGAGATTATCAAGACAAAGGTACTTAATTAGTTGTTTAATCTCTAGTCTTGAGGTGAGAAGTGAAGAAGATCAATAGAGGGTCCGATTGTTAAAGGAGTCTTTAACTTATACCATGGTTTTGGCATTTGTACTACCACTTTTTGCTGTAATGCTCGATTTTTTGTAATATCACAAATGTATACTATTATAATTGGTTACATTCAGCAGTACAATTACTTTGTTACCGATCAAAACTAAAGTGTTTGACCCAATTTTTATAGGTATCATTTTGCTAGTTTCTTCTAATAGGTTTCATTTTGAATAATTAGATCACCATTCTTCAACTTTCAGAAAGAAAAAAAAATATTGTTCTTACCCGATTAACTCTTTCATAAAACTATGGATTCTACAAAAAAGGTTTCAAGCTAGTAGCTACCTACTCTTGATGTAGATATTATATGAACTCGTTTAACAATTGACTTATAAAATTATTGAATAAACTATCATTTACAGACTGTAATCCATTCATTGAGAATACACAAAGCAAAACTACAATGTTTGACAGTGAAACATATCTCTTTCATAGGTTTGACCCAAAACATGGAATTATATTTTTTTAAGCATAAAATAGGGCGGAATTACTAATTTTCAATTTTCAAAAGAAGAAAAATACAGGGTAACCGCCCAGGAAAAAAATGTAATGCTATGTCCACCACTGACAACCTCAGGGGAATCCCCTAGAACGGGTGATATTTGTCAAATAGATGGGGCTTGGAAGGAGACAGAGAGTCGAGCTGGGCTAGGATGGTTTTATTTGAACATGAATACTCAGGAAAAGCTAATGGGAACTCGTAACTTGAGAAGGGGAATATCGCCCCTCCAAACGGAGTTGGAGGCACTTATTTGGGCCATGCATTGTATGCTGCGGCATAATAAATTGCTAACGCGATTTGAGACGGATTGCTCTGATGTGGTGAAGATGGTGTCTACGCCAGAGGAGTGGCCAGCGTTCGCAATACTTCTTGACGAGGTTGACCGGTGTAAACGGAGGTTTACCTCCTTCTCCATCGCGCACATACCTAGGAAAAACACGAAGGCAGACAAGTTAGCACGGAGTGCTCGAGCTCTACCTACTGATGTGTATTATGTAAACTCTGTTTCGCCAACTTGGATTCCCGAGCTGGTTTAGAAATAGAGGCTGTCGACACAAAAAAGAAGAAAAATACAAAAGATTAAAGAAACTAGGGCAACCTAAAAAAAGGGGACAAAGATGGATCACATAAAATGCAACTTGTTAATAATTTTAAAGAAAATGCATGATATAATACATTTTATTTAGCATTATTGGTCAAACATGTACTGTTTTGATTCATTAACATGTTGCTGACTTATTACCAAAAACGACTTTTTTTTTTTTTGCCAACCAATCAATAATGCTCGAGTCCGAGTGTAGGGACGTCGCCGTTACAACTAAACGGGCATATACAATAATGACATTTGCGATTAAACTACCTTTTACCAGTTCTAATGATATTAGACAATAATACAAACAAACTTTTTAATATCACTCTTCACTATTGGCGGCATATTAATTTTTGATCCATAGTTTTGGAGCCATTGAGATAGAAACCTAGAGGAATATTCGAAGTCCGAGTGTAGGGACGTCGCCGTTACAACTAAACGGGCATATACAATAATGACATTTGCGATTAAACTACCTTTTACCAGTTCTAATGATATTAGACAATAATACAAACAAACTTTTTAATATCACTCTTCACTATTGGCGGCATATTAATTTTTGATCCATAGTTTTGGAGCCATTGAGATAGAAACCTAGAGGAATATTCGATTAATTTTTTAAAAAGATATGACACTTGCAAGTTTTTGTGTTTGCTTAATGAGAACTTACATATGTTAGGTGGTAGAGATTCAGCCTCTCCCCACCACATCACTTCTAGTTTCATTACAACATATGATGAGCATCCTGAAAAACTTGACTATTAATCTTTTCAAAGTTCATCGACATCTTCTTCGAACAAATCCGAGGTCACTCATGAAAAAAAAAAAAAAAAACTGATTCTACTTTCGGATCAGAGTAAGGGAACAAATCACCAACAAATATCACACCATTGAACACGTCTTTTTGTGTTATGAATTTAAGATCAAAGCAAATGCAGTATCCCCATCCTGAATAGGGAGACCCGATCGAAACAAAATATGGACTATATACGACTTTTTGTGTTATGATCCAGGAGAGGTGCCTCTCCAAAGAGTGCATTCACAGGTCTTTACCACAATGCATTGCAAATCATGTGGTGTGCGACTAATTTTGTAATTTTCTTTCATTATAAATATAATGTACATATATGCAATGCATTAAGATAGATATAAGTATACATAATAAAGTTATTTAGTTTTACACCTAACCACTTTTATCTATATGAATTATTCAAAATTTGAATAGTACCAACCAGACAAATCAATAGACTGGACATCACACATTTTAGAAAGAAATGGAATGTGAAGAGACCCATCTTGTGTGGCAAAAGTGGACAAACTTGACACATACCTTGGAGCGTGTACGTGACCGTAAGAATGTAAAGTAGACATGCAAGTTGGCCAACTTGAGCTCGTCTTATTACAAAAAAGAAGTCCTTTCTCATGATGACATACCCCTTTCTCTATTTCACAGATGGATATTATTCTTACAATCGGGTGGCCCAAGCTTTTGTTTCTTCTATATTTAGTGGAGAAGATTGCTTTCCGATTACGACCTTAGACCGAAAACTTGAGCGGTTGGCTAAGTTCGAATCTAATTGTTGAAGTTCATGGATCCCTAAAGACCTCATCATCTTATAAATATATGGATTCATGTGTGTGTATCTCGATTGCGGCAGATAATTTAAGTAGAAGATGACAAATAATCAAGCGTATATCTTAACAAATTTAGATATTTCTATGTTACGTGCATACGTATAAATCAGTTTTATATTAGTGAACTACGATATTATTACGGAGTGACTTATGGTGTGTGCTGTCTCGCTATTCACGACCTCATAACTCAAAGTTTAATAATTCTAATATAACTATTTAATCTGCTATCTACGTAACTATGATTCCACATTACTAAATTATGCACAATTGGGGTTTATATATATAATTCGCATGCCTTTTTAAGTTTTAATATTAGGTTGACTGTCAACTATGTGTGAAATAAGTTGGTCCGACCCACTTGACTAATTAGCTCATAATATCATTATCATTTTGGTTACCAAACTCGGTGATAAAAGTAAAAGAAAAGATATATAGTCCAATGAAGTAAAGTGGAGCTGAATTAATTTAGTTTTTAGAAAGACTATTGGTAAGAAATTAGTTCCTTGGCATCTCAAATGAAACCGATTGATGGATAATATACAAGATGACTAAAATGACGTGGAAGAACCATGAAAATAAGAATTTCAAAATACATAAACTTAAATTAAATTGACGGAATCCAAGGGATAACTAAGTATATATAAAAGAATAGTAACAACTATAATATTCTCAAATATATGGCATAATCTGCTGCAAAAATCGTTGAAGATCGATCTGTACTCGGCTTATCTCCATTATTTCCCATAAGTCCAGTATGTTCTTAGAGGCACAACAATTTAACGTGTTAGATTACAAATTTAAAACCCACCAACTTCATAACAAATAAATCTCTATAAGATGTAAAGAAGGGGGGCCAAAATTAATGTCAATACTTTCGTATTAATGTCTTTAATTCCTTCATAACCCTACGAAATTGAAGCCCTTTTTTCCTTTTGCGTCCAAAGTTATATCATTGATGAAGTTTTTGCTGAGTATATAGACTACCCTTTTATTCACCCTACGCTTTAAGTGGTTAGCAGTTAGAGCCGGCCAGATAGATTCCAACTCTAATGTATACGTTTTAACAGAAACAAAAAAAATAAACAATTCTAATATACGTCTTAGAGAAGCAAGACTTATGTTTATCGTCATAATTCAAGATTAACTATTGGGTTTAAAGGGTATTAAGGCAGCGATTATCGGCTCTTTACCTAGAAGTACATCGTCCGATATAATTAAACAATGTTTGTTGAGGCATGTTCCCAATTAATTACATACATATTACACGAATCATGGTAAGAATGAGAGTAGAACTAAGAATGCGAGATCAGGCTTTCCGGCCTGAAAAACTTCAAAATTTGAATTTATTGTTTTCTTTTACTAGGACTTATGTTCCTCTTTGATTGGTTTCAGATGTAGGAATCACTTTTGAATAGTAGTATACAGTAGAAACTCTATAAAATAATAAAGTTGGGACTTTAATATTTTATTAATTTATAGAGTTATTAAATTATCGATCTTGAATAAAATAGCTGTTTTATTTAAAAAAGTAATTAAAATAAATATCAAATAAAATAAAAATATGTAATTTTAAAAGTTTTTTCATATTTTGTATAGATTCATTCTAAATTTAGGGATGAATTCTAAATATATTTGAGTTTTAGTGGAAAAGAAATGAAAACTATACTTATATATTAGTATATTATCATAGATATGTATTTACATAAAATTATTTATGGTAATTATTAATTTATGATATTAATGGGATCATATATTTACATAGGAGTTTCAAAAATATTATTATCTTATTATTCTATCGAATTTTGCTAATTTTTACACATACCCGACTTGGGACCGGAGAAAATTATTATTTTATAGAGTTTATTAGTTTATCGAATATCAATTTATAGAGTTTCTACTGTATAAAGAAGAATGTTTGTTGTAAAAATAAAAGTTGTCCAATGCTAGAGACTGGTTACCTATGCAGTAACTTAAAAAAAAACAAAAAATATTGCATGTTACAAATGAGGATAGGTTATAGAATCAGTCAAAGTGTACATTTCTGTGAAACACAACATTTTTATGAGAAGTTCTATAATCAGCAACCTGCAACATCTAACCCTACTATTATGACAAGGATTCCTTATCCGGAAAACCAGTATAGCATCATAGTTAATACAGTTTTTAGGGGTCTAATGGAGTTGGTGTGATCATTTAATAAAATTGGGGTATCTCACAATAACTCGGTTATTTATTGCCCCCGCTGTCCTAATTAAACATTTGCAACTCACCCCAAAAGCATAATCTTTTGTGTTTCTCTTCCAAAAAATTCTGAAGTGATGGAGATGAACATGTTGCTTTTTGCGGTGGAATGGGTATACACTAACCTGAAGTTATCGGACGTGGCTTTAGCTCTAGTAGGGCTTTTTCTTCTTAGTTACTTGCGCGAGAAGCTACTAAGCAAAGGAGGGCCAGTGATGTGGCCAGTGCTGGGAATCACACCGATGTTAGCCCTAAACAAAGACGATTTGTTTGGTTGGTGCACCAGAGGCCTGGTCAGAGCGGGTGGGACTTTCCCTTACAGAGGAGTTTGGTTCGGTGGGTCTTATGGTATCATGACCGCAAATCCTGCAAACGTCGAACACATTGTCAAAACCAATTTCAAAAACTACCCAAAGGGTAAGTTTTATAGACAGAGCTTTCGTGATCTTCTTGAGGATGGGATCTTTAACGCTGATGATGAGCTTTGGAAGGAAGAGAGACGTGTGGCTAAAACAGAGATGAATACTTCTCGTTTCTTGGAGCACACGTTTACTACAATGAGAGACCTGGTGGACCAGAAGCTGGTGAAGCTGATGGAGAAGATGGCTAAGTCTAAGAGAGTCTTTGATCTACAAGACGTGCTCCTGCGTTTCACCTTCGACAACATCTGTATCTCTGCCTTTGGGGTTGATCCGGGTTCGTTAGAGATCGATCTACCAGAGATTCCTTTCGCTAAGGCTTTTGAGGAAGCTACAGAGTACTCACTCGTAAGGTTTCTGACGCCTACTTTTGTGTGGAAACCGATGAGGTTTCTAGGGATTGGTTACGAGAGAAAACTGAAGAAAGCGATTAGAATCGTTCACGCGTTTGCGAATAAGACAGTGAGAGAGAGGAGGAACAAGATGAGGAAACTCGGGAACTTGAACGATTACTCTGATCTCTTGTCACGCCTTATGCAAAGAGAGTACGAGAAAGAAGAAGATACCACCAGAGGGAACTACTTTTCAGACAAGTACTTCAGAGAGTTCTGCACAAGTTTCATTATCGCTGGTCGAGACACCACATCGGTGGCCCTTGTCTGGTTCTTCTGGCTAGTTCAGAAACATCCCGAAGTCGAGAAGAGAATCCTAACCGAAATCAGAGAGATTCGTGGGAAACGTACAGCGCAAGAAACCACAGACTGGTTCGAGGCAGAAGAGCTTAGGGAAATGGTTTATCTTCAAGCTGCTTTGACAGAGTCACTGAGGCTTTACCCTTCGGTGCCAATGGAGATGAAACAAGCTTTACAAGACGATGTGTTACCCGATGGGACGAGGATCAAGAAAGGTGCTAGGGTTCACTACTCCATTTTCTCGATGGGGAGGATAGAGTCGATTTGGGGTAAAGATTGGGAATATTTCAAACCAGAGAGATGGATCAAAGAAGGAAGAGTTGTGAGTGGAGATCAGTTCAAGTACGTTGTGTTCAACGCAGGTCCAAGGCTTTGTGTTGGGAAGAAGTTTGCTTATACACAGATGAAAATGGTGGCTGCAACAATCTTGATGAGGTATTCAATCAAAGTCGTTGAAGGACAAGAGATTGTTCCCAAGCTCACCACCACGTTGTACATGAAGAACGGTCTTCTTGTTACCCTCCAGCCCCGCAACTGTTAAGGTCGTTCAAGCTAAGGCCTTGGCACTCGATTTGAAAAATATATGGGTTCCGTTTAGGCTAAGAATAAAAAAAGATTAAAAATCTCAAGAAATAAGTGAGTTTAATTAATACATTGTTATATAACTTCAGTATTCAAATGTGCTGTGATCTATAATATTTGTACTAAGGTTTCGGTATAAAAATGATGTAATGCTACTGTTTGCTGTTTGGTTGAGAAATTGCCGGTTTGGATTTTAGATCATGCAATGGACACGCTATCATGAAAATAATCTCTTGTTTATTAAAAGAAAATAAAAAAATCTCTAAAGCTTATTGAGAAAATAAAATAAAATCAATGTACAGAAAGAATAAATGGAAAAAAAACACTAAAAATCTTGTTTCCTTGGAGATAGAAACAATGGTGGATGCTCAGTTGAAAGAGAATCATCATTCTTAGTAGAGCTTGATACGAGTTGCGATTGAGCAGCGGCAAATAGGACAGACTTGAATGGCTTCTCCACAATCTTGGCAAGTCTGGTGTCCACAGCTAAATGCCATGTTCTTTGTATTAACCAGACAGACCGGACAAGCCTCGCTCTCGTTACTACCAGTTGAGCAAGGCGGTGCCGTGGCAACACTGCTTGACCAAGAACTTTTCGAGCTGTTGCTGCTTAAATATCGATGCATACCACTTACTGGTGGTGGACGAGCAATCTTGTTTGGACAATTTCCAGCTCTCCGTCTTTAAAATTTGAAAACAAATAAAGCATTAACATTTGGTTGGTTATATTATACAAACAGTTAAATAGTGATATGACCTCAGTAAAAATCAAGAAATTTATTTACCCGAGTAAGCCGAGCTCGAGAGTAGCCTTATACTGAGCCGGGATCTCCATCAAAGCGGATAGTGCAAACTCAGCTTCTTTTCTTGCAGGATCAATGTTCTTCCACATAATCTCCGTAAAATTAACAAACTGTTTTGATTGAAATTTGGAAAAAGAAGTTGTCAAGTACTTGTAGGTGATGATGATCACAAATGCTTCAGTGGAGTCATTACATTACCTGGAAATTGTCAAAGGCACGAGCGGGGATGTTGTCATCAAACTGTCTCATTGTATCCCAAGGACCATCTCCAACACCAACAAGAACTATCGATAACGGATATCGACTGCACCATAATTAGAATTAGTTAGGTCATTATTTTTCATCTAAATTTTTGTGACTAAACCTAAGTAAGAAATATATTTACCTTGCTCTAACAATGGCATCAATGGTTTTTCGTTCTTGTGAACTGAGGCCACCGTGCTGTGTATCAACACTTCTTGTAACCTTACAAACATAATAATAATAAACTAATTATTAACCTCAGGTGATAAATGATAGTAGGAAAAAAAAAAACCAAAAAACTTTTAATTATATAGATTTACCTGTCCATCAGCAATGATGAGAAGAACATGGTACTGCCCTCCACTTTCTTCCACAATCGTCATGGCCCTTTCGATAATGGGTGCGAAAGAAGTTGGTCCTGTAACATACAAGAGATCAAAGATCATGTAAGACAAGAAACACACAAGAGGAACAAAATGAGGATTTTCTCAAATTATGATCTCAACCTGCAAGACGAAGCTGTGGAACAATCTCTCTGTAGCGCGTAAGAACGTCTTCAAACCCGTTACAGAATGTATCATCCGGATAGAAACTGAAGACATCCTGATCATGTGTTGTAGCTGCAAGAATCAAGAAAATCAGACACCCAAAACGTCTACAAAATAAAGAAAAAAAACATAACAAAAAAGTATTAACGCTAATTACCATCTCCGAATCCATAACAAGGGATCAAGTTATCCTCATCAAAAGAGGACAAAGTCTTTCCGATGATGGAAATCGCTTGCTCGTACGGGTTTGGAGTTGGTCCAATGTCATGTAAGCTTTTCCTGTTGAATGATCTCTCTCCTGTCCACTCGTTGCTCTTTGTGACATCAATACCAACAATCAGATTCGATGACTCCAAACCGGCTTGCGAAAGAGCTGCCGTAACCTATAAGTAATAAACCGGACATTCCAGAAAAGAAAACATCAACAATTAAAGTACTCTCAAGAGTTAAGAATCACTTCATTAGGGTAACAAAAGTAGTTATGGAACGAAACTGACCTCATCAATGGAACGATAGTCATCGCGGATGAGCGAATACTTATTGCCTTGTTTCTTCTGTGGCTGTGAAGACGTTTGAAATCCATAATTGTTAGAGGAAACAGGAGCCGCAGAGGAATGTTGTGGCGCGTAGTAATTCTGCTGAGGATTCTGTACCAAAGTAGAAGACGAACTGCGACTGTTGCTTCTGCTTGAGCGTTTCGAACTGCTACTTCCCATCAGTGACTTAAAACTAAACCCAGAGCTATGGAGAACAAAGTCTAGGTCAAATTTTTTGCTGGAGAATTATCGATCTGTAAGTTACGATATTGTTGAATCAGTAGAGATCTTATTGGTTATATCAATTAAAACCATAACAAAAAAAAAAAAACTCGTGAAGAATATCGCTTTCGAAGACTGAAGCATCGCCGTTAAAGAACAAGAAAACAACAAGAAAATTCCAACTGGGATCATAGAAAAAAAGGAAAATCTGCTATGAGGTTTTACCTAGAATTGATTCTCTCTGCGTACGCTGAATCTGCCGAAGGATTCTTGTGAAGTAAATTTTTTAGTTTTTTTTATATATACGACTCCAAATTGTAGTTTTTTTAGTCTTTTTGCAATTTGGATTTGGATAGAGAATGGATTTATTTTCTCTTCTTTAATTTTGTAATTAAATACAAAAATTAACTCCGAGTAAATCCTCGGTCAACTATATTTTCGGGAATGATTATCAGTTACTGACCTAACCAAATCTTCTTACGTGAGATCTTAATTATCTATTTATTACCCGCGTATACGCGAGTTTATTTTTTATTTTTATTTTATTTTTTAAATCACGGAAGAATATTAAACAAAATTTGATCAATTTTAAAAATAAGAAAATAATATTAAAAACCCGATAACAAATCTCTAAATAAAGATATGTAGTCTTTTACATTTTTATTTTGAATTCATGATATGAAATAGAAAGATTTACATGTGTCTAAATCTAATCGACTCATTATTTTATGAAACTTTGATTATTCCATGATGAAATCTTTATTTTTAATATTTTTTTACCTAACAAAACATGGAAAATTAAACTATTTAATATTAGAAGATCAGTCATTATAAAATTTTCTTTTTTAATATTATTTAGTTCCTTAATAATTATTTTGTTAGTTTTCTATTTATATTGTTTCTTTTTCAATTTCGTTTTTGCCTCTGACCATTATAAATTTTCATTTTCATTATTAGTTAGTTGTTTTAATATTATTTTGTTAGTTTATTTATTTATGTTACTACATTTTTCCAATTTTCTTGTGTTGACACTTGACACATGTCATCACTTTATCAAATACTAGGGATTGACCTGTGCCTAGCACAGGGTAATGTTCTTTATAAAAATGTTATTTTACTGATGTTTTTTATAAAAATTGGTTTGCAAAGACCTTATATAGCAATTGGAGTAGGTTTGAGGGTTTAAAAGTGTTTCACACAACATTAATTGCAGTGTATCATTTTTCTTATCACGAATTTTAAGTGATTGACATAGTGATTGACACCAATCGAAATCACTAATTATGCGGTTTACCAATCAAGAGTAAAATCATATTTATACGAAATTTAGAATTTGGAAACTTGAATTAACTTTTTACCATAAATTTATATTTGAAACAAAATTTCCAATGCTCACGGTCAAACATGTGTATAACATATCACTAATAATTATTAATTAATATATTTCCATATATGTATTTTGTAATCGATAAATTACAATTACTACTTCGTGATATTGAATCCGATTATACATTTACATTTGGTAAGTGAAAGTTATTAGTCCATAATTTACTAAAAAAATTAAACAGTCGAATAACTTTTAAAATATGAGATATTTCTTTCATGTATATTGATCACATCTCAGCCATTATAATCGCTGGAATATTTGCAATAGTATAATTCCGGACATGAATTATATACACGAAGGACATGGACTATATAGGCGAAGCAATGGAAAACTTCTATGTTACATGTAGAATTGGACTAAATAAAATGTGCTATGATTGAAAAACAAATATCTGCACTTATATTGAAAAGATTTTATAAACGTGGTTCTTATAAATATCTATATACATGTATATTGAAAACTATTTATAACCTAGGGTTGTTATAAAATATTTGTATATATGTATATTGCAAATTGGTTATAAAAGTAGTTCTTATAATAACCGATTTTTCTTGGTTATAAAAGTTTACCAATTTATATATTAGGGATGTATATACCAATTGATTAAAATGCAGTCCATAAACCAAAGATGCAAGGTTAGATTCCATGAGTCATAGTTAATAGGAACATAGTTAAGTGAGAATTTTATTATTTGGTTGGAAGCATAAAATGTAATGGCACAATTTGTAATTTCTCTAATAAAGGTTGTCTTAATTAGAAAATGGGTTGAGAGTGAACCTGGTGATGACACATCAGCAATGGCAATCTTGTTAATAACACAGTGGACAAAGGTTATTTAGTTAGTGTTTTCTTTTTTAATATATTAGGGATTAGACACATGTATCGATCTAAAGTTAAATATTCTTCATTGATATCTTTAACGTTTAAAGACATGAATTTTATTTATTAATGAGAGAAACTTAAAAAATATAGCTTGTTATATATATATATATTTTTTTTTTCATTTTCGTAATGGGAATATATTTTTTTTTCCTTTTCTTAATATTAGTTAGTTGCTTGATAATTAATTTGTTAGTTTTCTATTTATATTGTTTCTTTCTCAATTTTGTTTTTGACTCAGACCATTATAAATTTTCATTTTCATTATTAGTTAGTTTTTTTTATTATCATTATTTTATTACACATATCGCAATTTTGTGAGTTATAAAAATCATACGTATTGCTATCATGTTGTTTGCTTTGATGAGTTTGTGAATGAGAAAAAAAAGACTACTTTAACTCTCTTTTTATAGGGGTTCATGTAACTTATTCCATGCAGTTATAGGAAATTTAGTTTACCTAACCTATTTCATGTACTAATAGGATTTTATTTATTTCATTAATTTGAATCTTATATGTGTTTGGATAATATAAATTTGATGAATGAGAAACCTTTTTCTATTAGGATATGACAAATATTTTTTTTTTCTTTTAACTATAAAAGATTAACTAAACCTAACCTATTTCATGTACTAATAGGATTTTATTTATTTCATTAATTTGAATCTTATATGTGTTTGGATAATATAAATTTGATGAATGAGAAACCTTTTTCTATTAGGATATGACAAAATATTTTTTTTTTTCTTTTAACTATAAAAGATTAAAATTTCGTTTTTTTTCCTTTATCTAATTTTTTTAATTATTATTTTTTCTTTTTTTTTCTAAGACACATGTCACGATCTTAACGGACATAACATTAAAAGTGACACATGTCGCAATCCTAAATTTTATAAAAATCCTACGTGTCGCAACCACGTCGCGCGCATCCAGCTTTATATAATAAGATTTGTTAGTGTACTAAAATCCGAGTAAACTTATCATCTAAAAGCAGTGTTTTTAATACCTGACCGGTGACCGAACCGAAAATGTTTTGGGACTTGAGTCATGGGTTAATATGGTTCGACCGGGTTCGAACTGGTTCGATGATTTTAAAAAATAATATATATAATTTTATAATTTTATATATGAATATATCTATGATATTTAAACAGTATAGAAATATATATAAATTTTAAATATCAAATAAATTATTTAAAATTCATAATATTTGAAAATATTATTTAACAAAACATTCTGAAAAAGTTAAAATTATCAAATAAAATAGAAAATTTATTGTTTAATTAGAAAACCGGGTTGAATACAGTTCAATTGGTCACCGTTTTTGATTTTTTGTTGGTCGAACCCGGATTTTTAATCGGTCTAACTATCTATGGGTTTTAGTAGTAACTCAACCCGGAGATGCTTCCGATTCATGGTTGAACCCGTCCGACCACCGGCTCGGTCCAGGTTTAAAAACACTGTCTAAAAGTTAGAAGATATGTTTTTTTTTTGGTAAGTGATGTGAGAGACAAATCTCCCACCTTTTATTCATAAGCAAATAAAGAAAAACTAGTCAACAATAACATCTCTCGGACACTCATATACTAATACATCGTCCTGTAAGATTGAATCAACACTATCAGGAACCAAAGGCAGATCATGGAAACCCATTTGAAAAGTAAAGGCATAGTTTGCTAATCCATCAGCTAGACGATTAATACGGACTGTCCAGTCCTTTGTGATAAAGCCATGGCACAGCCGTACCAGGAAAGATAGCGGGTGCGCCTCACCAATCCCATTCTTGAGAAAGCCGACCACCAGCTCCGAATCAACTTCAACTTCAAGTCGCGGAACCTGTTTCTCCCAGGCAATATAAAGACCATAGTAAACGCCCCACAGTTCCGCCAAAGGTGCGGAGCATATTCCTATATTCAGAGCAAAGCCACCACACCAGTCACCAACAGCATTTCGAAGAACCCCTCCTGCCGCAGCTAAGCCCGGGTTCCCTCGCGACGCTCCGTCCGTGTTCAGTATCAAATAAATTATTTAAAATTCATAATATTTGAAAATATTCTTTAACAAAACATTCTGAAAAGGTTAAAATTATCAAATAAAATAGAAAATTTATGTTTAATTAGAAAACCCAATTGAATACGGTTCAATTGGTCACTAGTTTTTGATATTTTGTTGGTCGAACCTGAGTTTTTAATCGGTCTAACTATCTATGGGTTTTAGTAACTCAACCCGGAGATGCTTCCGATTCATGGTTGAACCCGGTCCGACCATCGGGTTGGTCCAGGTTTAAAAACACTGTCTAAAAGTTAGAAGATATGTTTACGAGGTAGATGATATATTGACGATTTGTTTGTTTTTTTTTTGTAGAAACCAATGTTTTTAAAATCGGACCGGTGACTGAACCGGAAATATTTTGAGTAATGAGTCAATATAGGTTGACCCGATTCGACCTGGTTCAATAATATTTTCAGAATAATATTTATAATTAAATAATATTTTCAGAATAATATTTTGTAACTATACGTGAAAGTGGAACTTCTTAATTATTCTCCTCCATCATCGAATACACTTCAAAAAAGTTAATAAAAAACAAAGAATGAAACAAAAGCCAACTAAGTTGATAAGTGAAATTAAATCGAATCCAATAAACTAAGTGGAGGTGGTTTGCTTAGAGAATTAGTAGATCTATATGCTCTAATATAATTATACTTCTGCAATTACTTTAATACGAATGTGATGTGTTACCTTATCATTATACTTCTGCAATTACTTTATTACGAACGTGATGTGTTACCTTGACTTTGAATTATCCAGCGGCGGCCAGAGGCTGTAAGTTGCAGAGAAGGCTTAACAGCAAATAGAAACAAATACCTACCATAATTAATGCCAATTCATTTCTTAAGGAAAGTGAGTTTTTTTTTTTTTTTTTCAACTCCGGTTTCATACGGTTTTTGGGTTCATCGGTTTCCGGTTTTTTCCTGGTTGGACTCGGTTCGCTAGCCGCCGGGTCAACTACCCACGGATTTTTTGTGACCCAAATCAAAAATAGATTCGGTTCACGGTTGAACCCGGTCCGACCACCGGTCCGGACCAGTGTTTGATAAAAACGTGTAAATTACAAAGTTTTTTTTAACATAATATTTCTTTATATCACTACATTCAGGCCCGGCTCAATATTTTGCTGGACCTAAGGCAAAACAAAAAAATTTGGGCCTTTTAACATAAGTATTTTTTAACAATAAATATATTTGAGCTTTTTTATATAAGAATTTTCAAAAATTAAATATATTTGGTCCTTTTTTCCTAGCTAAATACTGAAAAAATAAAGTGGACCCATGGCCTTCCGTCGCCCTTAGAGCCGGGGATGACTGCATTTGAAATAGTTAACTTTGAAATAGGTGGGCCTACCAAATATTTTAACTAACCCAAAGGTCCGGAACCTGAAATTGATTTGTTTTGTAACTTTGTTGCTTTCATCTGTTGCCATCGAATTTGAAGTTTCTCCGTCGTAGAAAATCACGGTTTGTTTCATTTACATTGACATATCGCTGTCGGAAACCTCCATTATCTGGTCACAGGCAGCCGTTACAGACGGATTCAATTCGTCAGTAATTTCCAACCAATTTGCGAGAACCTTTTCTTTCCAACCAATTTGCGAGAGACCCTTTTTCCAACGGATTTACGAGAGATCCTTTTGTTCCAACCGATTTCCAATGACAAACATGCCGTTGGTTGTGCGTCGGGAAACCGTCTGAACAAGTAAATGAGAGAATTCCGACAATATATGTCATCGGTTGGTTCCCCAGAGATTACCATCCGTCTTCGTAGTGATGGATTCCCGAGGAGTTTATTTCCCAACGGATTTGCAAGGCATCATTTACTGACGGATTAACAAGAGATTGTTTCCCAACGGATTTTACACCGAATATACTTTTGACTGAATTAGATGGTTTTCCGATGAACATTGATTTAAAAAAAAAAAAATAGAAAACCAATATATCCGAATTCAAAAGTATATTAATAGATTACGAAACCACCAAGGATCAAATTACTGGATATGTCCCAGTTCTAAGTCTTATTTCAAGTACAATTTGGAAACCAATATATCCGAATTCATAACTAGAGAAAACACCAAATTGTAAGGCCTCTACAAAGAGTAAGGTCTCTAACATGGATGCATTTATGCGAAGTAATTGGCCGGATATGCCCCAGTTCTAAGTCTTTTTTCAAGTACAATTTGGTGTTTTCAAAAGCATAGTCATACATAACTAGAGAAAACACTAAATTGTACTTGAAAAAAGACTTAGAACTGGGGCATATCCGGCCAATTACTTCGCATAAATGCATCCATGTTAGAGACCTTACTCTTTGTAGAGGTGAGTTCCTCTTGAATACTAGATAGCCACTCTTCAGTTTCTGCTTTGGAAGCTTCCAAAGCAGCTACCTTTTCTTTGAGCTCATCGTTCTGCTGAAGGAGGTCGTCGTTGTAGTCAGAAAAAAAAGATGTTGCAGGATCCGTGTCTGCAATGTTACCCAATCCTGGACGGCAACCTTTTCGGAGAGGAACTACCTGCAAAATGAAACAAGTAAAATTAAGTTAACAGAGTTAGACATAGACCAAAACGAAAACAGAAAGTGAGAAGACAATCTGAAACACAAAACATAACAGAAACAAGAAGACAAATGGAGAACAAGGAAAGCAGAAACGAAAATCAGACAAATGAAGACAAACAAGAAAAGATAACAGCTATACCGTAATGGAGAACAAGGAAACCAGAAACGAAAATCAATCTACAAATCACAAACACAAATCCTTAATGGAAGAAGACAAAATAAAAAAATTACCTTGATAACAAGATTGTTGATTTGAGCTCGAGACAAATCTTCCACAGAGGAGTCCGCTTGAGACAGCTGAGTAAGAAGGTCCACCTTATTCACCTTGACCTTCTCCACAATCACCTTAACCTTCTCCACAATCACCGGTGTTGGTTCCTCTAATCTAACCGATCTACCACCTAATATTAATATATCCGAAGTGCTACCATAATTTTGAACCATTAAATCGGTTTCTCCATGAGAATACCAAACCTTATAACCATGCATAAATCCGTATCTACACAAATGGTTCACTAATCTATGATTCCGACATCTAACACAAGGACAATACATTTTACCGTATTCAGAAGTCATGATGTTGTTTGATGCCAACGCCATAAACTCTTCAATGCCATGTGCATACTCATCCGTCAATTCACCGGTTGTCGGACTATATTGCGGTTTATCCATCCAAGAACGAAAATAATTATAAGGATTTGAAGTACTTATTTTGTTTTCTTTACTCTTCCATTGTGAATGATGATGAAATGATATTTATAATGGTTTTCTTGCGACAACCAACGGTTTTCCGACGGATTCCCAATGGTTCTGAAAATTAAAAACGGCTACTTCAAACGGTAACACAACGGCTATATTTACCTCGGGAAAAGATGGTAAGTTGTTGGTAAATATATCCGTGGGAAATCCAAAGGGAGTTCTCCACGGATTCCTGACGGATGTTTCAAATCGTTAATTCCATTGATTGAAATTCCCTGGTCGGCAATTGCCGAAAATTAAGTTTTCTTGGGTAACCGATTGGTAATTCCCAACGGAGTTTCCGACGAGTCGTTTTCCGTTCGTAAAACATTGTAAATCTGACATGAATTTCTGATGGAGAACATGTCGTCGCAAATTCGGTTGGAAAAGCCATTGTTTCCTTGTAGTGGTCCAATATACGTTTGTGTAAACATCTTCTATGGAAAGGCGGTTTAAAAGGAATATCATTACTTCGGGCACCACAGCTACAAGGATGGTGAAAGCACGGTTTATGTGTTATTCGATAAGAAAGAAAAAGGCAAAACAGTGGTCGTAAGTGGAGCTATGACCAGGCCTCTGGTGCACCAACCAAACAAATCGTCTTTGTTTAGGGCTAAGCACTGGCCACATCACTGGCCCTCCTTTGCTTAGTATCTTCTCGCGCAAGTAACTAAGAAGAAAAAGCCACGTCCGATAACTTCAGGTTAGTGTATACCCACTTTCAAAGATGTAGTAACAAAAGTTCAAAACTTTTAGATAATCTGATTCTTGGCTCAATCATATGAAATTACATGACAGAGTGATTTTTCGGAGGTGGAACCAAACAGGGCGAATTCCAGAATCTAAACCGTTCAAGAACTTATACTAATGAACCAAAAGCCGATTAATTTATCAAGGAGAAATTCTAAGATTAACAACTTCGAATAATCTAGTTATGCAACCAGAAACGAGATTTAACATTCAAAACGAAAATTAGGCTACCCAAAAATTCTCAATGCGCTACACAAGTGGAGTATAAGAAAACGTTCATAGAGATCGAACCTAGGGCTTTCTGTCTTCGGTTTCGAATCTATGGGATACCGAGAGAGTCGAGAGAGAAAGCTAAGATGTATGTACAGTTTTGAGAATCTGCGTGATTGATGTAAAGGCCAAGATGTATGTACAATTGTAATATGGGGGCTCCTACTTTTAAATCTACTCTTATTTACCCTGTTAATTTTAATGTCCTTGTGGACAAAATTATCAAAATATATCCGTTGAAATCTGTCATTAACTTAACTTGTAATCCGTCACGCGCACACGTGCGCTTTTGTTTAATCATGTAATTTATCTTCTTCTTCAAAGTTCAAACTACGGATAAAAAAAAATCAAAAACTCGAAGATCATTCTCTCTCTCTATGCGTTATCTTCTCTCGAGGATCTGATTCTTCTTCTTCGTCCTCCATCTTCTCAAATCGGAAAAAATCTCCCAATTCGCTAATCAATGGCCGTAATTCTCAGTTCAGATCCGCTCTCTCGGATCCACCCCGAGCCCCAAACCCTAGAAATCGACCACTTCGATTACCTCCCCGACTCAGTCCTCCTACTCGTTTTCAACAAGATCGGCGATGTCAAGGCCCTTGGTCGTTGCTGCGTTGTTTCCAAGAGGTTCCACTTCCTCGTGCGCGTCGATTGCATCATCTCCCCGAGGACGAATCCTCCTCCCTCTCTTCCGATAAGCCTCGACCTGCCGCCGCCGGTCCCTTCTCCGCCATATTCCGTCTCGTTACAAACTCTGGGACAGTTCCTCGGCACGAAGCGGTCGTCTGGCTCTTCTGGATCGTCGTCTTCTTCTTCGTCATCGAACAAGGCGGCGTCACTCACGAAAGCTTCTGCTTTGTTTGCTCACTTTGTGATGGATCAGGATCCTGTTCTGGTATCAAGATCCACAGTCTTTGAAGGAAGATGTTTCCAGAATCTTGAAAGATGTGGTGGAATGGCGCGATATCGTCATCTGCTTAGCGGTTTTTGCTTACGTGAGTTCCATTTAACCTTATGCCGTCTCAAAATCAGATGCATTTTCAGTCTTTGAGTTTCTTGCCGGTTTGATCTCTGCAATAGTTGACATCATTTCAAGACCTGTTGCCATTCTCTGATGCATACTTTCTTTTCCAGTTGTCAGCTTCTGAGAATCTTGGCTGCTCCTCTCATCAACGACGAGATACTATTTGCAAGCCTACTCCAATAAACTTTCAAGCATTAGATGACAAATTCGAATGGTAAGATTACATGAAACTAAAACTTGATTCCCACATGTTTGATCTATGCATATACATGTCCGTGTGTGTGGTTTTTGAATGATGTTGTTGTATCTTCTTTCAGGGCTTTGGCTTTTAACTTCCCGGATTGGTTTTATTTTGCTCTTCTCACAAGTGGAAGGTCTTTCCATTGCTGCGGCAACATATCTTGCTTGGATTCTTAACCCTGTAAGTGGAGCCATCCAATTATCACTAACTCAGTCTCTCTTTAGAGTCTCAGAGTTATGTACCAGCAAAAGTTGTATTATTTGTGGACATTTCTTAGCAAAACAGTTTTCGAACTTATTCTGTTCATGGAATATGTGTAATTAATTGTCACCAACTCTTTTAGCCAACTTATTTGGCTGTTTCCATATGTGCAGGGGAAGGAATTCAAATGCCTACTTGGATGGAGATTCAGCTAAAATCAGGGGTTTGCAATAAAACCATACGATCAGTTCTCATCGGTTACATGAACGGCAGAAAACAGGTTAGCTCTTTTACTCGTTATTTTTTGGTCTTGTGTTCTTGTTCTAACAACAAAGGTCCTCTTTTTATAAAACTCAAAGCCTTTTCGCTTTAGTTCTGCTTTCATCAAGATTTTCAAAGCATTTACGCTTTGGTTTTGGTTTTATCAAAGTTTTAAACCCAAAAGATCATTGGCAGACACTAATCTAATAGTGTTTTGTCAGAATCTTGTTTGGGAACAATGTCCCGTTTGATTGGTTGGTAGTGCATGTCTAAGGAAAGGGAAAGTCAGGGGATGGAAAATAAAACACAGAGCTTGAAAGTCTTTTCGAGAAAGACTATGGGTTTTGCTGCCTTGGTTGGAAGGGAAACATGACCGATGGCTTAAAGTTTAAGGACTATAAACTGTTACATACCCACGGCTTGAGAAAAGTAGTGAATCCATTACATACCCTCGGCTTAAAAGTCTTTAGACAAAAGACTTAACGGATTCAGTACTTTACTACTACCCACAGCTTGAGAAAAGTAGTGAATCACGGCTTATAAAAGTCTTAAGACAAAGACTGAACGGATTCACTACTTTATTACACCCACGGCTTATAATAGTCTTAAGACTATAAAAACAGAGAATGTCCCGTTTGATTGGTGGGTAGTGCATGCACAAAGGATGGTAAGGAATGAAAAATAAATCTATGGGTTGGTTGGTAGTGCATGCTTGAATGTCTTTAGCGAAAGACTATGAGTTGGACTTGTTGGATGGGAATTATGACCGATGGCTTAGAGAGTCTGAGGACTATAAAAAAAGGTGTGACGTGTTACTTGAACCCACGGCTTGAGAAAAGTAGTGAATCCGTTAGTACCCACGGCTTATAAAAGTCTTTAGACAAAGACTTAACGGATTCACTACTTTACTACTACCCACGGCTTATAAAAAGTCTTTAAGAAAAACTCTTAAGGCAAAGACTTTTACTTGAAAAGGGGTTCTTTGCTTTACTTGTACCCACGGCTGATAACAAAGTCGAAAGGCAAAGACCCTTTACTTGTACCCACGGCTTAAGAAAAGGCAAAGTCTAGAGACATAGACTATAAACCAAAAAAGTAAGTCTTAAACATGACCACAAGGCTTACATAAGTCTTGAAAACAGAGACTATAAACAAGGGAAAAGCCATCAGACAACAAACGATCAATGGCTGGAAAGTCTGTAAAGACGGAGACTATGGGTTGTTGGATGGAAAAAATGACCCAATGCTTAAAGAAGTCTTAAGCTAGTACCCACGGCTTGAAAAAAGTCTTTAGAAAAAGACTGGATCGGTTTTTGGATTTGCTGGATCCATCAGTCTAGACATAGACTATGAACCAAAACAGATTCCTTAAACAAGGCTGAAAAACAGAAACACAAGGATTAAAAGAGGAGAGCCATTAGACAACAAACGATCAAAGGCTAGAAATGTTTCGAAAAGACAGACTATGGGAAGAGATTCTCGATGGAAAAATGAACAAATGCTTAAAGAAGTCTTAAGCATGGCTTATACAAGTCTTAAGGCAAAGAACTGAAAAGGATTCTTAGCTTTACTATTACCCACGGCTTAGAAAGAGTCTTAGGGAAAAGACTGTGAATAGAGAAAAGTTCTTTAAGAGAATGACTTGGAGAATGAGTCTTAGTAACCCATGGCTTAAAAAGAGTAATAGTCTTAAGACAAAGACTTGGAAAAAATTACTCACTTTACCCACGGCTTACAAAAGAGTTAAAGACAAAGACTTGGAGAATGAGTCTTAGTAACCCACGGCTTAAAAAGAGTAATAGTCTTAAGACAAAGACTTGGACAAGATTACTCACTTTACCCACGGCTTACAAAAGAGTTAAGACAAAGACTTGGACAATGAGTCTTAGTAACCCACAGCTTAAAAAGAGTAATAGTCTTAAGACAAAGACTTGGACAAGATTACTCACTTTACCCACGGCTTACAAAAGAGTTAAGACAAAGACTTGGACAATGAGTCTTAGTAACCCACGGCTTAAAAAGAGTAATAGTCTTAAGACAAAGACTTGGACAAGATTACTCACTTTACCCACGGCTTACAAAAGAGTTAAGACAAAGACTTGGATAATGAGTCTTAGTAACCCACAGCTTAAAAAGAGTAATAGTCTTAAGACAAAGACTTGGACAAGATTACTCACTTTACCCACGGCTTAAAACAGAGTTAAGACAAAGACTTGGAGAATGAGTCTTAGTAACCCACGGCTTAAAAAGAGTAATAGTCTTAAGACAAAGACTTGGACAAGATTACTCACTTTACCCACGGCTTACAAAAGAGTTAAGACAAAGACTTGGACAATGAGTCTTAGTAACCCGCAGCTTAAAAAGAGTCATAGTCTTAAGACAAAGACTTGGACAAGATTACTCACTTTACCCACTGCTTAAAACAGAGTTAAGACAAAGACTTGGAGAATGAGTCTTAGTAACCCACGGCTTAAAAAGAGTAATAGTCTTAAGACAAAGACTTGGACAAGATTACTCACTTTACCCACGGCTTAAAACAGAGTTAAGACAAAGACTTGGAGAATGAGTCTTGAGACAAAGATCATGTAGAAAACGATTCATGATCTGCGCCTTGAAAGTGACAAGGTAAGTATGAGACTATGAGGTGTTTTGCTTGAAGTAGAGACTAACTATTTCTAATTTTGATTTTTTCAGGTATATGCTACAGAAAGTGTTCATATTCGCATGAACACTTCTCTGCTTTTTTCAGACAGAAAGTGTTCATATGCTATAGGTATGCACTTTTCTATATTTTTCTGTATTTAGTTGATATTATTAAATATGAAAATCATAAATTAAGTTAAGTTTATGTATATTTACGTAAAGTTAGAAATACTCATCCAAGTGCCATTTTGGTTTCTCTTTAATATATAGGTATTCATAATTCTCAAGGACTTATCTGCTCTTCAGACAGAGAGACTTCACAGGTATGAGTTTCCTAGATCTTTCTGTATTAAATTGATATTAGTTCATATGAAAATCACAAACTAAGTTAATCTACGTAGTTAAAAATAGGACCTTAAAAATACTGATCTTAAGTGCCGTTTAAGTATTTATTTAATATACAGCTGTCTAGATAATGAATGCTACTATCCTATATCTAGTTATTTATCAGATTCTAGAAACTCAATTAATTGATGAAATGGTAGATTTTATTTTTGGTACTGGAACATTTGATTGAATTGAGTAACCAGTGTCTTGGATTTATGCTTGAATTGGTGCATGTGTGTAAGTGTATCTTGGAATCTCTTGTAGATATTTATTTCCTACCATATCCATTTGATAAAGTGGTACAAAATTTCTTGCTTACGTTACAATTCTGTGTTTACAGTTTCAGTAATCTCTATCCTGAATAGAAAAACAATTATCATCTTGTTGTGGTGCTTGTGTGTATCATAAGGCCCCTCATTTTGAAAAATAGATGTATCTTGGAGTTGCTCATGTAGATAGTTATTCTAAACGTATTAGAGACTCATGCATGCATATTATGGTGTAAGTTTCTTTTGCATTATGCTCTGAATCTTGGGTGATCATTCTAATCATGCGAATTATGCATCCTCACATCATACATATGCAACATTTATTGTTGATTGTTTGCTTATGATGGACACAATTTGAATATCAATGTTAGTTTTTTGTTCTGTTTGGGATTATAAAATCTGTTTGATGAATATATTTCTTGCATTTTGGTTGGTTGTTTGTCTGGCTAGTGTTCATTCTTTGACTCTTTGTTACGACTGACAGTGATCTTTGCTTTTGGTACGGGTCTGACTTTTGCTTTTTACCTTTTTGATTATTGGAATAGTCTCGGTATGGTAATTGATTAACCTGTCTTGGAAATGTATGTATCCTTGTGTGTTTATCTTACATTATACCCAATTAAGTGTCCATATTGGTCTGTGATTGTTTTTCATTATGCTCTAATCTCATGATGATCTTTTGAAAATGACATCCTCGTAATTCAGCATCCATACGTTGATGATGAATACTGTGTTAGGTTATATAAATTGTACCTGCTGACTTTAGTTTTTGTTGTAACAATGATTGAAATATCACTGTTATGGTATTAGTGTCTATCACTTGGCCTCTTCAGTGTTACAGTTGATGCATGGAGCTTGGAAATTCATTAAATTACATAACTCGTGCAATTATTTAGAATGTGTACGTAATTGATCTTTCTTGTTTTCTTACGTCAAAATCTAGCCATTTGCAGCATCCGAGTACCAATTCTATCATCCTTCTTATAGTCATGTAGAATACATGATCTAATTTTCTCTGCTGTTTATGTTAATATTTTGCGAATCATAGTTTCTATTACTTTTCTGTTACTTTTGATATTTCTCTGCAATAGCATAGGTTTTGTGATAACTGAAACTTTGGTTATCTTTTGCTCTGACTTTTTCTCCTATAACATAGTTTTGATATAGGTGTCGAAATCAGTTTTGTTTATTTATGTTCGTAAAATATTTGTGGTATTATTGATATCTTTGTTTTAGGAGTTCTACTTACTTATAACTCTAAGTCTTTGATTGTTTGTTTATGATGGACATTTGAATATCGATGTTAGTTTTTTGTTGTGTTTGGCATAATAAAAACTGCTTGGTGAATACATTTCTTGCATTTTGGTCGGTTGTTTGTCTGCCTATTGTTCGTTCTTTGTTACAACTGACTGAGATCTTTGCTTCTGGTCGGAGTCTGATTTTTGCTTCTTGAGTATTGGAATAGTCTCAGTATGTTAAATTGATTAACCTGGCTTGGAAGTATATTTATCCTTGTGTGTTTACCTTACATTTTACCCAATTAAGTCTATGATTGTTTTCATTATGCTCTAATCACTTGATGATCTTTCTAAAATGACATCCTTGTAACTCTGCTTCCATTACTAGAGCAAATTATTTAGAATGTGTAATTGATC